GCATCGTTGTCTCCATCAATCATAGAACAAATGAGCCGGCGTCCTGAGCACATCGCAGTATTGAAGCAACTCAGCTTCCTTGCGTTTGGGGGAGGTAAGAGACTTGATGACTTTGCGTTTATAAACTGCATCTATAAAAAGGCATGGATACTGACCTCCTTAAAGGTCCTCTCAACAAGGAGGCCGGCGACATTCTATACAGACATGGCGTACAGTTGATCAATGTCATTGGTGCTACAGAGTTTGTTTACCCTTGTACCTATGGGCGGGAAATCGCGAGGCTGACAGTCGCAGAACTGCGCCCATATGCCTTTATCATCAGAAGAACCTGGAGCTTTGGCAATACTTCATTTACAATGAAGAGCTATCTGGAGTTGAGTTCCGCAAGGCAACTACAGACGATGATGTTTACGAAATGGTCATAACTAGGAAGTCAAGGCAGTTTCCTGTCCAGGGTGTGTTCTACACGTTCCCGGACAGGGAAGAGTACAACACTAATGATTTGTATCAACCACACCCGACACTGCCTCATCACTGGAAGTTTCACGGCCGCTCGGACAATATCATCAACTTATCAAACGGCGAGAAGCTCAATCCTATCACGATGGAAGACATCATTTGTGGAAGCCCGGAGGTCAAAGCCGCTGTAATCGTCGGAACTCAGAAATTCCAGCCAGCCTTGATCATTGAGCCGTTCGTCCACCCCAGGTCCGAGGAGAACATTGACGATCTCATCGAACGTATCATGCCACAAGTTGCGAAGGCAAACGCAGTCGCTGGTAAGTACAATTTAACCAGAATGAAGCACCATGCATGTTTTCACGAAAGGCTTTCCCCTTGGATCCCAAGGATATGAACTGACAGGGAACGCAAAAGCAACCCACGCCCGAATTGTAAGGCACTTGATCACTGTATCCAAGCCAGAAAAGCCATTCCTCATGGCCGACAAGGGAACCCTCAAGAGGTCGGCGACTATAAGGCTCTATGCCGAGGAGATCGAAGATCTCTACGCCAACCCCAGGGATATTCCTCTTGCCAAGGCCCCGCGCCTCAATGTCAGTTCTCAGGCCGCCCTCAGCAAGTCCATTGAGGAACTGCTTCGAGGGCATCTTGGCGTGCCTCACTTGGAGCCCGACACCGATTTCTTTGCCGCAGGGATGGATTCCTTGCAGATTATTTCCGCTGCGCGGTTCATCACGGCCAGTCTCCGTGCGACGAACAGTGCTTACAGTGGCGTGACAATCGAAGCTCGCGACATCTACAACAATGCTAGTCCCAATCAGCTTGCCAGCCACATCCTCCAAGCTGTTGGCAGTGAAAACGCAACTGGCCGCGCAGATGCTAAAATTCGGAGCCAGGCGGCGATGGAAGAGCTTTACAGAAAGATGACGAAGGATCTGGTTCATGCCAGACCAGCCCGTCCCGAGCCAGCCAAGGATCAGCAGACTGTCATTCTCACCGGCTCGACAGGCAACATGGGCTGCTACCTGCTTGATGAAATGATTCGCAACCCTTCCATCAAGAAGGTCATCTGCTTCAATAGGTCCAACGATGGCGGCGCGGGAAAGCAGGCAAAGGCGATGGATGAACGCGGCCTGCAACAGCCAGAGAAGAGCGGCAAGGTCGAATTCTTCCGCACCAGCCTGTCTCAGCCACGGATGGGGCTCTCTCGGGAAGTGTACTCCCGCTTGCTCAAGGAGGCCGATCGCATCGTTCACAACGCGTGGGCGGTGAACTTCAATATGCCTCTCGAAGCCTTCGAACCCCACGTCAAAGGGGTTCGCAACCTTGCGGACTTCGCTGCCACGGCCGATAAGCGTGTCGTCATGTTGTTTGTGTCCACCATCGGCTCGACGTCCATGTGGGATCCGCGCCGGGGCCCGGTTCCCGAGACCTCCTTGCGCGACCTTTCCCTGGCGGGCGCACACGTAGCTTATAGCCAAGGCAAGCTGGTCTCGAGCTTAATTCTCGAGGATGCTGCCAAGGTCGGAGACTTCCCTCTCGCCATCGTGCGCGTGGGACAGATTGCGGGGCCGCTTGGGCGGGCTGGCGCTTGGAGTCGCCAGGAATGGCTCCCGTCCCTCATCGCAAGCAGCCTCGTGCTGAAAGCATTGCCCAAGAACCTTTCGTATATGAATTTGATCGCGTGGGTTCCCGTCGAGACGATGTCGAAAATGGTCTTGGACATTGCCGGCCTCACAGAAGAGTCGAGAGACTATCATGAGGGGTATTTCAACGGCTGCAATCCGTCCATCACTACTTTCGACAAGCTAGCCCCTTCGATTCAGCAATATTACGGAAAGACCCGCATCCCCGAGCTCATCAGCTTCAAAGATTGGGTCGATAGGCTTGAAGCGAGCCGTACTTCTAAGGACGCACTTGGTGCCGACCGCAACCCTGGGTTGAAGCTTGTTGACTTTTATCGGCGTAATGCAGGTCCTGACGGTGATGCCACGAACTCGAAGATTTACGAAACTCAGAGAACAGCTTCTAGTAGTCCCGCACTGCGCTCTGTCAGGCCTACCACCCCTGAATTGATGGTTCACTGGTGCAAACAATGGGGGTATGAAGGCTCTTCGCCCGGTGTTAGTCGTCTATAGAGGGTTCGGCGACTTGATAGATTGATTGGCCAAAAAATGCGACGGCTTTGTATACACAAGCTGAACAGAAATTTTGAGCAAAAGGGATCTTTGGAGAAAGACCATGGGCTTTTTTGCTTTTATGTCAGGTTTAGATACTCAAAAATTGGCGTGCAGCAGTACTGCGAGCTCCGTATGAATTTTCAATTTTGTATGATCTAAGTACTGCGTAGTGAGTCGTCACATCTTAGGGGTTAGCAGAAGCATCTCTCATATGTTTGATGTCATCGTTACTTTAGATGTAATTCGCGATTCAATGTGTACTGCGAAGACCCATACATGCTCATCAAGTATCTGTCTAGAAAGATTTAAGCAGTGGTTTATTGTACTCGGACAGGTCACTTTCACTCCTTCTAGTTAGAGTCTGATCCATCTCGCCATCCAAGTACAAGTGAGATGCTTAGCCTCATCGACGAGGACGATATCAATCAACATCTACACCCTGCCATAAGTCGAGCTCTCAAGAGAACAGAAAGATAAAGAATGAGCGAAGCTAGTGTGCTCACCAATAAAGACGGCTTGAACTCCCATCACCAGAAATCTGGCAGGCACACCTATTGCTGAAGAACGATGGGAACGGCAAAGGCACGACGCACTTTTCGTCATAGTCCCAGAACTAGCTCCCGTAGTTGCCGTCTACATCCCGTCGACTTACCATGGCTCGCTGGATGTAAACGATGTGCTCCTCTGGGGCGTTGCACAGCAGACTAATTACCGCGTCTGCATGAGGGGCGTAAGTCTGGCCGATGCCGTAAATGTCAGTTCGGCCGCAGACATCAATGATAAGCCGATCCAGGTGTTCCCAGGAACGAGTTTTGTATTGCAAGGCGACCTTGGCCGCACCGAGAAAAGTCGTTCGCTCGGTGACTCGACGGACCAAGCTGAAGTAAAGCGCCTGTTCCAAATACTTGAGCGGATTGAAAGGAACGCCGTCAAAGACATAGTCGGACTGCTAGTTGGTGTTGTTCTTGAGCTAAGCGGAGCTGCCAGTCTTGCGTCACGTCACATTGAGATTCTTGGAGCCCTCATGTTTACTCTCTCTAGTTGGCTACGCAGACAGCAAAAAGGGATCATTGAGACAATAATGTTGCGGTCTGCATGGATGTATCGTCCTGCTTTATACCGATTGCCAGGGGCGCTACTCGAAACCGGTGGGATTGATTCTTTCCAAAAGCTCAGTCAAGTGAAGCTTCCGACAAGCCCCTTGGTGGATATGACTATCTCCCTAGGATCCTAGCATCTTCTAGTTGGATTATGTGGCGGTCCCGAGGCCGCGATTTTGTCGAGTCTTCGCTACCGCGCAGTCGTCTTCTCGTCGATGCCTTGGCGCGGGATAGGCGATGGACGGCGCATGTTCCTAGTCTTATTATTGCCTCAGCATCGGAACCACGGATAGCCCGGCACCAGAAAATAGACTATCGGGTATTCCTTTCCGAATCCTTGTCACAGGCCGTACACAGCTTCATTAGCATTCTGCGAAACTGCATAGAGGTTACCATCTTGTTGTGACAGACAATGAATGTCCAACAAAAGGCGAAAATAAACCAATTGTGCATAAGGCATTTGCTTCAGCGCAGTGTGACTCTTGAAAAACGGGAGTCCATGAGGCATATCCCGAGGCCCTATTAAGCAGGTCAAACGTGTTTACTATTTTGAAAGCCTCTAGCCCCCGAACCACCTTTTGGCGCCGCAAAGTGGAGACGAATCGACGGTTGCCTTGAGCTTTTTCTCGGTTTTACGAGTCATTGAAGCCATATCGCGATTGGTTCTTCACCGACTGGGAATCCAGGTGTGGTAACCGTGGCGCGCGGCTCAAGCGTGTCAAGCCTTCGCCAAGAGAGGAAGATCAGGGTACAACAAGTCCAGATCTCTTGGCCAAAGATGACTTGTCTTCATATTCGGTTAGTGTACGCCAGAGGCTTGACAATGCATTGTCGGTCGACAATGCTTCCACAACGGGACAAAATACTTTCGTCCTGGTATCACTATCAAACGCCTTCAACACCACGCAGGTCTTCGCAGCGACCGCACTAATGAAGTGGAGGAATTCCATATGCCCTTTCGCAGTAAGCCTCCACTATATAACTTTCTTGCTGTGGTCTGGAAGAGAGACGCCATGGTGGTTTCTCTAGATACCGCAATCCACTGGCAGCCATTGGGACATACAAGCGAAAGAGAGAAAGTGGGAACCTGGGCAATTTATTTAACTTGCTTCCCCGCATACCGAGATACTACTACGTCGTCATCCATGTCTGTGGAGAATTCGAGAGATTTTTATCGAGACGTCATCGGAATCCGATTTTGCATGGACCACTCTGTTGAACACGAGGCCGGGAAGAAACGAAATGAAGAGCCGAGCCCGGACTTGGAGAAAAAGAAATTCGGGGTTGCTTCTTTTTCTTCGATTCTTATCTAGAACTTGTCCAGTTAAAAAGGAGCTATCTATATTTCTTTGAATCTTAGCCCCTTGCCAGCTCCAATGACATTTCCACACCGTATAGGTTCAATTTAGGAGGATCGACAACAATAACAACGATAATGCAGGCCTACGGCCGCGAGATGTGATTGAAAACCCATTGTCGGGCATGATGCTTATGTTGTGTTTTTCCGACTGTGTTTACCTGTGCGACCTTAAGAAGGACCGCCATGGATAACTCCCCAAGCCTCCCTTTGGGCAATGATATACATGGCCCTGAATCCAACCTGAGATATGCTCCAGCCCCAGAAGCGTCTTGGGAGTCCGAAAGTAAGCGGACGTCGTCCGTTTCAACGTCTGGGTTGTGTTCGTTTACCCGCGACAACAATAGCGCGAGAACCAACAAAGGACAAGACATGGGTATGCATGCAACACCCAGTGGGTAGGCGACATGTGGGTTCCCGAGACATGCGAGTTGCAGCCGAGAGCGACGCTAATCTGGGTTTCTAGGTCCTTTTAGGTAGTTTGTCCGCACGGTCCGTCAAGCTTTGTTGGACCCATGCCGAGAGATACTGGGGGGAGGGGGGACATGCGAATACATTCCTTGACCCGGTTCTGCCAAGGAACGGATATGATACTACTATCCGTACATAGTAGTGCAAAAGAAAAATAGCGGAGTCGAACGTTGTCCAGACCTTTCGTACGTTGCTCATGCCGCTCAAGGAGACTACCGGTACACATAATAAGCGCCGTCATCATAGGCCACTGGGCACCGCCTCTCTCTGTATTGGTGTTTCTGATTCGTGTGGAGGTAGTTTAGCTCTACGTTCTTGATTCGTGTGACGGGAGTTTATCAGCCCGTTACCCTCCCCCCCCTTTCTCCGCTGTTATGTTGCAATCTATGCCATGTTTGGCCAGGGGCTCACCGTCACTAGTGGAACCTGAAGCCGCTTTTAAAGAGGGTCGGTCATGTGGCACAGCAGATTGGTTAACGAGGAGGACCCAGCAGGTGGCAAAAGAATCGAAATGCATCACATCACGGCTGCACACAGTCGACATATACGAGGGGTGACGAACCTCACCACGGACGCTAGCGTTCTTGCGGTTGTCGGGGAATAAGCAAGTTAAGCTTAGATTGCAGCCATGTGAATGGCTCTCTGGGTGGAAGAAACTCTGTCAATCCCGGGAAGATCACGATGAACCAACTTCAATGACAAGGCCAAGAAGATTACGGGAGTTGTCCGGCAAGACGACGGCGGGCATTCGGGCCCACTGAATGGCGAAACTAAATGGAGACGGTGATTACGCATCCAAACCGGGAAGAGGGTTACATCCATCAACCAGGAACATTTCCAATAAAACACCTGCTTGTTTGCCATGCGCCCCCGGCCGCTGGTTGGTTCTCCCTTCTCCTTTCCGGTCCCTAGATCTACGGTTTTCCTGTGCGATCCCGACCGACCTGTCACTCTTTTGATCGACTAACTCACGCTCGTTTCCGCGACCAAGTCCTTACGCTCGTTGGGTCGACGAACGACGGTCTCGCTCTCAGTCCGCTCTCTTCAACTCACACCGGACGACGAGGATATCGTAGATATCAAAACGCCAAGATGCCTGTTAGACTTGCGGAAAGCACCCACGCGACTCCCACCATCCCGGCCGTGCCCTTGACGACGACCTTCACGGCACCCGCACAATGCACCGAGAACCATTTGACCATGTTGGTCGGCGCCCTCGAAAAGATCTGGATCAATGAGCCGGTTCCCCTGCCCAACCAGACCATCTCGTCATGCTACCCAACGGAATGGCTGGGCGGATACGAGTCCGTCATATCGAGTTCTAGCTCCGTCGCCCCCTACATGAGCCCGTTGGTGTGCCCGGACGGTTGGAACACCGAGACCAGCACCTGGACGAACGGCTACATCGCTTGCTGCGCATCGTACGTCACGCCTCTCGTCCAACATATCGATAGATGACAAGGCCGGTGTGCTAACGCGACAGGAAAACAGAGGCTTCACCTTCGCCGCGCCCTCTTCGGCTATCGACACCGACCGCCCCGCCTACGGCGGCACATGTTACAGCAACTTCGAGCTTGGCAAGACGGCCACTGTCACCGTCTACAACAACCGGGAACTATCGACGACGATCGCGTGGGCGGCCTCGACGACGCCTGCCCAGGCCTACGCGCACCCCATCGACGGCATTGCCGCTGACTACACGCCGACCGCGACCGGAAGCAGGACCGGCACCAAATCGGGAGCTGGAGCCGCCCAGACGGGCGAGAACGCCGCGCCGCAACGGGGAGGCAGCTCGAGGGCGGTGTTCGTGGTCGGGTTTCTGCTCGCAAGTCTCGTTGCGTGGTAGATTCAACGAGCTACAAGAAACATGTTGATGTTACGACTTCATCCCCGTCTCTACGAGATGGGGGCTTTGCAACCTGCTACGTCTAGCTACGTCATGAAATCGCCAGAAGTCGATGTCTTTTTAGGAGCCAGCCGCCTCCCGACTTTGGTGGGCTTTCACTTCATATAAACCATTAGGGTAGCATACCATTTTACGAACTCCAGTGTTCGGTTATGTCTGTTTATTTACATCCAGTACCATTACTTAGTCACAGCTTTTGGACTATCAGGTCGACGCTTTGTCGATTTAGCCGCTGTATTATACATAATAGGGCAAATGACAGTAACTTGCAACGGCTTTCTAGTGCAGCGCCACCATCTCGCTAATCTTGTTGATTGGGATGCTAATCATACACAACATGGCTGCACGCAACTGTGTGGCTGAAAATATTGCCAATGAAGGGATTGGTCCAACGCGTAGGCTTGTTGTGAACACCCTGCCAGGCCATGGGAGCCAGCAGCCGGTGTATATTAATCCAGGCCTCGAGATCTCCGACTCCATGCGGCTGGCCGCTCGTCGAATGCTTGCCGAGGCTACGCTGATAATCGGATCAACACTACCTATCATCAAGCGAACCCTTCAAGTCGATCTGCCAACTGCCAGTGAGAGAGGTAAAACCAGACTCCCGGCTTTCTGATGGCGCTAATGCGACCTCACGGCGTCAGCGTCACACCATGCGAAGGTGACTAAACCTGCTTTAACACGACGACATTCACTTCATGATAGGCCAGCGATTACTTTGTAAGTTCTGCGGGGCAGTGGCTCGCCAGGTGACTGACTACATCCATTGTAAACCTTTTCCTTGGTAATTATCATTTTCGAGAGACTATGTCCTTGCGGGGAGGGCCTGACATGTACACCCTAGCCGCTTTTCAAAGTACGAGAATGTTATCTCTTGCCTCGGGTCCCCCACTCACCCCTCTCACCGTCAAGGTAGCACCGCTGGTAAGTCCGATGGCATGACTTGTCCGTTGATACAACACAGCACAACGCAACACAGCTCACGGTGATGCTTTGTCTTGTTGTATAGAATTGCCCGAGACGCGGCTCCACGAATAGAAATCAAGTTGGCCTTAAGGCCCAACGCAAAATCCTTCTCGAACTCAACATCAAAAGCCGTCAAGTTTTCTTGGCGAGCAATTAAGAGATCAGACTACTCAATAGAAGGGCTCGGGACTCTGCGCCCTCCCGTCAGCCGACACCCCTGTCATGCGGGCTCAGTGCTGAGTGAGTGTCTGGTACCGAAACATCCGTAGAGGCGAAACCTTATCTATATTCTATTAGGCAACCAATAGTTGCCCATGCCCAACCTTAGGGTATCTTTCATCGAAAGATTGGAGCTAGGATGTCATGGACCAAAATCCCCGATATGACGAGATGGGCTCCGGATGGTGGACCTTCTACCGCAGGAAGTTCAGGAACCAATGAACCTTATGTCTGTGTATCCCATCTCAACAGTAAACAATGTTTCAGTCTGGTCCGTGACAGCGCAGCTGCAGTTTCGTTTCACGTTCAGAGGACCAAGAATCGGACTAGTGCTGTAGGTCTTTGGTCCCGGGTGCCGCAGCGCCTGGGTCCCCAGGGTAGGTAACCGCGCGGGGTTGTGGGAGGCGCGTGTTAGACTTTCAAGTGATTGCTCTTGGTGTATGTTCGGATTCGGACACGAACAAACACAACGACAGGTCGTGTGACCTACCCGCGAGTGGGGAGAGTTGACGACTCCCGAGGTGAAGAAGTTGGAAATCCTTGAACCGACTCTACGGGAGGTCTAGGTTTGCTCAGCGCATTTTCATCTGGCGTGGCGAGTGTGGAAATAATGAACAATCACTGCGAAGCACTTCAAGAGAAAAAAAGAAGAAAAAAAGTAAAGAAAGTCCACACTCCAGCAGAGCAGGCAGTCGTGTCTCATTACCAGTAATCCAGTACTGTTACATATCAATTCTTGATACACCCATTCCGCCCTAACCTTTAGAATATGTGCAAACGATTGTATTTATTTACTCCTCATCTTCCTCGTCATCGGCCATCTCAGCGGCCTCGACGGCGCGCTTCATCATGCGCTTGAACTGGCGCTCAGTCTCGCTGATGGCGCGGGCCAAGTTGCGGCGAGCGGCGGCCGCTGTGTTGCCAGTCTGGGCCATCTGGACGGGGACGATACCACCGAAGGGGCCGGCGCGGGCAGCGTTCTGGCAACGGACCAAGCAGACGTTGGACTGGCCGGCGACGGTACCAGTGCAAGTCTGATCCGCGGGGATCTGGGCCTTGAGCGGATAGTCGGTCATGGCACCTTCCTGTTCTTTGTTAGCTCGTGTTCCTGTGATGCCTGAGAAGCGAAGAAAAAAAAAAACACTTACGCGGTTGCGCGAGTTCTGGCCGGGGATAGTGACGGGAACGTCGATGTTGGTCCAGGAGGTACCGGAGGCGTCGGCGTTGATCATGCAGTCGTAGGGACCACCGCCGTCAGCGTTGACCTGGTGGACGGTCATCTCGAGGGTGCTGCCGGGGGTGACCTGGGGAAGCATGTCGCCAGTCATGGCCATGATGGCCTTGGTGCCGGCCTCGAGATCGTTCTCGCCGCCGCCGGTGGTCTGGCCGAAGGTGTCGGCGTTGGCGCCCTTGAAGCGAGTGGAATCAGTCTGGAAGGGCCGCGCGCGAGTGCCGTCACGGGGAGTACTGGGATCAACACCAAGAGCCATGCCGGTGCCGCCGGCGGGGCCGACAGCGCCAATGATGGCACCGTGGCCAGCCACCAGGTTGGCGGCGGCGATGATGGTAGCGGCAGCAACGGTTCTGAGAGACATCTTGACTGTTTTCTGAATGATAGGGCTCCTAACCAGAGGAGTTGTAACGAGTAGTATCCTGCCGGAGGAAAGAAGGTAAACTCAAAGAGAGAAGAGACTGCTGGAAGCTGAAGCTGTTGTTGCTGATGATGAGAAGAGATGAGAATAGGTTGGGGAGGGACTATCGGCCGCTTTTGTACTCGAGACTACCGCCATTTCGAGGCCCTTCAACTATGCAAAAACCAGACGCGGGCATACATGACGGCGACCAGAATAGCCGCATCAAGCATTGCAGGCACGTTCCGCCGTCCGGTACTCCCCCCCAGTCTCCAGCTCAATTTCGTTCAAGCTCGTAAGAACTAGCTCAACCCCAAGCATATCGTTTAGAATCTGGGCCAGAAAAGATGAGGCCAAACACGGGCGAGTACAACCGCATGTTGTGATGGAGACTGGTTCGAAACTGTGCCGTCACCCATGAGAAATCATCCAGAAGCTCTGTATGGAGGAAAGCAGGGGTAGCGGCTCTGGCCTACGGACCAATCGCATCCCGGCTACCCAACCCCCCCTCCCATTCGATGGAAGACGGGTTAAGGGTTTGGGAAACACTGTCGCAGATCGGGAAACGTTTTGGTCGCGCATCCCTGGGAGTTGAAGATGTTCCAGGTTCTGCGCCACGTCCGTATCCGGCGCCCGCCTCGAGATGAGAGCATGCAACAAAGCCCACCCACAGACCAAACACCCTTCCTCCCCCCCCTTCGTTAGAAGGTGAGTTGTGAGGCCGTGCGAGGGGCCCTCGGGAAGAATGGCCCGGGGTGGTGTGATATGACAGCTGTGCCCTGCATCGCCGCTGTTTAATAACTGGCGCTCGGCCGTTTCTGCACGTTCGTCCTTATTGGAAAGGCTCTCAAGTGGGCGATGGGCGGAGAGACCGCGGGTTAAGTGAGATGTGAGATGCAGAGGGCTTCATATTGGCCATCATCTCAATCCCGAAACCAGAAGGCCCTTGAATTGTTGCATGCCTCGACAGCTAACGGCAGTGAATACGCCTACTAGTAGCAGCAAGTTGAGATGTCATGTTGGTTAGTTTATGCAGTTCCACGGTCGCCGCGGCTGCGGCTCAGCACCTGTTTCTTTATGTTTTGCGAATGGGGATACCCAATCTGGACGTGTGCAGATCACCGCCGCTGAGGAGGCAGAATCCTTGCGGCATGCAGCGATGGCAGGACAAGCATCCCTCACACCTGACGGAAGCTAGCGCTTACACTAGTTCCAGGCACGCCAGGGCAAGCTTCAACACTCCCTCCTCCTTGTCCCTGGCAGCGATCTTTTTCTTCCCATTGGACCGGCAGAAAAGCGTGACTCGACAACCCAGGGAGTGGAGGGAGGCGACGAGGAAGCAGCCGGGATCCGGGGGTAGGAAGGGCGGAGGAACAGAGGACCAAGAGCAAAAACTAACTCCATGTTCCAAGCCAGGAGAGGCTGGTTCCGCCTGGGGGCATCTTACACAGTAGTCACCTACCAGTATCGCAGACCACCTCGTATAGGGTTTTCGCATCGTTTCGCTGATCCCGTCATTCCCCTCTGGGCATGATGCCTGGCGTAAATGCATGAGCTTTCGGTGGTCGTCAGGTGCATCGATACACCACCAGGCGTTTCTTGGTGTTGTGCACCCCCGCCTGACGAACCCCGGCATGAAGCAACAACGGGCAGAATGTGCCATATGGCTGGTTCCGTTCCGGTGCTCCGCGATCTGGAGACTGAGGACTGAGAAATCTGAACAGGGACCATCGGCTGGCTGCTGTCCCGGCAAGACATGGCAGCTTTAGACGGACTGGCAAAGTACAGAAGAAGAGGGGTTACGCTTAGACCCTGGGGGAGGCGACCAAACAGCGCGGCCGCAGCCGTTCCTTGGTGAAGGGGGGCAGCATTTGACTCGTTAAGCGACATCCGAATCCTCCGCAACAGACTTGACACCACCCAACTGGAAGAGCCAAAATAGATTAAGCTTGTGTGTGTGTGTGTGTGTGTGTGTGTGTGTGTGTGTGTGTTCGTGTTGGGAAGGCGAGTGTAGTGGCGGTGTCTCTGCCCAAGGAGGTTCACATACGCAGTAGCAGAGCATAGGACGCACACAAGGCGTCCATTGGCTGTTCTGGTTCGTGCGAGCTCGCCTCTGCATATGCATTGAGGCCCGGGCTATTCGAGTTCCTCGAGTTGCTTAGGGCTGAACAGCCTATGATATCCGGCCTTCATACGGCCCAGGAGACTATTCTTATCAGTTTGCCTAGTGGTCGTCAACACCAGCACATTTGACACCGACTCTGGCCAAGTCTCGACCCGGCATAATAGCGAAGAAGAGAGCGCTTGCGCAGGCTTTCCACGTGGCCAAGGCCTCCGTTTACCACTTTCTGTGATTTGCTTCCGCCTCGGGGCCGGGAACCGACATGGTGGCCCCTACCCCCCCATCCATCTTCGGCCGATTCCGCCGGGCAGAGTTCCGTGAAAACCAGCTGGGTAGGGTATTGTACAATGTGGTGTAATGTGGTGTGGTGTAATGTGGTCTGGTGTGGTGTGGTGTGGCGTGGGCAACCGTCACCACAGAGATTATCCTGCCGGGCCTTGAGACACAATGATTTGCATTTCCGCGACCGCGGTGCTTGCTGGAGATCAATCGCCCTCTTCAAACCGATCGAGACAAAGCTTTCTCGAACTTCCAGTGTCAAGGATGAAGGGTTCGCCCGCGCCCAACAAGCCACGCGCGAGTCGCCAGGCCGGAGGGATGCAAAAGACCTGCGGCGCTCCTTGAGGCTAGGACGCTGCAAGCAAGTTTGATGTGTGCTGCCAAGAAGATGCCAAGGAAACCCAAAACCGCGCTACCCGGAGCCTCGATTTTGTTTCTCAGCCAAAGTTCCAAAAAAAGGAAGAGGTGGTGTGGACAGCAACGCCACCACACGCAGTAGTTGGTGTACTACCTACGTACAGTTTGCCATCGCTCTTTAGAGTTGCATGACTTTGCTACCAATATGGAAGAGCAGAGCGAAGTAGGGCTGGTCATGGACGCACTGCCGAATCACACATGGAGAAGCTGGAGAGTGTGGGTGGGAGCATTCTGTTTCCGAGCCACTTCTAGGCCGTGGGTTCTATGCATCCTGCAAGGGACGAATCAAGGTTGCCTCGCTATGAACCTCCCGTCATTCTCGAATGGTGGCGGCACAAGGCTAAGTCTACGGCTACTCCGTAGTCACCTGCAATATGAGTGTATCTCTTGAAGCTTGTTTTCCAACATTTGACAGTTGAGATTATTGAACCAGTCATCTAAGAGCTGCTCCTGAGTCAAGAGCTTTATCAGACAGACGGTATGTGTGGACTGCTATCGCATACATTCATCACATCATCTGACGCTCACAATGAGACGCTGGATTCACTTGACCGATGCTTTATTTCGAAAGGGCGCATCGTTCTGTTGGCTCGCGCCATCGCAACTCTCGCCCAGTCCCAGCAATTCCATCACCATCATTGAGATGCTGCCCTCAATGCTTGTCGCCAGCCCATCTTCTTCAAGTTTCATGGGACGGCCGTTTCAGGTCCCAAACCCATCCTCACCAGCTTCACTCTGTCTTCGCCTCTGATGAGGAGATTCTCGTTCGGCCGTCTCAAGACGCTCGGTATCGACATCTCGACTCCCGACTTTAAGATCACCGTCGTCTTAGTCGTGTCGGTGGTCAGTACGTTCCGACGGAACTCCATTCATCTCTTCTCTCCAATCTGAATAGCGCTTCATTGTACTAGTGACCCGCTCTAACGTAGATGTTCATCTTGCTACCGCAAATCCTGCACTATGACGCCTTGCCCTTATCCACCAGATCTTGAGATACCAGATCTAGAGACGCCTGCACATCCTCAAATAAGTGTACGGAGAAGACTGTCGCTTCGGCGCGGGAATTGACCAGGTACTGGAAACTCGAGTATGAGCCTTGGGAAAATGAAAGCTTGTCCAGAGGCAGCCCATTGGCGACGAACAGGCCGCCGGCGTTGGAAGTTCCGACGTTTCCGTTCACCCCAAACATCTCAACCCACGCGATTTGAGTGCTATACATTTTGGATCTCTGATATGATCTTACCATGCCCAGATGCGTGAAGAAGCAGCCCTGGCGAACCTGCTTCGTCATGTCAGCCATTGAAGCTGAGAAACACTGAACAAGGTTCACCGCCCGTACTTGGGGAGTCCTGGGAAGAGCTTGACGAACAGGTCGGATGAAGTGTAACCCAACCCGTCAGAAGCCGATAGCACGGCACCGGCGCTAGTAATGGCCGTTTCGAGGTTCTCAGCCAATCTCTGGTCTTGTCCAACGAGCCGCACTGGATCAGCGGTGAATTTTGTGCCCCTACCGGCGGAGCCGCTGCCGGACACAACCATTCACGCGGGGCGGAGGCCAGGGCCTCCTTGTAGATGACGTGATGTGCGTTGGTGAAGCTGTTGAAGGTTAAACTACATGGTGATAGGTGTGTCCTTGTTGTGCTTGAGCCTATCTGTGACCGCGTTGAACGTAACAGCCGCGGCGTCTTGGGCCGGATATGCGTGCAGGCCGGTCGAGATCTCACAGAAGGCCACAATCGTCCTGTCATCGGGAGTTTCCCCGATGTCTCAGTTGCATACAGCACGCTACGATAGCACTCGTCCCATAGTCAGGGGCCAGCCTAGGAGTGAATTACGTTGTCTATGCAACAATTTTAGGGCTGAAAGCACCCGAAGCCTTGCCCATTCGCGATATTCGTGATGGGTGTACTGTCACAGAGAGTCGTGATGTCACACTGAAAGAATAATTCTAACGTCTTTAAAGTCTTTCCGCTTAATGATGCTTATCAGCTGGATCGTACCGCCTGACTTGAAAAGTCAATTTGACGATTGCTGCTGTAGGACCGATTTTGGCTGGCTCAAATACGTTCCAGAATCTGGGGCACTGACTGCTGTACGTAGAGGACTTGCTGAAATAGTTGCAACTGACTTGTGGGACGTCGTCCTCTAGCTGGTCTTTGATGTGCTGGTAGTGGCCATGACCGTTTTTCTGAGTTGTTCCGCGCCCCGACTCCTGTTTGTAGAGTAAATGAAACGAAACGTTAATGAGATTGTGCATTTTGAAAGATGGCTCAAGAAGAAGTGAAGCAATACTCGAAACCAACTACCCCGATGGCCTTTCTTCAGCTGCAGCAACGGATTCACGTTTCCAGGCCAGTAATTGTCTTCGTTGTCTAAATATTGCAATTCCAGGATCAAGAACCCTCCCTTCATTCTTCTGTTTTCCACCTTATCGGTGGATATAGTCGCTCTGAACCCCCATAAGCGGTCTAGTGCAATCCACCCGGTACGTGTGTAATGCCAGAATATGTAAAAAGCTGATACGCGGCACCTCTGACCTGTGCTATTTTTCAATCATTTGATACGGTATATAATAACTGCTAATTCAGAGCAACTTCCGAATCAGATTTCACTTCAACTATGGGGCAAACGACGACTGGGCACTGGAACGTTGGAGACAACAGAGTTGCTAATGGGCCGTGCTTTGATGTACCGGTGATTATGGTACTGTTGAATAAGGTCAAACATGTTTGCGACGAACCACACGACGAGAATGTGACTGGCGTACCAACGTTTATGGCTCTGTTGAATCGGTCGGGCAGCTTCGCGGCCAGGCGAGTACGCGGCGAAAATGGTACTTTTTCCATCCCATTTTAGTTAAGAGTAGCCCAAATCAACATTTAAGTAGACAAGATCATACTGTGTATGTATGTTAAGGCTTTAGTCTAGATCTATGTTGTACTAGTCGGTACACAAGGTACTGCATACAATGTCAAACCCATAGGGACAGGTACAATCCCGCTCCAAAGGAAAGGACCCAACGTTACAAACTCCATATACTCAGGTGCTCTCATCGTTGTTCTTTGTACATAGACAAATTGCCAGATCATCAAAATGCAAGTTGCGGCATTTCCGCGTACTGGCCGCAACAGTGGCAGCAGAATAGCACAGACAGGAAACATAGTCGTAAATTGCATTGTTGTAATAGTCTAGTCTAGTTAGCCCTCGTGGCTTACGTTAGAAGTACGAAGAGAATAGAAGAGAAAGAAGGGGAGAGGGGCTGAACCAGCTGCCACCTTTGAGTCAAAACCCGATTGATGGTTTGAGAAGAGAGAGGATGGCGAGGTTGCTCGTGTTAGTGGTTCAGCAGCAAATAGAAACGAAAACACCAGGTTTTGAAATATAATACGAGGTTGCTCACCTGAGTGATAAACGAAAAAAAAGTGATTAAACAAAAGTCTAGGTTTCTGAAGCGAATGGATTTGGCGTGGACGGAATGCTGTTAGGTAGCGAAAGGCGAGATCGGGAACCTAGAGGGCAGATGGGTGGGTTTATAACGTTGGGAGACTTGTAGTGACTGGCATTCCTTAGGATGTCTTCAATAGAAATCCCGAGAGGCTTCAAACGTTTTCAAAACTAGCGGAGAACAACTACGTAGTATGAACTTTTATGATCATTAACGCGCTTAAATGTTCAATGATGTGCTCACTGCGGTATCTTTTGCCGTCCGGAACAAGTAACTACTATTGCCAAAGATCATGACTATTTGCGTCTTGGACACATCCCAGGTTGCTGTAACAGGCAATATACCATGGAGACTCGATAGAGTTCAGACAGAACACAAAGAAATAGACCTATCACCGGTCCTCTCATTTCGGATTTCGCCATCACTGCACGATCGGCAGGTTTTGGGGGTGTCTCAAAAAAGGCGACTTGCTCCACAAGTGAAGGTAAACTAAAGAATGCTGGAATATTCGGATCTTGACATCAATAACCCTGCATGAAGCTGTTTGGCTAGCGTGCGTGAGGGTTTCGCTGATGCCCTCATGTAAAAAATGAGAAAACAGATATGGCAATTGGAACCATAATGCCAATTTTGTTTTGTATCAACTTGACCTATTCTCTTTCGGTGCATCGCAGCAGCAAGGTCAGCAACCGAATGTAATGTCTTGACGTCTCATCAAATACAAATCCATCGAGAACAGTCGTACTGACAAGTAGAACGCTCTACTTATGGTTTACGTCTGGATGTTGATACTCAAGTTAAGCCTTACAATGTGGGGTTTACCAAGACTCTGGAAATCACCCCACCATTCTCGGAGACTAGGTTCTCATTGGAGAGACACCTGTGGTCGTGTATGACATGCCCACGACGAACAGTCATCCATCGTGACTCCTGCAAGACAGCGATCACCAAAGACTGCAATGCCCCCCCCCCCCCCCCCCCCCCACAAACACACAAAGGTACTGGATAGAAATAACTCATGTATACTCCAAACAGGGGCAATTTTATCTTTGATAAACCTAATTGAACAGGTTCAGGTGGCAGTTCCTGTCATGACGAGCACTTGCAAGATCGACACTCCTTGACCCAAAAGGAGAGAAAACCTTAAGTGGGGTGAAGTAGCTGAGGAGTTGCCGACGGTTGACACGAGATTAGTTTATTACTTCTACCATATTCTGTAGCGTAGATAATCAAATGAAATATAGCTGATCACCATTCATGTTCTCAAATTTGTTCCGCCATGTGTTATCGGACTTGAATCGACAGGGGCATTCCCTCTCTCTTTCTCTAGCTCGCTAGCTATATTGGTTATTGTTCTACGCATATCACCAAAGTTAGTTCCCCTATTTCTAAGACGCATTTCTCTCTCTTGGCAGCTCATTATATCTCTCAGCTCGCCATCACGAAGGGCTGAGCAGCCACCAGCTATCATGCCACCAAAGACACCCTGCTTGGCTATTACACGCACACTGCCTACTAGATTGCCCGCCTCAATCCGGGCGGTTTTCAGAGGGCACTTATGAACACCGAGACGGCATCAGATTACGGCACCACAACGGGCTTCAAGGCGTGTTCGTCGGAGCTTGAGGTCCGGAGTGTCATAGGCGGCTGATGTCCAGACCATCATCTTGAGCTTGGACAGTATTGCAGCCATCTCTTGCGTGATATGAAGTGTGTGTGTGACCCTCCTCTACCTTAGCCTTCGTCAACTCCGATGCAGGGCCCGCTGGAAGAAAGTGGGATTGAGGGGATGGGTCAGTCCGGGTCAAACATCAAGTATATCGAATGCCAACCACCGCGGCCGCCGTAGGCAGGAGGGATTGGATTCACAAGCAACGTTTCCGTGGCATCTATACTTGCAGATCTCCATTCTCGACCAGACGAGGAACATGACCAGACGAACCTGACTCAGAAAGAACCTGGGTCTCGGCACGCTATGATACAACTTATCTCATCACATACCATTCTTAGTCATAACATAGTTAGGTGTACGGTGCTGGAAGAGAGAAGAATTCAATAATTTAAGGTTGCACTAGGCTGCGGGAGTTGCACGCAACCCTAGTTACGATTCACAGAGTTTTGGCCGCCGGTGTTCGGACTTCACAGTCAAGGTTCAATAGGTTCAACTATAGCTCGGGCCTGTATGAAAATGAAATTTGTGTAGGTTAATATGTGTCCATGTCCGAATTTCATTCCAACTGTATTCGTACGCATGAGTCAGTTGCCAGAAGGTCTATATAACTGGCCACATTCCCAGCTAGCCAGACCACTAGACTTAGAGAATTCATGCCTTTTACAACCACGTCTTGTTGATGCATCAACCCATCTATAGTCCTTCCAACAATCCACCATCTACTTCCAACTGAAAGCGACAAAACGATTAGCTTGTCTCTCAATTTAGTCTATTAGAACGAAAATGTGACTGAAAACACAACAATCCGTCAGGGCCCTTGATGTCTCGGAACGCAGATGTAAGTTGGAGGGAACCAGAGAATCAAAGAACCATGTGTATGTTTCCGAGAGTTTTGCAACCCGTTCCGTTGGTACTGTAACCACAGACCGTGGGTTTCTTATACGCACGTTCCCATCTTAAATCATGGTGCGTGTCAGAGCATCCTTCTCCGTGCCAAACCGTCAAAGAAACAACACAGACGCAATCGATCGAGAAGACATCTCCGGGCGACCGGCCGTGCTCAAGGAGACACACCGGCCGTCCATCCCCAAGAAAGGTCGCAAGCGATTGGCTTCGGAGTCCCCATCAACCATCATGACTCCTTCACCGGCCCAAATGAGTTCCGCAACGATAACAGACGCCTTGTCGCCAGGGACGGCCTTCCTCGGGTCCGAGGCACCCTCGCTGCTCCAGCTGCCTCTCTTTCTCCGCCAGATCCCAGATATCGTACTGGAGATTGCCTCACACCTCCCCACGGAGTCCGCCATGTGCTTGGCTCTGACGTGCAAACCACTCTACGGCCTTCTCTTCTCGAGCACGCTCCGGAACCTCAAGAGCAACGAAAGACAGATCGCCGGGTTCCTCTACTTACTTCTCAAAGACCTGCAACGGACTCGAGACTGCACGTATCTCTGCCACCATTGCTCAAAACTACATCGCTGGAGGTGTCCCCACGGGGGCCTCGGCCAGTGCGCGGCTTGCCCTGGCATAGGAGTCGAACTGGGGCGTTCCAAGCACGCAGGCGATCAACAGCACGCGTGCATCACCTATCGGTCCTACTTCACCTACACGTTCAAAGGGGTAGAGGCCGGCGGAGACTTCTCAAGATGGGTCATGCACCGGGAGCGCGGGGGGTTCTGCTCTTGCTGTGGGAAATCGCCGTCCCGGGCGGCGAACGCTACGTCTGCATGAGGGTCCCGAGGTGCAATCTGTAGCAAACGCATACTTGTATCTGTTTCGCTGATATAAGAAAGCGATTATCTTGGCTAGCATAGTTTCTATAATACCCCAAACGCCGATTTTCCGCTACAATGCTTTGAGTTCTAGAGGTTAATTAACTCCCATCTGACCTAGCAGCCACTGGGCCTCCTCGAAGACCTCTTCCGGCCTGCCCTCCGCTTCTACGGGGAGAACGTCCAGCTCGCTGGCACCGGCGGCCTCGTACACCTCAACCTGCCCCTCGACCATGCTCGCCAGCATGTAGTGGTCCTTCCTCCCGCTGATCCGCTCGACCAACGTGTCCGGATCGCACTGGAGATCGAGGAACAAGATCCTCACGCCGTCCCGCTTCTCGACCACGCCCCTCAGCGCGTCGCGGTACGACTTCCGCAGAGCCGAGCAGCTGACGACGACGGAATCGTAGCCGAGTTCCTCGACGGCCTCGACCGCTCTGCGGCCGACGCGGCTCAGCCACGCCGAGCGTTCCTCGTCCGTCAAGGCGACGTTGCCGCCCATCTTCTCGGTGGCGTCCTTCGAGTGCAGCGAGTCGCCCTCGACAAAGGGGGCCCCGAGCCAAGAGGCCAGCGAGGCGGCGAGCGTCGACCTCCCGCTGCCGCAGGGGCCGGCGACCACGACGACCGTCCTGGCGGCGCCTTGGTTCTTCCCGACCCAGTGGTTGGCCTTGAAGTACCTGACAAAGTTGTCGACCAGCTGCCGGTCCAGCACGGGAGCCTGCGCGAGCGCGGGCGAGAGCGAGCGCGCGTTGTCCGTCGCGTACGTCTTGGACGGCGGGAACTCGTCCTTGTCGTACTTTGACGCGAAGAAGTCGACGAGCTTGATGGGCGGGTTGGCGATCGGGTCCGGGTTCGAGGCGCGGAGGCGGCGGATCCACTCCCTCGGCTCGACCTCCTCGAACTCCAGGCCGGCGGCCCTGAGGGCGGGGAGGAGGTCGTCGGACCAGCTGAACATCCTGGCGTTGGTCACGTTGGCGAAGACACCGTCGGCGTCGGAGAGGGAGATGTCCACGACGCCCTGGGCGACGGTGTCGACCGGCAGCCACGAGGGGGTCTCCCGGAGCCTCGGCAGGGCGCCAATGGTGATGGCCGACTGGAGCATCAGGGGGATGGCCTCCGTCGCGTTCCAGACGCCGTGCCGGGTGTCGGCGACGATCTGGCCGATGCGCAGGACGCGGGCCTTGATGCCGGCCTTGGCGGCGCGCGCGCAGAGGTGCTCCGCGACGACCTTGGACTGGGCGTAGCCCATGCCCTGCGCCCACTCGAGCTCGGGGGCGGCCTCGGGGACGGGCGTCGTCGTGGCGCGGACGACGGTGCTGACGGACGAGCAGAAGTTGAACGACGCGGGCGACGAACCGCCCGTTGCGGCGTCGCCGGCTTGCTTGCAGAGGGCGATGAGGTGGTTGACGCCCGCAATGCTGCTCTTTTCGAAACTAGACAGCCGCATGTTGAAGTTGACCGACCAGGCGGCGTGGATTACGAGGCGGAGGTCCTGCTTGACCCGGGCGTAGGCCTCCTCGGCGAGGCCGAGCTTGGGATCGGCCAGGTCGGCGGCCAGCGCGACGAGCTTTCTGCGGGAGGAGGCCGGCAGGGCGTGGTACAGGCGGCGCTGGATGAGCGAGCTCTTGACGCGACGGGCTGCTTCGACGTCGGAGCCGGCGCGAGTGAAGCAGTAGATGGTCATGACGGTAGGGTCGGCGGCGAGCTTGGTGACGATGTGGGCGCCGAGCGAGCCGGTTGCGCCGGTGACGACCTATCGGGAAAAGTCAGACATAATAAAGGGACAGACAGAATATGGGATGGGACCTACGATCGATGACCTAGGTGCTGACTCTATGGAAGAAAAGTCCCCGTACTTCTCAATTAACCCGCGCATTTCGCTCTCGATGGAGACTTCAGCCTCAACATCCTCGCCAGTGACGAGACCGTACAGGTACGCGCTCAACTTGTTGACAGACGGGTGGTCAAAGACCACGGTCAGGCCGAGCTTGTTGTCGCCAATGTCAACAGTCTTCAGCACGTCGGAGCGCATCTGAATCGCCTGGAGGGAGTCGAGGCCAAGGGAGAAGAAGTCGGTGTCGTCGTCAAGCTGGACCTTCTTGGAGAGCGTCTGAACGAGTCCCTCGCGGATAAAGTCCCTCAGCTCGGGGAGACCCAGCTTCCGCAGGTCACCGTCGCCAGCGTCGGCGTTGTCGTAGACCTCGTCGATGTCCTTGGCGTACGTCTTGTAGAAGGCCTGGCGGATGACGCTGCCCTTGTCTGTCCTCGGGTAGGCGCAGTCGTGCGGGAGCAGCTTGATCATGTTCTTGGAGATGCGCGCGTACGCCTCGACGGACCGGCCGGCGCTCTCGACGACGGGCCAGACGACCTCGAGGATCTCGTCGTCCGTCTTGTCCGCGAGGGCCGCGGCCGGGACGATGAGGGCGCCGAGCAACGGCCGGCCGACGCCGAAGATGACGCACTCGGTGACGTGCTTGCTGGAGCGGATCGTGCCCTCCATGTGCACGGGGTTGAACTTCTCGCCGTTGACGAGGGCGATGGTGTCGTCGAGCCGGGCGATGTACTTCCACGCCTTGGGGATCGTCGGGTGCGGCTCGAAGAGGTCCTTTGTGCAGTAGGACCCGTCGTCCTGGTTCGTGGCGACCTTGGCGGGCCAGCCGGGCAGGACGCAGCACTCGAACAGGTTCGGGCCGCGCGGAATCCATTTCAAGTACGGCGCGAGCTTGTCGTGCTCGCGGACGTAGTTCCACGCCTTGTCGCCGGGCGGGCGGAAAGACGTCATGAGCTGACCGACTTCGGTTCTGCAAGAGACGTCAGATATGCGCACACAAAGGCCCCCCTTTCCGGGAGAGCTGTTATGACTTACGCTCCGTAGTGGCCGACCAGGTTGACGCCGTTGTTGACGAGCGCGTCGCCGAGGTCGTCGGGGCAGGCCGAGCCGCCGTACATGACGATCTTGAGCTGGCGCAGCAGGTCCATGCCCTCCTCCATCTCGGCGAGGAGCTTCAGCGCGTAGGGCACACCGTAGAAGATCTCAAAGTTGTGCTTCCGCATGACGCTGCTGAGGTGCTCCCGCGTCAAAGGGAGGTCAGCGTTGTACAGGTGGATGGGCTTCCCGGCGTGGACGGCCCGGTACAAGTTACAGATGCCGTGATTGTGGTACAGAGGCAGGGTGATGAAGGCTTTCATATTCATACTGCTCGAGTAGTTGTGAATGGCCGACTTTTGGGTCTGGTAGATGGGCTTCGGCAGACCGGTTGAGCCTGGAAGGGTCACTTTAGCACGGCTCGGACGCAAGAACGTGGCATGTTAAAACTCACCGCTGGAGTGGATGATGTAGACCAAGTTGTTTGTCTCGACCGAGAGATCACGCCCGTAGTCCAGACGAGTGTCGGCGTGCACCTCGATGGGGAAGTCGAACGTCGACTGGCCGGCGATCTCAAGGACATCGAGATGCGGAACCGTCAGCTTGGCCGTTTCGGCCGTCTCAAGATACCTCTTGTCGGCCAGGAGGTACTGCGCGCCAGTGACGGTGATGAGAGACTCGATCGCTTCTTGTGAAATTCTCGTCGACAGGAACAGCGTTGTATGGCCGAGCTTGGTCAAGGCGAGCATGTTGATTAGGTAGTCGAAGTTGGAGGGACCGATGACGGCCACAGTCGTCGGCTTCTCATCGGACGTGAGCCTGCTCGGGATGCGCTGCTCATACACCTTGGCGACGCGGTACGCGAAGACGTCGAGCTGCCTCATCGTGTAATCGACATACGTGATGCCTGACGAGGGGTACGAGACGATGACCTGGTCCGGATAGGCCCGGGCCCGTCGGCGCACCAGCTCGTCGACCGTCTGGATGGTGCTGTCATCGTCATCCGAGTATTGGGCGGCCACTACGGGCGAGTGGGCGAGGGGGTTCGCGTCTAAGCCGGAGCTGCTCGGGAGCGTCGCGCTCGCCGGACCATATACAGAAGGGGGACTCATGGCGGCTAGCGATGGACTTGATTTCATCCAAAGTGTGAGCGGGAGGGACACGGTGGGTTCTTATCGACAACCACCTCCGCCCCTTTTGACAGACTGACGGCGGGCTTCCGCGTCTTAGGTCAGTGGCCATCATTCCGTTGCCGGTGATCCGTTCTCCGCCCTGCTGATTCACAGATCCATGGTAACCAACCGAGTGGGCGCTTTTGGTTGGCGGTGACGGCGAGACGGGTGACAAGATCTGGGGTAAAGTCTCCGTTGGTGGGGAGGACGAAACGCGTGGTTCCCCGCGTTTTCGAGTTTGGGCGACGGATTTCGCACGGATTTGGACACGCCAAGCAGGGGTGTGGCTGGACTCGAGGATAAGAATCCGTCATCCGCGGTGAGAGACTCCCCGATGAGATGAGAAACTCCGCGATGATGGACTCCGCGGTGATGAAGCATCATCGTCGGCAGCAAACCGGCCAAGTGACTTGGGCTGATTTATTATCTCGCTTTCTTGCTGCTCATTAATCACTATTATCAAGTCATCTACTTCTCCCCCCACGTCCCTCACTAACTCTAATGTACGGAAGATAACCTCCCCCCCTTTGTCCCTCAATATGCCTCTCGCCACGCACTTCACCCTGAACACGGGAGCGGAAATCCCCGCCGTGGGATTCGGCACCTGGCAGGCCGGGCCGCACGAGGTCGAACGCGCCGTCGAGACCGCCCTGCGCTCCGGCTACCGCCACATCGACTGCGCCGCCATCTACCGCAACGAGGCGGAGGTCAGCGAGGGCATCCGCAAGAGCGGCGTGCCGCGGTCCGACATCTTCGTCACCGGGAAGCTGTGGAACACCAAGCACGCGCCCGAAGACGTCGAGTCCGGCGTGGACAAGACGCTCCGGGGCCTGGGCACGGATTACCTGGACCTGTTCCTGATGCACTGGCCCGTGTAAGTCGTCATCCAGCTGGCCGCCTACTCCCCGCTCGGCAACAACCAGACGGGCGAGCCGCGGACGGTGGACGGCCCGCTGGTCGGTAAGCTCGCCGGTCGGCTCGGCATCGATGGCGGCCAGCTCCTCGCCTCCTGGGGCGTGCAGCGCGGCACCGTGGTGCTGCCCAAGAGCGTCACCCCCGGCCGCATTCGAGTCCAACTTGCAGGTCCGGGAGCTGCCGGCGGACGTCTTTCAGCAGCTCAACGGCCTCGAGAAGAACAAGAGGTTCGACTGGCAGACGAGATGGGGCTTTGACGTCTTCCAGGAGTTAGGGGAGGAGGAGGCCAAGCGCGTCGCGCAAGAGACGGGGCCTGAGAACTTGAAAAAGTTCACCATTTAGTCCATCTTGAAATCATTGGTTTTTTGTTTTATTTTTGTTTCTTTTATATATATATATATGTGTGTGTGTGTGTGTGTGTTATGTGTGTGTATACAATAGACCTAGCATCTCACTCGCCAATATCCGGCATCCAAGTGAGCGGGTTCGCGTCAATGTCCATGTACGGACCAAAGGCGGACGAGTCGAGCTCCAACCAGTCCGTCGTCTGCCACTCGTCCAGCAATCTGAACCCCAACAGCCCTGCGTCTCCGTGGCCCATGAGCTCGGCCGGCCCAGGCCCGTCAGCGGCGTAGGCGGGATCGAACCCGAACCCGTCCGCAGCAGCCATCAATGCCTCTTGATTCTCGTGACTTTGCTGCCGGGGCGGCGGCGGCGCCTGCTGGGGCAGTTGTGGCTGCGCGGCCGGCGCCTGGCTCTTCCGCGCCACCTGGCCGAGGCCTTCCGTCCGGAACTCCTCGAGGACGATGGCGTATCGACGGCTCGGCGAGTTGGAGGCCGTGGCATGCGCGAGGTGTGTCTGGCAGCGCTCGGCCAGGTCCATGAGCTTCGCGTGCCTCTCCCGGCCCACGCTTTCGACTGGGAGGCCCCGCCGCTTCTGTTGGATGTCCCAGACGTACGTCACCAGCAGCGCGCAGAAGGTGACGTACTGCGTCCACCAGAAGGCGTGGAAGATGGGGCCCTCGGCTGCCATGCCGTCGACCGTCTCCAGCACTGTCCTCGCGGCCTCGATGCACTCGACCACCTGCGCCTCGCTACCGGAGCTCAGGTTTCCGAGGAGGAACAGCCGGTTCGCGTGCATTATGGCGTGCGAGTAGGCCAGCCTCAGCACCGTCGCCTGGCGGCGGAAGCTCGGGATGAGCATCGACGGCCGGATTGAGCCGAGATGGGGGGGCAGGCTGGCCCGCCAATCGTGTATCTCCTCGCTCAGGCGGTGGGCGGCGGCCACGCGCTCCCGTTCAGAGATGGGCTTGATCGAGTAGACCTCCCTTGATGTGTTGCCGATGATTCGCGCGATCCTGGTTTCACGCGTCAGCATCTACTAATGAAGGGAGACCCCCGCCACGCTGGCCTCGAAAATAGTACTCACTTGACGTGGAATATCAGGGCGTCAATGTGGCAGTCCATATGCTCCTCTGACCGTTCAACGGGTCCCTGCGCGGTCATATCCTCGTCTTCGATCCTGTCGGGGTACTCCTGGTCGATATCGTCGTCGTGGAAATGCCGCGGCCGGCCAAGGATCACGCCCAGATACTTGTCCAGCACGTACGCCGTCCAAAAGGTCCGCATGCGGCATTGCGCCTGGATAAAGTCGGCGCTCCCCGCGGTCAGGTGCCGCTTCTTCGCCGTCTTGCGGTGCATCCCCAGGGCGGAGATGATCTGCAGGGCGTTCCCGAACGTGTACCAGGCGCGGTTCATCCGCGAAGTGGTGAGCAGGTATAAAACCTGGATCAGGCGGCACTGCGCGGACTCGAGCCGGGGAAGCCCGGTCTCCCGCTCCGACAGCTGGAGGGCGACGCAGAAGAGCCGGTCGCTCTTGGCCAGCGACATGATGTCGTTCTCTTGCGAGTCGAGCCCGTTGGACTTCTCTTGGTGAGCAGTGGACACGGCGAGCGCCGTGAGGACGATGGACGCCTTGCTGCGGCCAATGTCCTGCCAGACGGGCCTGCCTCGGCGGAGGTTGTCCACCATGACGCTGAGCCAGGCCTCAACGGACGGGCGGTGGAGGACGCGGTACGTCGCTATACACACGTCAAAGTACAGGCCCAGCAGGGTCTGCAGTTCTTTGGAGTCGGGGAGCGTGAGGTTGGCCATGTCTTCGTCCGTGATGGAAGGCAAGGGCTTGTCGCCGGCCAGCATGAGTGGCTGGCTCTCAGTCGAAGCGTTGAGCTCGGCCGAGACGATGCTGCTGTCGTGTCTCGATAGCCGCTTCCACGCCCTGTGCAGGAACGTCACGCCCGAGGTCGGGTCGAAGATCTGGCCCTGGATCTCCGCCATGCCGAGCTCGGGCGATGCTCGTGATGCCGGCCCTTGCCTGTCGCGGACCTGGCTAAGCAGCAGCTGCGATGATGGGGGGTCGGCATTGCGCTCGGCGGTTTCGGTGGTCTGGTACAGGACGGCAGACTCTTCCTGGCCGGCTACAGACACAGAGCCGCGGTGAGAGGCTCCCGTATTGGACCCGGTAGACCAGACGGCCGAAGACGGCGGCGGGGTCGGGGGTCTCCCGCGGGAATACTTGGCGTCGTAGACGCAGGTGCGGCCCTTGCGGGTGCACTTATCGCAGGGGACTGTACCGCTGCACTTGGCCTTGCGCTGCTTGCAAAAGTCGCAGGCCCGGCTGACCTTTTGCAACTTGCGGCGGTTGGCCGCGGGGCCGGTGAGCTCGTCCGAGTTAGTAGAGTGCTTTTCTGCGGAGCCGAAGCTCCTTTTCCTTGACTCACCGCGGGGGCTGGCGGCCGAGGCAGTTGAGGAAGAGTGGCGTGCATGGTGAGTTACCGGACTGGCCAGACCGGCGGACGGGCGGCGAACCTCCGAGCCATCCATAGCCACTGTCGGAAAGAGGCCAGCGACAGCAGGTTGGGAAGTCGGAAAAAGAAGAAGAACTTCTATGGGATGCGACAGGAAAACGACGGAAAACGAAGGGGATTTGCCTGGGGAAGCATGGGCCTGGGGAAGCATGGGTTGGAGCATGAGGGGGAAAGCTGGAGTAGCAACGCGGGTCATTGTCGCACAGGGGAATACCTGCATCCCCCCACAGTCTGCAGAAGAGGGGAGCGAGCCAATGATGTTTGTGATGGAAGATCGTTGCTTGTTTGACGGCCGAGGGGGGTCCGACAGGGAAGACGGATTTCTCAATGTCGATGGCGAAGGTGTGCGACTCTGCCCAGCCCAGCCGCCGCCTTTGGGATGATGGGACTGCCAACGGGGAGTACCAACCAACCAACCAACCAACCAACCAAATGAGAACGAACCGCCGGTTGACCTGAGAAGCATTCGGTAGTTGGGACACCGAGGAACAGCAGCCAAGCACGGCGAGTTCCCCGAAGACCACCCTCCCTCCCCCTCCCCTGACAAAACTAGAACATTAATCCTCCCGCTTTCTCCCGCCGCCGGTAACCATATCCACATTCCCTCCTCTTTACCGCGGCCCCCAAGTGGCGTGCGGGGGAGAATGCGGAGGGGAGGGCGGACTTCTTGCCGCCCCATGCATGTCTTGTTTGTTTTGTTTGTGTGTCTCACAGGCATTGGAAGCGCCGCACAGCACAGTGAATCGGGTGAGTGATTATACAGTATTGGTATATTTCATCTAGATTTCATATACATCGTCAGAATTACATACGTGCATTACAGCATTACGTTGTCGCCCATCCGTCATGCGCTTAGGCTATGGTGGTTGTTGGCGTGCAGTCTTTTACCGCTGCACATATGTTGTGTTGCGCCAGTGAGGACGGACCCCCTCCTCCTCTCATCTGGGTCCCTTCACACCGGCATGTCCTTCTCCGAATGTGACACGCGGATCTGATGGTGGTAGTTGTTCATGGCCTTCTCGTCAATGTCCTCATCAAACACGTTGACCTTGGTGTTCTGAAATCGGCGCGCGCTGATCTTTTCCTCAAACAGCTTATCCAGCTCGGCGTATGTGCGCCCGCGCGGCTCTGGCACGCGAAAGTACGTGTAAACGCAGCAGAGGAAGCAGATGCCGCCCCAGAAGAAGCCCGTGTAGTTGTGCCAGTTCCACGCGCTGGGGTTCAGCATGTAGGGCGTCAGGACATTGTTAATGATGCCGACAATGTTGCTGCGGGGGGAGTAACAAGGTTAGCTTCCTATTGACCGGATTGGGGTGATGTGAGCCGGGGAGGGATGAGGTTGGCTTACTAAAGGTTACGTCCCAAGACGACCGTCTTGATCTGCAGGCGGCGCGACGGCAGCTCACTGACCAGCGAGTAGCACACGGTGCCCACAGTCAATTGGTAGAAGAGGGCCCAGACCATCATGATGCTGCCCGTCGCCAGCGCACCCTGCTGACGGTGCTCCTCCGGCACGAGGCCCAGGAAGCCGAGGATCATGAGCATGCTGCAGAGACCACAGAGGCCGTACAGGTACAGTGTGCGGCGGCCAATGCCCCACGACATCAGGAACCAGGCGCCAAAGACGCCGACCATGTTGATGCCGTACTGTCCGAGGGCGAAGTTGTACGAGTTTCTGGTCGAGAGACCGGCTTGCTTGAGGAAGTAACTAGGTTTGCACGTCAGTACCTGCGTCGTCGTGTCGTCGCGTCACGCAGACCGCGTCATGCGGGAAAAGGAAAAGGAAAAAAAGACAAAAGGGAAGAACCTACGTAGAGTAGTTGGAAAAGGAGTTGCCGCTGAGGTTCTGGATGGCCCAGACCATGCAGACGATCTCGGTGCGGCGCAGGTCGACTCCCTTGAAGCAGTCGAGGTAGGAGGCGCCCTCGGTGATCTTCTCCTCGAGGGCGTTGGTGTGAACCATCATGGCGACGGTCTCGTCGGCATCAAAGTCAGAGTCCTTGCCCTTGCTCGTCAGGCGAAGCAGCGACTTCTTGGCCTCGTCGATCCTACCCTTGCGCACCAGCCACCAGGGCGACTCGGGGGCGAAGTAGATGCCGAGGGCCAACGGCACCGGCCACATCCACTGCAGGGCGTAAGGGATGCGGTAGGCCCACTCGTCCTGGCGGTCGAGCATGGAGACGATGACGCCGATACCGATCTCCTGGCCGAGACCCCAGCAGAAATTGACATAGGTGGTCAGGTAGCCGCGCAGGGCGACGGGGCAGACCTCGGAGGCGTAGGTGATGCAGAGGGTCTGGAAAACGCCCCAGGGGATACCGCATAAAATCTCGGCCACGAGCAGGGTCTGGACATTCTGGGCGGTGAAGAAGATTGTGGTGAAGGCGGCGACGAGCAGAAGGCAGAGAATGACGGTCCAGCGGTAGCCGAAGCGCTCCGAGACCCAGCCGTTGATGAAGAGACCGATGATCTCACCGACGGTGGCACCGTTGCTGAGGCCGGCCTGCCAAGGGGCGGGGACCTGGTAGGTGCCGTCGGCGGTGAGGACGCCGTACTTTTGGTTGAACTGGGGAAAGGCATAGAAGTTGCTGACGAGGCTGACGTCGTAGCCCTCCATGGCGATACAGGTGGAGATGAGGATGCTCCAGGCGATGGCCTTGGGGTACAGCTTGATGCCTTGGGCCAGTGTCATGGCGTGCTCCTTGTCCGTGGCGGACTTTGCATTCTGCACAAAGGTGCTGGCCAGCTTGGCCGAGTGGTCGCCAATGTCGGTGACGGAGTCGACGGCGGTGACCACATTGTCCTCCTCGGGGGCTGTCTTGGACGCCATCGTGACGGGACGACGCAAAGCGACAAAAATGTGGGGCTGGCGGTGCTGCGATGCGCAGGTGTCGCGTGCGTGTGTGCTTGCGCGCGGCTCTGTCGCAGTTGGCTGTGGTTTGCGCAGAGTCGGTCGATGAGGCGAGTAGGAGGGCGTGGGTGTGGGGAGGAGCGAGGGAAGCTTTGGCCCCGAGGTATTAGTTAGTAGATGTGATGGAAGGGGGGGAAAGGAAAAGACGCCGTTGGAGAGCTCGTCGAGTGTTTTGTGCGGAGAAGGGATAACGGCGAGCTTATGAAAGAAAAGAAATGCCCGCGTGCCGGGACGCTAGGTTGGGCGAAAGCCCACAAAAGAAAGGGCTCGAAGTTTGACGAAGTGCGACGAAAGACTGGGGCCCCCGATATGAGGGGGATGGAAGGGGAGAGACTCGGGATGGAACTGAATTGACGGGCTGGTATCGCATCCATTCGCAAATTGGCACGGCGGTCAAGCGCAACTTTCGGGGTCATCAGCTAATCAACGTCGTCGCGTCGAGTACCCCCACCGGGCGCCGGAAGGTCAAGGAACATGGACTGGGGACAGCGATGCCGAAGTCGTCGCAAGCCACGGAGCAACACGGCGAGGGTTCATGGATGCGTTGAAGGAGGGACTGGGCTCTTCCCAGCGATCGACACTTTCCCCCTCTCCAATGATTGCCAGCATCGGACAAGGTAAAGAGTCAGGTTCAGAGGATCCCCGCATCCGATGGACTGGGACAGGCGGCTAGTCTGCTGCCATTGAGTTTGTTTGGAGTCGTCTAGAGACTAGCGTGCAGGAGAGACGAACGTGTGTCAAGGATGAATGGTCAGCTGAACTGTTAAATACCCTCCCTGTATGTCGCTCCTCATCTGGTCTGGGATCCAAGCCACCGGGAAGAAGTCCATGGTGTGGTGGTGGTGTCGGTAAGGTTGCCTTGATAATGGTGATGGGAGACGAGAAGTGGGGTAATGGCAGATAGAGAGGGAGAGATAGAGATTCAGAGAAGTTGAGAGAGAGAGAGAGAGAGAGGCGTGGAGATAGATGGTGCTCGATCTCGATCTCGATGAAGAATGCCACAGCCACATCCCCAGCCACGGTCATAGCAACAGCCACAACGATTGATTGATTGATTGATTGATTGATTAAATGATCGTTGTTTCCCCTTCTTCGTTCCTCCCCTTCCCTTCCCATCGCGACAACAGAGGCAGGCGAGCGATGCGCGGGAAGGGGAAGGTGCTCGGGTGCTTGCCGAACTTTCAGATGGCACAAAATGAGTACCTAGGTACCTTACCTACTTACCTAAGGTAGGATGAACCTGAGGTAAGGGAAAGAAGGTACGTACAAGTTGTGCATGCACAGCATAGAGAGGCAGGCACGAATACAGTACAGCGGCCGCCATGTGCGCGTGAGGGAACAATTTTCTCAGGTGGAGAGGCATGTGTCGTCGGGCGTCTGCTGACCAAATCACGACCTGGGGGTGGACGACCCTAACTGTGACGGAAAAAGTCCCCCCGCACACGTCACTGGCAGCCCCGGACTCGAGAGCCTCAACTCAAATCCCACACAGATCTGCTCAAAAATCGAGGGGCTCCCCAGATTTTGCTCCATCTTCCCCAGGTTTCAATTCATTTGACATTTTCATCGGAAAGAATTGCACCTTTCGAGTCGCTCAGGGCGCCATGCCATCTCCCGAAGCGCCTGATTCGTTGAGTGCCACCACTTGGTGAGTGAGACTTGAAAGGGGGGATGATCCACCGCCGTGAGAGGGTGCAGGGGTCGCTTCGGGAAAAAACGCCTCTTTCGGAGTCGACGAGGCCATTCGAATCTGGACAGGCGGCCGTGAGAACGAAAGGCGAGAGACGAGCTATAGCGAAATATCTCGTGGGATGCCTTCAGCTCGTCGTTGCCGGCAAGAAAAGATGGCTCGATGGACTCCGGCGTTGGTGACGCTATCTGTTGGTGCCAACGAAAGGCCTGACTGAGGGAGAATTCCCTCATGTTTGCTTCATCTTTATTTATTTTGGAAGGCAACTTGGCTGACAGCAAACTCTGTTTATAGCGAACAGTGCCGCGAGCAGCACCTGCGGTGTGATCGCGTCCTCCCCGTCTGCGGACGGTGTCTGATGACAGGCAGGGAGTGCAAGAAGGGGTACAAGTTCCGCGTGCCCAAGCACGCCGTCTTCAAAGAGAGCCACAAATGGCCTCCGACGCCCAAGAAGCTCAAGTTCGTTGACGAGACGCGGGGGGTTGAGCTTGGAGTCAGCGATGACATCGACAGCGCCGAGTCCGTAGTCGGTTCCATTTCCGCAGACCTCGAATCGACCGACACCTCGCCGGGCACCACGACCGTCGGTTCCACCGCATCGGCTGACCGCCCGCCGCTGCAGGCGGCCAAGGCGGCGAGTTGGCCTCTCCCCAACGGGAGTCAAAAGGAGAACCGTCGTGGGAGACATCACGAAAGCCCCCATGAGAGCCATCATGAGAACAGTCATGACAACAATCACGGAAGCCCACCCGAAGGCCGCCACGAACGCGAAGTCATTAGCGAGCCTGCCCGACCGCCGCCACGGGCATCGCCGAACACGCCCGACGCCGACCACTTCAGCCCTCATGATGATCGACGAGAGCCGTCCCAGTCCGATTCGGCCATGACTTTACCTCCTATGCAGTCCGTGCTGCCGCCATTTGAAGGCATATATACCGATCGTCCCGCGTGGCCGCTCATCGGCCGCCAAGAAGCTACTCTGTTCCGTCACTTCGTGGAGAAGCTAGGGTTCTGGGTATGTCAAAGGCCGACGCCCTGCCTTCTTTCTCGAGCGGCAAGGGGAAAGACCACTGACCGGCGACGCAGCTCGATCTATGTGACCCCATCAGGCACTTCGAGACCGAAGTGCCGCAGCGGTCCGGCTCGTGCCCCATCCTCCTGAACGCCATCTTCGCGCTGGCGGCACGGCATCTCAGCCTGACAAGCGCCTACGACTCGCTGGCCTCGAACCGCTATCACGAGCAGTGCCTCAACTACCTCATCCCACTGCTCGACCACGCCAGCACCGTGTCAGACGAGAACCTGTTCGCCGCCACCATCATCCTCCGGGTCCTCGAGGAGATTGACGTCAACACCCTTGGCCAGGACGCGCATGGCCACCTCCTCGGCATCCACGCCTTCGTCAACGCCGGAGACCGCTTCCTAGCGCCGGGAACCCTGACCGCCGCCTGCTTCTGGGCCGGCTTGAGGCAGGAGATCTACAGCGCCGTCATCAATCAACAGGTCGTCCGCATGAACCTCAGTCACGCCATCGTCGATCGCTCGACGGCTCCGGGAGACGACTTTGTCTGGGCGAACCGCGCCATCGTGCATTGTGCCGACGTCCTCAACTTCTGCTTCGGATCCGAGGCGGGGTCCGTCCTACAATGGGGCCAGCTCGAGATGGCAAACAGGGAATGGAAGAACGCGCTGCCGCCCTCGTACACGCCCATCTTTTTCCGCGAGAGAACGAGAGACGAGGCCTTCCCCGAGGTGTGGTATCAGAAGGCGTGTCACGGTAAGTGAGCTCCCATCTGCCTCGGCTCTTGGCAACGGCCGGTGGACTTTTCAGCATGGGCGGTGTCCGCGATGAGGCCTGATCAGATCGCCAAACTGACGCTCGCCAGTCATCGCCGTCCAACATCACATCCTCGCCGAAATGTACCTCACACTGTTCAACCCGAGCATACCGCGGGTCGGCGGCGGCCGCAAGGCTGCAGAGAAGCGGCTCACGGAGCAGATCCAGGAACTGTTACGGAGTCTGTGCGGAATCGGCATGTGCAACCAGTGGTCACCGCCGGCCATGTTCACGGCTTGCATGGGCATAGCCATCGGTAAGATTTCTCTTTCTCTCTCTCTTTTTTTTTTCCCTTCCCCCCCCTCCTCTCCCGTTAGACATGTTATGCATCCCGTTTTTGAACGGCGCTCCGTGTGCCTTGCCTCATACGCTAACTTGGATCTTTTCACAGCCGGTGACCGGTTCGACAACAGACGCGACCAACAGGCGCTGCTGAAGATGCTGAGCATTACCGAGCAGGCCCACGCGCGGCCCACGACGGCGGTGCGCGAGCAGCTGATGAGTGCATGGGGGTGGATAGATGTGGACGCCATGGGCGAGGGATGAGGGCCGGTGGAACCCGGGGGTGGCGGGGCAGCCGCTCGGGGAATGTTTGACGACGGCCTCCTCGATTGGGTCATGGGGATGGGATTTTTGTTTTTGTTTTTTTCTTTTTTCCTTTGGGCGGCCGCCCCCGATGAGGGGTCGCCTCCCGCTTGGGACTGGTTCCAGATCACGATGGGCTTGGGTGGGCTGGGTTGGACGGCATGCATCCCCCCCAGATTTAGATTTCTGTTGGTTTTAGCATCTATTGATACCCGGCACGGTGTAGATTCCGTGTCTGTGATGGAAAGTATCTGACCGGCTTAGCCGGGATGGCTGAGGTAGTGGCAGGCGACGCATGCTCAAGAACGATGGGACATATTTCGCAATTCGACCCACCTACTTGATTTCAACCTCGTAGTTGCGCGTGTGTGTCTGGCGCCTGTTTGGTGGCTATTTGCTGTCCATACTTCTCCCCGCATGGGCAATACCGTCCGCGTGACGCTGTGTAAGTCATGTCCACCTAGCCCGCCCCGGTACGGAACAGCTCCCGCTGAATTAGCGTCAGACACTTTCCTACAGAAGAGCCACTTTCTGACCAATGTCGATGCCGGGACAGGAACGCCTCAATGCGTGCTTAGATTAGAAGCTCGGGGGGAAGGCCGAGACAACGAGGGGTAGTAGAGTCTGGGCGAAGGACCCTCGGGCAGGCGAATCAGGCAGCTTGCCCAGCTGGATCCAATCAGTGCAAGGCCATTACTGAAAGGAGTAGGGGAAGCTCGCGGGGGGGGATAAACTCACCCCGCATGGGGCGGACCCTGAAAAAGCGACGTTGAAAAGACGGGCACGTAGAAACTGACTAGTACGAGAGGCCGCGCCGCCAAAAGAGGAAATAATCGAGGCTGGTTTGCAAATCCCATGACGATGCGGCGGGGACCACAATCAAGCTTTGCCCCAAGGGATGAGAGATGCAGAGCAGGGTGCCGTCAGGTTACACCTTTCTCTTGGCCATCCACCCTAGGATGCAATTTTTAACGCGGCAGATGGGAAAGGCGGGAGGTAAAGGTGTACGGAGTAGAATAAGCGTTTGAACCGTTGGAGATGCAGGGATGGTCTCGCGGATTTTGGCTATAAATGAGGTCGTCGGGATTTTGGTGCTCTCTCACACAGCTCGCATTAGTCTCGATTGGGACTAGCTAGGCAGATTCACAAGTGGCTTATGTCACGTGATGATTAAAATTGTTCATTCTCCCCGAACAGTGAAGAGAAGAGGGACAGTGCCCCACAAGGGTCTTCGGCGACTTTATCCTCATTCAAACAACCGGAATCAAAAACCTGGAATCCCCTCGCACTCCGGTTGCATGTCGTCGCATCTCTCCACAGAGCTGGACCGCGCCCCGTCTTTCCTGCTCCAATTTACATCACACCCCGCCCTGATCTTCGCGCGGGGTCTTTTCTGTTGTTCGGTATGGAGAATGTCGATTCTGGCTGCGTGACCAAGTTGGCGTTTTTTTCCCTTTTTGCTGTCCCGTCCAAGTAGGTCCAGCCCTCCATGACGAACCGTACCTTGGCTGAGCACCGCGTGTGGCGTGAACATCAGGTACCTCGCCGTGTCAGAGTTTTCCTCCTCCATCTCGGCGTCTGCCCGGAATAGCAAATCCTGTATCCGTATTCTGTCTGGTCTTGTCTTTCCCAAGCAACAAACATATTTAAATGCTGTCTCCCTAGGGCTCACATCCTTAGACATTACACTCGTCTTCAGCATCCTCCATCATCTTGAGCGAATACCATTAGAAGCATCCCATTTCTTGTCTTCATATCCAACGGTTTTTCGTCTTTCCATCTTTGTGTATCTTTGACTTGTTGTAAATCCCTAAGTAATTCCGAATCTTCCAATCGCCACAATGGCCGCTGTTGTCGCCGTCCCCTACGCTGCCCGGACCGACGGTCACGCCCTGGAGCAGACCACCGACTTTGTCGAGGAGGTGAACATTCTCAAGGACCAGATCAACAAGCAGCAGCAGCAGGACGACTTCTCCGGGGAGTCCAAATTCGACCAGGACAAGGACAAGACGGCCTTCCGCCAGTACGAGGATGCCTGCGACCGCGTCAAGAGCTTCTACAAGGAGCAGCACGAGAAGCAGACGGTCGAGTACAACCTCGCGGCGCGCGAAAAGTTCGCCATCGACGTCACCGGCCAGAAGCCGTGCCGCGACGAGATGACCATCTGGGAGGCCATGGAGAAGCTCAACACGCTCATCGACAACTCGGACCCCGACACCGAGCTCTCCCAGATCCAGCATCTGCTCCAGACCGCCGAGGCCATGCGCCGCGACGGCAAGCCCCGCTGGATGCAGCTCACTGGCCTCATCCACGACCTCGGCAAGCTCCTCTTCTTCTACGGCGCCGAGGGCCAGTGGGACGTCGTCGGCGACACCTTCCCCGTCGGCTGCGCCTTCGACCCCCGCATCATCCTGCCCTCCACCTTCGAGGCCAACCCGGACAACAACCACCCGGTCTACAGCACCAAGCACGGCATCTACGAGCCCGGATGCGGCATCGAGAACCTCATGATCTCTTGGGGCCACGACGAGTACATGTACACCGTCTGCAAGGAGCAGTCCACCCTGCCCCGCGAGGCCCTCGCCATGATCCGCTACCACTCCTTCTACCCCTGGCACCGCGAGGGCGCCTACCGCGAGTTCATGAAGGAGGGCGACGAGGACCTCCTCAAGGCCGTCCTGGCCTTCAACCCCTACGACTTGTACAGCAAGTCTGACGATGCCCCCACCGTCGAGGAGCTCAAGGTATGTTCTGTCTCCCCCCCGCCGTTTGCTCGCGACCCCTGCGACCCCTGCGTGGACAGCCAGTCACTAACGCAAATACTAGCCCTACTACATGGAGCTCATTGACGAGTACTTCCCCAACAAGGTCATCAAGTGGTAGAGAGAGCCACAATTTGTTTTCTGGGTTTGTCCCGTTATGACTAGAGCGACATGAGATGGGTTTTGTTTCTTTTGATACACAAGCCCTCCGACAGCGTTTTTTTCTTTTCTTGTTTCCGTCGGAGGCATGGCGTTTTTGTAAAATGGGCGGGTGATGATGAATACACCCATTGGGGGTTACCGGTTCTTTTTTTGCGAAATGACTCTTCAAATGCTGTGCCGGCCAAGACAAAGAGGCCTCGATAAATCGACTCAAAACGTACTCGGGTAGAGGGAGTCTGAAACTTTTCGACGGATTAGACATGTGAAGAAACGATCGAAACAAAGACACGCAGTGCGAAGTGCGACTGGGATGTCTCTCTTGTTATTTGCAGCATACTGGACTTGTTCGCGGCATACAGCTGGATTCTGTTCTATTTACTACGAAGGTCTTCTTAACAGCCCCGGATGTCTCACCAAATGCCTGTGTGATGCCCGTCTGTCTCACTCTGCGTATCACGTTTGAAAGGCATTCAAAAAGAGTGAATATTGAGATAGTATAACCCTACATACACATGACAATAGAAGGAAACAGCAGACCAGAAGTTACAACGATATCAAGAGGCGGCCAAACACTCGGGCCGGCTAGCTCACGAAGATGCGCCTAGTCCATCTCTCTGTTGCCATATTTGCGGACGAGAAGAAAGAGCTGCCGTGCTTCCTCGTGGGCTTCTCGACGCCGTTCAAGTTTCTTACATTGAAATGAGTTGGATTGACTGGGTAGACCAAGGCTGGTGGGTAATTTTCCTCAGTCTTGGTCCTGTCTGCAAATGGAGGGTAAATGCTACGCGCCTAAGCTGGTTAGTCAGCAGAAGATGCCGAGTGGGTCGGCTCCAAGCCGAGCCGGAGATGATGGCCCGCTTATGCCGGCCGGATACGGCCCCACCTTACTACCGGCCGTGGTCCTTTTTGCCACGGGACGTTGCAAAATTGCCACTGCTTGGCAGAGAATGCACGCGTTCACAGGCACACTCACTGTCTTGCTTCTTTCCTGATGATTCTCTTCGCAGTAGGGTTGTTCCCCATCATCTTCCGGGCCTTCCCTTTTGCTGTCCTCATCCCAGAACAGGTGAGGCCAATTCGCCGGAACCTTGAAAGTGAAAATCCTGCACCGAGAAAGACCCACTCGCACAAAGTCCGAATAGCAAGCAAAGGCAGACGGATGGGCGAATGTCAAAACGGTCCACAAATGGCAAAACCCTAATAGTCATCCTGTGCCTCTGCCTCTCCAACAAGGAGTACCTCGTATCAAGCACAATAGCTCAGGGGTAGAGCGCTGGGCTCATAACCCAGAGGTCCCTGGATCGAAACCAGGTTGTGCTATCTCTTCTTTTGCGTTTTTGTACTCACCTTCGTTTCTTTTTTTTCTTTTCTTTTTTTCTTTTTTCCTTCGTCATGGCGAACTCCCCCGGCACAGCCCTTCCACGGCAGGGGAACTCAATATGGAATCATTCACATTCACCCAAGCGCCCCATCACAACGTGATGCTGCTGACCAGTGTCCCGCCAGACGTGCTCTGAAGTAACTTTTAAGTTTGCTTTGGCTCTGCGCCGTTGGAACGGCCGCCCATGTCAGACCACCACCACGAGAGACCGGTCACATCGGCCTCAGCATCGAGGGGTCTTCCCTCGGTTTGAGCTCAGTCTGATTGTTGCCGTCAAGTGCTGAGCACCGAGGATGCTAAATTCGATATCGAATGGTTGATTGCTCCGTCTGTTGGTATTTAAAGCACAAGCCTATCTCCATGCAATGCACTTGTTATATCGTTCATCGGCGGAGAAAACAAGGAAATTGGGGATTTTGGCTCAAGGTGCCACCGAAGCTTCGCTCTCATCAGCCCGTCCGATGTGGTCCGATGCGCCGCTTTGAGCAACCCTATGGACAACTTCCAACAGGCACGATCCTCTCGGGGTGGTGGAGTAGCCGCCCACTGACCCCATAGAGTTGCATGCGTGAGTTATCTGGAATAATAGCCTTCCCACGTCCATGACCCTATCAAACCCAGCCAGTTTGCCCCCCCCTCGCCACCGCCCACCCTGCCAGATTTGTCGCCATAGCCGCGCGCATCTTTACCAGATCGACTCCCACCTGACCAGCGGGTGTATTTCGGAAAGCTTGTTACGCTCATCCAACCCGAACCGGAAACATGGGCCGCGTCAAACTTGACATCCGCACGTCTTTCAACACGGCTACCCGGAGGGAGTGGCGAGTAGACGACGGCTTGCGGCGGATTGGATGGAGGGAGGGAGGGGGGGAGTGAATTGTTTGGCGTCGTTTTGGTTCGATCCTCGGGCAGAAGATGAAATCCTCTTGAGTTTACGTTGCCTCCCTCGGCAGTCCCTCATACGACCGCACGGCCGTTTTGCGCTGTCAGCCGCCACATGTGCCGGCCGAGGAGGCGCTGTGCCCTTGCCGCTCATGTGTCTGTCACGAAGGAACAAAAGGGACATAGCGGCCGCCAGGTGGGATGTCGCCGCTTGCCGTGCCTGAGCGCCCTGCGGACTGGCCGTTCTTGACACAGGTACAGCCACATTGCTCAGACCATTGCCGCCAAACGCAAGATAGGCTTAGCTGCGCAGAGCCAAGACGGGGCCGAGGGTGACGGCCGCCTCAAACGAGCTAACACGGGGGGAGGACAGCGGGAACCAAAATCGTCGGGAGCGAGATATTGCCACGCTACTGTAGTGGTTGGGACCATAGCCCTGCGAGAAACATGCGGAAGGAATCGAGAATATCCAGCTTTACCATGTCCGTCCTCCCACCAGCAGCAGCAGCAGCAGCAGCAAACAAGCTTTGGGCAGAATACAACATCCGAACGCGCTTATGAGAACCAGTTGATGCAAGGAATACAAAGTAGGTCCTTGATGAATCATCGCGCATGCTGAGCACAATTCTTCCATAGCAGTGCGCGCGTGTGGTATGCCGATATACCCATCGTCGCCACGGGGAGTTATGCGAACCCGAGAACCGCCCGAGAGTTGCATGGTGGCGGCCGTCCGTCTTCATACTGCTTTGCTCCAAGATTCCCATCTTCGCGCCCATGTGGTACATGCTGGTCTGAACTACCTCGCATGCTCGCCGCCGCGGTTCACTGTTCCGGTCGGGTATGGGCAGAGAGGCATGGGCAGGCGGCAAAAAAAAGAAAAACGCAGACTCGCCCACTCGGGCTCGACTGGAAATCTAGATAGCCGTCATCAAGGCGGAGAGCACAACGCTTGGTACCCGAACCGACTGTCAGGACCGCGCCCGCTCACTCCCACTCAGACTGTTTGGAACATCGTCCCGTCTCTCGCCCTGGCCCGAACTGTTGAAACCAACCCGCCCTCTTGGTATAAAGGCCTCCAACTGGTACCTGGGTTGTCGAACCGGGGCCTCTCTCTGCGCTACGCAAACTCCATCAGTTCCTCGCAACTGTTTGACCGAAGAGGCTAGGACCACGACCGATCCCCGAACGACAGCACCGTGCTTCCGAGGTTAACCTGCGCCGCGACCACACTTTATAGCTCTGGATTTCCACCTTATCTAGAGGTTGGATCGACCGTTTGAGGTTTGGGGTTCTGGAAGCTCTTGAGACTCGGCTTTCTCATTCTCTCTCTCCTCTTCCTTTCGTTAATAACGACGATTGCGCGAAGTTTGTGATAGGACCGGTAGCATTGGTTGCTTTCGAGGTGAGTATTTCTAGTGGTGGAAAACTCCATTCATGTCTTATTCTCAATAGACAACAATATCCGAAATGAGGTCGACACTCTCGCAGAGCGTGCTCTTTCTGCTCTACGGCCTCGCTATAGCGGCCCCGTCCAACTCGGGCGTCGCGAAGAGGCAGGATGAGCCGGCAGCGAACACCGACGATGACCAGGCCCCCAAGTCATGCAACACACCTACCAACAGACAATGTTGGGTCGACGGATTCGACATCCACACTGCTTACGAGGAGAAGACTCCTGACACCAATGTGACTCGGGAGGTGGGTTTGTAGCTGCCGGAGCGACGGGTCAGCGCTGACATATGATAGTATACCTTGGTCCTTACTGAACCCCCAACGTACAAGGGTGCAGATGGCATGGACAAGACTAACGCCATGCTCATTAATGGTAGGGAATGGCAATCGAGGCTATTGACGATTCTATGCTAATGCAGTATGTGTTGCAGGCGGCTTCCCGGGCCCTAACATCAGGGCAAACTGGGGTGACAAGATCCGCGTGAGAGTCGTCAACAACCTCAGAACAAACGGGTATGTGGAGAGGCGCAGATGGCATACCGAACAGCGGGCATTCGAGCTGACATGACGCAGCACGTCCATGCACTGGCACGGGCTCAGACAGCTGAACAACAACGTCAACGACGGAGTCAACGGTATCACTGAGTGCCCCATCCCACCGGGCTCCAGCAAGACGTACGAGTGGCGCGCTGAGCAGTATGGCTCCTCATGGTGAGCTCGTGATCCTCGGCCTTCTCAACGTGGGAAAAAGCTGACTCCGCCAGGTACCACTCTCACTTCTCTGACCAGTACGCCAACGGCGTTGCGGGCACCATCCAGATTGACGGACCGACCTCCAAGAACTACGACGTGGACCTCGGCGTCTACTCTCTCTCGGACTGGTACTACAAGTCCGCCGACGAGATCCGCGCAACCTTCTCTGCGCCCGCGGCCGTCCCTGCCAGCGACAACGTCCTCTTCAACGGCACCAACGTGAACAAGAACGGCGGCGGAACCTACTCCCGCGTGACGCTCCAGAAGGGCAAGGTTCACAAGATCCGCCTCATCAACATGTCGGTCGACAACTCCTTCACCGTCAACCTCGTCAACCACAAGATGACAGTCACGGGAACCGACTTTGTGCCCGTCAAGCCTTTCGAGACGGACTCGCTCTTTCTCACCGTCGGCCAGCGCTACGACGTCCTCATCGACGCCGACCAGGACCCCAGCAAGGCCTACTGGTTCAACGTTACGCTCGCCTCTAACAGGCTCTGCGGCACAACCAACATTAACAAGCCCGCCTCCATCTTCCAGTACGAGGGCGCGTCCAGCAACATAATGCCCAAGGACGCGGGTCAGGCGCCCCCCGACTCTCAGTGTCAGGACAAGACGGACTACGAGCCCATCTACAGCGTCAACGTCAACTCCACGGCCTTCTCCAAGACTCAGGACAACTCCTTGGACGTCACTGTCGACACCAGCAGGACGACCAACCAGCAGCGCGTGTACTGGAAGGTAAACGGCCAGGCCATGGACGTCGACTGGGACGAGCCGACGCTGTCTTACCTTGCCAAGAACAACACCGATTACCCTGCCCAATTCAACGTCTTTGAGGTGCCGAACGAAAACAGCGTAAGTATACATACCCAAGACCAACCTTTTCTTCTCTTCTTTCTTACTTTTCAAACGCGTACTGACCGTTTTCAGTGGGCATTCTGGGTCGTCGAGAACCTCTTCCCTGCTCCTGTAAGTGCTCCCCCAGCCAGCAACCCACCCAACCCGCACCATACTGACAAAAAGCAACAGCATCCCATGCATCTTCACGGCCACGACTTTTACATTCTCGGCCACTCGGATCCCACGGCCGGCGTGGGCAACGGTCAAGGGTTCAACCCCCAGACCGACACTTCCAAGCTCAACTTCAAGAACCCGACGAGGCGCGACGTCACCACGCTGCCCGGCAGAGGCTGGCTCGTCGTGGCGTTCAAGACGGACAACCCCGGCGCCTGGCTGTTCCACTGCCACATCGCGTGGCACGTCAGCCAGGGCCTGAGCGTCCAGTTTCTCGAGCGCACGAGCGACATCGTCAACACCGTCAAGATCGACGCCATCGACGACATGTGCTCGCAGTGGAACTCGTACTCGAAGAACGCGCAGTTCCAGCAGTCCGACTCTGGTATTTGAAGCTTTAACAAGGGCCTCTTGCAAGATTTTCCCCGTCATCTGGGAAAACATTCATACAAGCTTTTATTTTGTTTTGTTATTCTGGCACGTCGTTCTCAGTTTGGTTCATTTGTGGAAACGGGGCGGTGTTAAGGGGCCGGAAGCATAGTCATGACAGAAGGAAAGGGGGAGAGCATCATAGACAGATATACAACATCATGCTTATCATTCACATGACTTTTCTGACGCCTTCCAACCCGTGATGTCTTTGTGAAATATTCCCGTGGAACAATGGTTTCGCTCACATATCAATGGACTGCGAGCACAGCCCAGTCCAACGGCGCATGTGCCATTAAGTTGATTATTAATGTCTATTTCAATAGCCTTGATGCCGAGTCATACTGCAAGACTATTGGACCTTGGAGCATAAAGAGGCCGCCAGCAGCCGAGGAGTAAATGCGCAATACGCCTCGATTAGCTTTCCCCATCCTTTTGGCTCCTGACTGCGAGCTGTCGACGCTTCTTGTCGCCCAAGTGGCCTGCCTTTAGAACCAGTTCGCCCTCTTTGTTGCGGATCTCAAAGTCTTCCGAGGTCGTCCAGTCCTGGCGCAACGTCTTTTGTTTGATGACGTCGCGGCCCACCTGGTTCTGGATATCACGGCGCCCATTGAGCAAGTCGTTGTTCAGCTTTCCCTACAGGTGACGTTAGGAGGCATTCTTAACGCAAGTAACAAAGAGAGAGAGAGAGACAAGAAGCAGACTTACACCTCGCTCTTTGGATGGGGCGCCGGCGTATTTGCAGATCCAGTCTGCTCGAGTGAGAGAGTGGATGAGAATCTTGCAGTCCTGTCGGGGTTGGAGGTTAGAGGCTTGCTTTTGACAAACGATTGGGGGACACAGCAACCTACCAGCACGTTCTCACTTATAGCCTGCCATCTCTCGGCAAATGTATCAAAGTGCTCCCACATGGCGATTGTCTTTGAGCCAGACCAAAGTGGCCTCATGGTGAATCCGAGCTGCATCTCCATCGCAGCCCGCTAAAAAAAAACAGGGCTCTTGGTCAATTCCCAGCTTCATCAAAGGGCGGGAATCGTCTCTTACCAGCAGTCTCCAACAAAGAAGCTCAATCTCAACGTCAGAGATTTGATAGTGGATCACTGCCTCGAGCAGTTCCACGGGTGCGCTCTCGGCGTCCGTCAGGGCCCAGTCTGTCTTGCTAATGCCCTTCGGCCGAACAGCGGCGTCGAAACTGGCGTCCTGTCCCCCCGCACCCCTTCTTCGCTTCCTGGAGGGGGTCTCGGCAGCCTCGGATGAGTGCCGACCTTGTTGACTTTCAAGCTTGGCGAGGCGCTCGCGTGCCTTTCTCAGCTCGTAAAAGTTGCCCAAGTCGGTAACGTGGCCGAAGAGGCTTTCGACGTAGGCGCGTTGCTGTTCGGCCGACGATGGCCAGGAGGCGTCTTCGTCGGGCGCCTTGCCCGCTGCGCGCTTGACGTGCCGTTCGTAGGCATCGTCGAGCTCCTCGAAGTGGTCCATGTTCTGAACGACGCCTTTGTATCGAAAGGTAGGAGCAGCGACGAGCTCTGCTGTGAGAATCGGGTGCTGGTGCTCTGTTTCGTACATGTTGCTCGGCTTTGCTCTCTTCGCCTGGAGAGAAGCCGGCGTCGACGAAACCAGCGGTGATGGAGCGATCGTCTGCCCAGGTGATGTCGAGGCCTGCCCCATCTGCGAAGTCGCCGGCGACGTTTCTTGAGCCTGAGTGTTGGGCCAGCCGTAGGACATCGCGCGAAGCTCCAAGGCCGCGATGGCCTGGTCTGCTTCCTCTGGGTGAAACGTGGCCATCATGGAAATCCATTCGTGAAATCGGTAGACTAGGCCCCAGACCCCTTCGTCGTTGGGCCGGTTGTACAGAAGGGTCATGTAGAAGTTGATATCGGGGAACATCCGTGGCCCGTCGTGGTACCGGTAGGGCACCATGTCTTCTGCGAAGCTCAGTCAGTCTCCTGTTCTCTAGACGAGACCCGTGGTGTTGATTGTATATCTTCAGGGGTTACCATACTCAAAATCGTGTCGAACATCCACTTCTTGGTCTCATAAGGCACCGCCGGGTCATCCAGGACCTCAAGATCTGCGTAGAACAAAGGCACCGCTTGCTGCTCGTCGAGCGTGAGCTCGAACTCCGGGAGCGACAGTGTGGCCATTGTGTATGAATATCGATAGCGGTGGAAAAGCAAAAGTCAAAAATTGAGTTAGAACGTTGAGAATAAAGGAGGTGGTTTAAAGTCGAAGATTAGAAGGCTAGAAAGCTTTGACGCGGTGAAAAGGGGGGAAGTATAACAGCTGGAATCGAGAGAATCTGGCTATTCAAGGTTGTTTAAGTGAATATTAGACGCGACTTTACGTTCGTCTGGTAGTTTGTGAGGGCTGGGTGCAGTGCTTCAGATCGACTTCACCTTTGGCCCACAGGTTTACGAAGCTATCCCCAAGCGAAGTGGTGTGAAACAGAGCTGTTTCCATCTGAAGTTGGACAACTTCATCTGAGAGTTACGCCCAACGGTTCTAATTTGGAAGGAGAGCAGTTTTGTATCCTCAGGTCATGATGGAATATCTTGTTAAATACTGAGGCAGAGCAGTTCTACCGCATGGTTTTGACACGAGGGATTCCGCAATAATAAGACCTGGAGAACACAGCTTGTTTAAAAACCCTGTCGTACGCGAGGTTTTATCGAAATACTTTTAAGTGACTGCAAATATCTCTTATGAACCACCTGCCATTCTGAGCATTTCCTCTGGCATTCGCTCTGAGAAAAGCTCTCATTCCGGTGCGGACCGTTAATCTGGTAGACCCAGGAAACAATCAGGCTGTATTGTTCGGCCACGAAGAAATGTTATCATCATGGTATACATCAATCTCTGAGCATATGGAATTTGATCGAATGAGTTGCATTATCGGCCATAGGCAGCGGGCTTTTTATTGGGCGGCAAAACAAATCTGGTGACATGAATATCGTGAATCGTAGCCGCATAAAACTTTTGACACAACATAAGCCTTGAGTCTTTGACCACACAACGAGTATCGTGTACTGGCCAAAACGCGGCGCGAGTTCGTCGGCAGAGGCTTTGACTTGTGCTTCTCGCGAGGGTCTCCTTCTTCGGCTTTCATGACCTAGGAAAACAGCATATCGGAGACGGCGCCGAAATTCATGTATTTAATGCCGTCGTCGTTTTCCTGCCGAAACAAGTTAGATGCTTTTCCGACATGTAAACTCGAGGCAAGAGAAATGCTGCCTTACCAAGGACTCCCAGTCCCAATCCCCCAGGAGGTCGACCCCGTCAAAGTCCATGTCCAGGTCGTGGACGCTAGGTATGTCCGGCGCGCTGTCCCCGGCCAGCTCGCGAAGCATTTCGTAACACTCCGCCACCCGCTCCTGGCAAGTCGCCCTGAACTGCTCCTCGAAGCGTTCGTCATCGAAGCCGTTGTCCAGGCTGCTGATGTGCGAGGTGATCAGGGCGCTGAGGAGGTGGCCTTTGACGTTGGTCTCCCCGGACAGGATCCGCCTACGGAACCAGTCGTGGAACGTGTCGATGATACCGCGGAGCTGAGCTTCGGACCCGATGAAGGGCATCGACGGCCCGTTCTTCAGCTCCTCCTCCTTGAGGTTGCACAGCTCGAGCCCGATGACCATTATGCTCTGCAGCGTGACAGAGCGATACGTCCCAGCGCTGTTGATCGTCAGCCGCTGGTAATCCACCTCTGACGGGGTAGCGGGCTTGGCTGCGCCCGACCCCGATTTGTCGGGGCACAGGAAAGCAGATTCGCACAGCCGCAGGGCCGCGTCGAACATGACCATCCTGGAGAAGTAATACATCGGGTTCCGCAGAGCCAGGGGGACGATCGGTTGATGCAGGGCGAAGAAGAGGCGGTACGACATGATCTGCACGTAGCGGACCTGGAAGGCCGTCACGGACGCGTGCGACTGGAGCTGCCGCATCATCCGCTGCAGCGAGCTGCTCAGCCCGTTGCTGCACCGCAGCGTCTCCTCGTACACGGTGTCGGACCGGAAGTCATTGGCGCGCTTGGCGGTGGCGAGACGGGCCGCGAACGTCCCGAACAAGGCGAGGGGCACCGTCATCTGCGTGTAGGTCTTTGCGTCCTTCGGCACGGGGTAGGCCGAGTCTGCGTCCTCGACGAGCTGCTCGTCGTCGATGTTCGCCGGCGGCTCCGTGTCGAAATCATGCGTCGAGATGAGCGGCGGCCCGCCCGAGTCGATGCTCGTCTGCAGCGCGATCTCCAGGACGGTGACCCAGAGCCTGCGGCGCATCTCGGAGCGGTAGGGCGTCATCTTGACGATCGCCGTGGGCTCGCGGTGGAGCCCCATGTACATGGCCGTCCTGACGAGCGCGCCTGCACCGATCCAGGATAGGTCGCAGCCGATGTTGGCGGTGTGCCGCAGGAAGTGCATCAGGCAGCGGATCTGGATGCCAGTGATGGTCATCTTGGACTTCTCGCACGGCGTGATGAGCCAGAACATGCCTTCCCAGAACCACCGAGTCGCGAGGATACGAAGGTTGAACCGCTCGTCGTAAAAGGTGGCGCCAATACCCATGCAAAGCTGCATGAGGACGACGAATGGTTCGCTCGCTTCGGAGGGGTTCTCCCAATACCGCTCGTAGTCGGCCTTGAACGATGGGACGTGGACGATGCGGTGGACCGTCTCAAAGGTGCGGAGGTAGTTGCCGACGAGGATGTCGGCAAGCTGCCGAGACGGCATGCTCTTCCCGATGGATATGGAGCTGAAGGTGGGAGTGCGGCGAGCTTTGACGACGCGGGCCAGCTTTTTGCACGCCTCGAGGTCGGAGTAGAGTTGAGAAGTCACTTCACTCTCAAACTTCCTGGTGATGTTGACCAGGCGATAGAGCTGCCGCACGTGTAAGCGAGGCCAAGTCTGGTTTGAACAAACTGAGACAGTGCGAAACTGGATTGCTCTGCCGACGATGTTGCCGATTGCTGAGCGGACGCGAAGATTGAGAAGCCAGAAGGCAAAAAGTAAGGTGCAGAAATAAGGTAAAACAGTGAACCCAGACGTGTATGCCTTGTGAAGAGACATGGGACTTACCATATCGGTCGAGGCCATCCAGTGACTCTGTCCAAAGTAGCGAGTCTTACTAACACAGCCTCGACTGTACTTCAGACCTTCGCGCAGAGTTGGAGCAGACCGCGACGGCCCGTCGCTTTTGCTCCCGCCCCTCACGGTCAGCTCTGACAACTGCTGCTCGAGTTGCTTCACCCTCTCAGTGAGAGCATTGACAGTCGAGGAGTAGCCGGGACAACTGCCGGGTGTCGACGCGGTATCCGCGCGAACACTGACCGAAGCAGAGGCCATCGCGGGGTTGTCGGACCGGCACTTCCCATAGTCCGCTAACCCCGGTTGCTCAACGGAGATGGGTGTCGGCGCAAAGAGCGGGGTTCCTTCAGAGGTCTCGAGGACCAGCCTCAGTGCTGACGACTCGGGATCCTTCAGGCCCGGCAGGGCTTGGGCCGTCGGCAGGATGGGATCGGGGATCCCGAGGCCCGCTTCGGACTCGGCCGCCCCATGTACGGGGCTCTTGGGCCCGCCAGGTCTCCTCCGCACAGTGAGATCGTTCTGACTCGTCGTCATGGACGGGGCAGGATATCTCGTTGGCGGCAGAAGCCTGAAAGCCGAGTGAGCCGGGTCGGACAGACTGTCGCGATCCAAGGCCATGTGACCAGTGGTCCCGTTGGCGCCAGGGCTCCGGAGCGGTCGTGCCGCCGGCTTGGTCTGTGAGACGTACGTGCAGAGGGTGTGACCAGTGCGGACGCAGGTGTTGCAGGGGAGGTTTCTGTCGCAGCGGACTTTGCGGCGGCGGCATTGTTCGCATGCGAGAGCGGGCCTTCGCCGTTTCTTCCGTGTCGTCGAGGACTGGTCCGGGCTTCTCGAAGGGTCCATATTGGGGGTTGGGGTTTGGTGTCAATTTGTGAGATGTTCGGGGACAATGTGGCATGGGGTTGTCGGACGGAGGATGACTCGGCTTATTCTGTCATGGCATGCGTCTCCCCTCATGCTTGAGTCCTGATTCACGGCGTGCCGATACCTAGGACCAGAGAGATCGTAAAGTACAGAAATCCGAACGTATTTGGGCAGAGAGATTTTATCAGATCGATCTGATTAAGTTGCACTGGGATGGAATACGGAGACCATGAAGCCAGCAGCGATGTAATAGTAAAAAGAGGCGCTTATCCCCGAGATGTCGTCGGGGTTCGCGCACCTAAGGACCGTCTCGCCCGCAATACCCCGAGAATTCTGGGTAGCTGGTTGGTTCAATTGGTCCGAAATGCAAAACACCGAGCTGTACGTGCATATGCCGAGAAAGGGTGGAATAGTGGCGATGATGTTATAAATACCGCGTTCGTGCTGTCGTTTAATAGGAAACCCCCCTCCGGATGGGCTGTTAGTCTTCTCTGAGATGACGATCAAGTATTGTCTAGAGAAACCCCCAGATTGCGTATCGGCACGAAAGGAATGTTGCATTCTTCTATTGCGGCACTACGCATTTACCATTTCATAATCGCAATTTGTCATTGAACAACTCGATCAAAGACTTGGTAAGAGGAGCTCCGGCGGCGGTGCCGGGTTCCGGGGAACAGCAACGAGTGTTTTTGAAGCGCAAATAGCCATCAAGTAGTACCGTTCGAAACGGCGCAACAATGCCAAACAGTGATGATGTTGGCTGGCTGCATGGTGCTGGGAGAGTGTGCCATGGAAAACAATGCAGTTTTACCAAAGCTAAGCAGTTGCCGTTTCAAAAACAAAAAAAGCCCACTAGAGTTATGGCAACAGACAGTATTGAAGCCACGAGAGAGTAAAATACCACTGATTGAATGCACACGGGACCCATGTCGATGTTTGAGTAGAACCAGAAACCTTCCAAGAGGCATGTATGTATTTGTATGTTGGTAAGTCGGCTTGAACGGAATGAGAGGGCCAAATATTCCCACATGCTTTTTCGATGGGTATTGGCAAAACAGGCCAGTAGAGCTTATTCTCCATGTCGAACAATCAATTTCTCGACTCGACGCTGCTTGGTAGCTTGATCACCACGTCTCTGGATGGGCGTAACCCACGTGCGGATTTACCTTGAATCCATGGCTTATCATCCGATCCGACCTTGCTGGGAGGGCCGTCTTTAGTTAGCGCGAGCCAATGAGCGCATTCCCGCCGACGGCTGGGTTCGTCACATGCATGCGGATCTGAATAGGTAGATAGACACACAGACACAGAGGGAAGACCCGGTTTGGTTTCAGCGCAAAAGGTAACTGCTCGATTTCTAGGTAAAATGGGGGAAAAGGAGACCAAATGTACAAGACAGAAACCTCTTCCGCACCCGAGATGCAGCATTAGTCAGGAGATCATTGTACACGGGAAGTAGGTTGTGGTAGGTTCGTCGTCCGGCGCCGAGCAGATGGTGTATGCTTCGGCCCGTCTTTCACTGCCCTCCGCCCTCCTCCCTTCGCAAAAACCACAGGACGTGTCTTCGGCCTGAACGTTCTATATCGTACGCCGGATACGCCTTCGAAACTCATCATGCCTCCTCTTCCTCCGCCGCCGCCGTCGCACGGCAACGCGTCACACTCAACACCGACTTCCCCCCTTACAGGAGAAGCTCGAGAGGGTTCTCGAGGACCTTCTTCAGCTCCTTGAGGAACTCGGCACCGACGGCGCCGTCGACGACCTTGTGGTCGAAGCTGCCGGTGATGGTGATCTGGTCATCCCAGGCGACACCGGTGGTACCGTCCTCGGACTGGGCGGGGACGGCGACCTTCTTGGTGGTGCCGATGGCGAGGATGGTGGACTGGGGAGGGTTGATGACGGCGGTGAAGTTGTCGACGGCATCGTTCATGCCCATGTTGGAGATGGAGATGGAGCCGCCCTGGTACTGCTCAGGCTTGAGCTTGCCGTCGCGGGCGAGCTTGGCGAGCTTCTTGACCTCGGTGGAGATGGCCTCGAGGCCGCGAGCCTCGACGCCGGTGACAATGGGGGTGATGAGGCCGGTGGGGGTGGAGACGGCGACGGAGACGTCGACGGTGTTGTGCTGGCGGATGACATCACCGCGCCAGCTGGAGTTGGCCTGGGGAACCTTCTTGGAAGCAACGCCAATGGCCTTGATGAGGAAGTCGTTGACGGACAGCTTGTACTTGCCGTCGGAGGAGGCGTTGAGGGCCTGGCGAAGCTTGAGTAGCTTGCTGACGGAGATGCTGGAGGAGACGTAGAAGTGAGGGTTGTTCTGGGTGGACTCCTGGAGGCGGGATGCGATGGTCTTGCGCATGCCGCTGATGGGGATGTCCTCGTAGCTGGCACCGGGGCCGGCAGCGGCGGCGGGGGCAGAGACGGCCTTCTTGACGTCGTCCTCGGTGATCTTGCCGCCCTTGCCGGATCCCTTGACGGTGCGGATGTTGACACCCTTCTCCTTGGCAAGGCGCACGGCACCGATGGTGGCGTTGGGCTCACGGTCCAGGGCGTTCTCGAGCTTGCCGGCGGGCTTGTTGAAGTCGTCGGAGGAGTTCTCGGGTTCGGGGGTAGGGGCAGAGGCCGGCTTGGCCTCTTCCTTGGGCTCCTCCTTGGGAGCGGGCTTAGCGGCCTCACCACCGGCGTCGGCGGCGGAGAAGTTCTCGAAGGCGCTAAGGTCGGTACCATCCTCGACGAGGACGGCGATGGGCTACAGAAACATTGTCAGTATGGGTAGACTCATCAGTGGCACGCGAGGAGTGGGCAGGTGAGGGCGAAGACTGTTCTCGGCGGCTTGTCGCGACTACGGACATATTGGGGGAAGGGAAAAAAAAACAAAAAAAAAGGCTGCACGCACGTTACCGACGGGGACGTCCTTCTCACCAGACTCCTTGAGGAGCTTGGCAATAACACCCTCCTCCTGGAACTCAAAGTCCATCTGGGCCTTGTCGGTCTCGATCTCGACGAGGACATCACCGGGGGCGATGCTGTCGCCGGCCTTCTTCTGCCACGCTCCGATGTTTCCCGCCGTCATGGTGGGCGACAGGGCAGGCATCTTGATGACGGTGTGCGGGGGGTAGGAGGCGTAGCATCTCAGGATCTGGGAGGAGAGGTTGCTGCGGAGGAGGGCATTCGGACGGACAGTCCGTCTCAAGACGGTGGAGATCATGGTGAATGGAAAGCTCCGGCGAGCGGCGCACGAAAGCAGGGAGAAGAGTGTAGTTGGCGGAGGGGGGCCGGACTATGGATCAAGACGATGGACCGTCGACGTCGAACAATTGAAGCCTATGGGCGTGTCGGGATGACGGAATTGGGACAAGACAAGGAAGAAGAAGGGTCGGGTCGGGTCGAAAGGGGGGGGGGGGGAGAAAAGAGAAGGGGAAGCAGAGCAGAGGCGACGACGCGGGATTATTTTTTTGGGACGACGAGGTTTGATGCTCGAGATTGTCGGACGGGAATCTTTCCTTGGGGCTGGAGTTTTTTGCGTTGAGCTCCGTCGCTGGATGGAGCTTGGGGCGCTAGTCCAAATCGGGAATTAGCGCGTCCCTACAAAATGGCCTGCGCAGGGAGAGCCGTTATTTCACTGCGCTGAAGCGTCAGTGGAGTGGACAGTGAGTGGGGGACAACTGGCGCCGATAGATTGTAACCGGTAGCCGCTGCGCCAGGTGCTTCACGCCAACAGCAAGGAAAAAAAAAAAAAAAAAAAAACGTCTGCGACAGCCAGCCAACCGGGTTCCGCTACTAAGTAATACCCATACTCCGTACTCGGTCTGGTTTTAAGACTGACTGGCCTCAGGAACTTTTCGGACTTGAAAGTGGGAATAGCCCGGGAAAACAAGGGACCAGACGGGGGGATCTTGGCCAATGGCATCGGGCACTGTTGAGTGAGGAGTGGGTCTCACCTTTTTGCGAGTGAAGTCTCCTTTTCCATCGCGATGCGCCGGTCATTGGCTCGTTGGTTTCGATGCACGTGACTGACACTGGGAGTCGACTGCTTACCTCATCCAAATTGTCAATCTGGCATCCACCTTGACTGTTCGTTCCCCCTTGGTCTGTGCTGAGCTGGACTCGACCAAGTATCCACCTCGAATTGCTGACATAAGACTGTAGACCACATAGAAACAACTCCCTCCCTTACAGAGTCGGCCACGTACACCAGATGCTCACAGAGTACGGATACTGTTGCTGCACTTTTCGGTCAGATAGACTAGATGGAATAAGAACAAGTGCTGCAGATTTGTTTGTCCAAGGCACCTGGCCCGACGGCAAAACTTAGTGCGAATACAGTCACAATATTATTCCATTACCATCGCTCCCAGCTGTACAGTGATCGGACCACATGCTTCGGCACGCAGCACCCGTCCGCACTCGTGTACCTAAGTAGTTACCTACCTAGGTATCAACTGTGTAGGTACTTAGATACCAGGCAGGTATTGCTAGGTGTAAGGAGGTACCTCTCTGCATGCATCGAGAAAGACAGACAGACCAGGGCCGTGGCAGCCGTGGAGCGAGAGGTCAGGGGTCCCCCCCATCCAAAGAAATTTAGACCGTCATTGCCAGCTCCCCCATCTCCAAATTGCCTGTGCTGTCCAATTCAATCTCGAGCACCGCCAGCACCGCCGGAGCTTCCTTCATCCTTTCTCTACATTATCTGTGCCGACTTGGCAGCAACATCACCACCACCGCCGACGCCCTCCTCCACAAAGTCGACGGCCATTCTCAGATACTTGACTTGACTTCACCAACCTACACTAATACCTCCTCTCCGTGCCCTCCCATTGGGGCTTCCCCTGCTTGCCGTCGCCCTCTCCACGTCGACCTGCATATGCGCATGCGCCCCTCCATGTTCGACCCAACAACAGCTTACCTCCCTACCTAGTCATACCGACACACCTCCGTTGCAATTCCGCCAGATCGCACGCCGACCACAACGCCTCGTCCATCCACCACCTCCCGATCCCGAAACCCGGTCCTGTAAACTCGCGAATGGCACTTGGTCCCTCCGCTGCTCCCCCATGAGATGAGCTCCCTCAAATTCCTCGTCTCCTCCTTGGAGGCCATTGCGGCTTCCAAGGAGGCCCAGAGGAACAAGCAGCTGACCGAGTCCCTCCAAAAGACCCTCACGGCCATCAAGGAAAGCCATCCCAATTTCCCCGACCCTGAAATCGTCTTTGCTCCTCTGCAGCTCGCCACGAGGACCGGCAATGTCCAACTCATCACCAGCGCACTCGACTGCATCGGCAAGCTCATATCCTACTCCTACTTCTCGCTGCCGACCAACCCCGACCCCCAGAGCCAAGATGCACCACCACCCCCCGATAGAGCTCCACTCATTGAGCGCGCCATCGACACCATCTGCGATTGCTTCCAGGGCGAGACCACCGCCGTCGAGGTCCAGCTTCAGATCGTCAAGTCCCTCTTGGCCGCCGTCCTGAACGACAAGATCGTCGTCCACGGCGCCGGCCTCCTCAAGGCCGTCCGCCAGGTCTACAATGTCTTCCTGCTCTCCCGGAACACCGGAAACCAGCAAATGGCCCAAGGAACCCTGACCCAGATGGTCGGCACCGTTTTCGAGCGAGTCAAGACCCGCCTGCACATGAAGGAAGCCCGCATGAGCTTCGATAAGTTGAAGCACAGCTCGAGCAACGTCACCTTTGAGCAGACTGACTCCGTCAATGGCGCTGTCGATGCTGAAGAAAAGGAACCGGAACAGGACGCAGAACAAAAGGAGGGCTCGCCGGCCCCCGCCGCTTCCGAGTCGGCCCCTACCGAGGGCGACGAAAATGCCAACGGCAAGTTGACATTAAAAGATCTCGAGCACCGCAAGAGTTTCGACGACTCACATCTTGGCGACGGGCCGACCATGGTGACCGAGATCAAGCCGGGGAGGAAACCAGCACGATCCGTCTCCGAACAATCCACACCCGAATCTTCCCACGATGACAGCCCCGAAGCTTTGGACGCCGAGGACGAGGTCTACATCAAGGATGCCTACCTGGTCTTCCGATCCTTTTGCAACCTCTCCACAAAGGTGCTGCCGCCCGATCAGCTCTACGACTTGCGCGGCCAGCCTATGCGCTCCAAGCTCATCTCTTTGCATCTCATCCACACCCTCCTCAACAACAACATCGCCGTCTTCACCTCCCCGCTATGTACCATTACCAACTCCAAAAGCAACGAGCCCACAACTTTCCTGCAAGCCATCAAGTTCTATCTGTGCCTTAGCATAACGCGCAACGGCGCCAGTTCCGTCGATCGCGTCTTCAACGTCTGTTGTGAGATCTTCTGGCTGATGCTCAAGTACATGAGAGAGTCGTTCAAGGTTCGTGCTCGCCGCGTCCAACTCCGCTGGACCCGAATTAACCGTGTTGCAGCTGGAAATCGCCGTCTTCTTGAACGAGATCTACCTTGCCCTCCTTGCCAGGCGCACCGCCCCAATCTCTCAAAAGGTCTACGTGGTCAACATCATGAACCGCTTCTGCGCAGACTCCAAGGCTCTGGTGGAGACGTATCTGAACTACGACTGTGAGCGTAGCGTCGACAACATTTTTCAGACCATCATCGAGGACTTGTCCAAATTCTCTACAGCCCCTGTCGTGGTGACGCCCGTGCAAGAGCAGCAGTACGAGGAAAAGAGCGTAAGGACTGTTTCGGGAGGCGACTGGCAGTTAAGGGCAATTCTGCCCCCTCCCTTATCCGTCGCGCACATTACGCCACAGCCCGAGCCGGAGAGTGACATTCCCAAGGAGTATGTCATGAAGCGGATAGCCTTGGACGCTTTGGTGGACTCACTGAGGTCAATGGTTGACTGGTCTGCCGCTGTGCGGCCAGACGCGAATGGCGTCAGGCTGGACGGTGACACGAGAAACTCCGAGGATATCCGGCCGTCCATTGACCCAAGCATGAGTGAGAACCCGTCTCGCTTCGAAACGCCGGCACCTTCAACGCCCGTTCTCGAGGACGACCCTGCCTCTTTGGAGAAGGCCAAGGCCAGGAAGACGGCCATGAACAACGCCATCAAGCAGTTCAACTTTAAGCCCAAGAGAGGTATCAAGCTCCTGTTGCAAGAAGGCTTCATCCCCAGCGAGAGTCCTCAGGATATTGCAAGGTTCCTGCTTACCGAGGATGGCCTGGACAAGGCACAGATCGGCGAGTACTTGGGTGAAGGTGACCCTAAGAACATCGAGATCATGCACGCCTTCGTCGATGCCATGGACTTCACGAAAAAGCGCTTCGTCGATGCGCTACGCACGTTTCTCCAGTCTTTCCGTCTCCCTGGAGAGGCGCAAAAGATCGATCGTTACATGTTGAAATTCGCCGAACGCTACGTCATGGGCAACCCCAACGCATTCGCCAACGCCGATACGGCTTACGTCTTGGCCTACTCTGTCATCATGCTCAACACCGACTTGCACAGCGGCAAAGTTGCGAAGCGGATGAGCAAGGAGGAGTTCATCAAGAACAACCGCGGTATTAACGACAATGCCGATTTGCCTGAAGAATACTTGCTGGCTATCTACGACGAGATCGACAGCAACGAGATCGTTCTGAAGAGTGAACGAGAAGCCGCCGCAGCTGCAGGTGTCGCCCCGCCAACGTCGACGGGAATCGCAGCAGGCCTGGGACAGGCCTTATCCAATATGGGTCGCGATCTTCAACGAGAGGCCTATCTTCAGCAGTCCGAGGAGATCGCCTTGCGCTCCGAGCAGCTCTTCAAGACGCTGTACAAGAACCAAAGGAAAAACGCACAACGATCTGGCGTCAGGTTCGTCCCGGCCACGTCCTTCCAGCACATTGGCCCCATGTTCGACGTCACATGGATGTCGTACTTTTCCGCGTTGTCAAGCCAGATGCAAAAGACCCAGAATCTCGATATCAACAAGCTGTGCCTGGAGGGCATGAAGCTAGCGACCAAGATCGCCTGCGTCTTTGACCTATCGACTGCCCGAGAAGCCTTTGTTTCCGCGCTGAAGAACACGACAAACCTGAACAACCCCCAGGAGATGTTGGCAAAGAACGTGGAGGCGCTTAAGGTCATTCTTGAACTGGGCCAGACCGAGGGCAATGTCCTAAGATCGTCGTGGAAGGATGTCATCATGTGCATCAGCCAACTCGACCGGCTGCAGCTGATCACCGGCGGCGTGGACGAGAGCGTTGTTCCCGACGTGTCTAAAGCACGCTTCATGCCTCCACAGCGGGAGAACACAAACGACTCCAAATCGTCGACACAGTCGAAGAGGAAGAGCAACCGGCCGAGGTCTGGAACGGCGCCACAAGGATTCTCCAACGAGATCGCTTTGGAGAGCCGCTCCGATGAGGTGATCAAGGCCGTTGACAGGATCTTCACCAACTCGGGCAACCTCAACGGAGAGGCCATCGTCCACTTTGCCCGGGCTCTGACCGAAGTCAGCTGGGACGAGATCAAGGTTTCCGGGTCCAACGACTCGCCACGGACGTACAGCCTACAGAAGATTGTAGAGATTGCCTACTACAACATGACGCGCGTGCGTTTCGAGTGGAGCAACATCTGGGAGGTATTCGGCGACCACTTCAACCGGGTGGGTTGCCACAACAATATCACAATCGTCTTCTTTGCCTTGGACTCGCTCCGGCAGTTGTCGATGCGGTTCATGGAGTTTGAGGAGCTGGCTGGTTTCAAATTCCAAAAGGACTTCTTGAAACCCTTCGAACACGTGTTGGCAAACTCCCAAAATATTGCTGTCAAGGACATGGTCCTGCGCTGCTTGATTCAGATGATCCAAGCGAGAGGCGACAACATTCGCTCGGGCTGGAGGACAATGTTTGGCGTCTTTACCGTGGCCGCCCGCGAGTCAAACGAAAGCATTGTCAACCTCGCCTTCGAGAACGTGACACAGGTTTACAAGACCAAGTTTGGCGTCGTCATCTCGCAAGGCGCCTTCACGGACCTCATCGTCTGTCTGACCGAGTTTTCCAAGAACATGAAGTTCCAGAAAAAGAGCCTGCAGGCCCTTGAGAGTCTGAAGTCCATCATACCCCGGATGCTCAAGACACCCGAGTGCCCTCTCTCGCAGAAGAACCAGAGCGCGTCTGGAGAGCCCGCTGCCTCGGCCGCAGACACGCTGCAAAGATCGCAGAACCGGACCACGGTGGAAGAGGGATACTGGTTCCCAGTTCTGTTTGCGTTCCACGATGTTCTGATGACGGGCGAGGACCTTGAGGTGCGTTCTAATGCACTCGAGTACTTCTTTGAGGCTCTCCTGAGATACGGTGGGGAGTTCCCGCCCGACTTTTGGGACATTCTGTGGCGCCAACAGCTGTATCCCATCTTCATGGTCTTGCGATCCAGGCCTGACTTGAACAACGCGCTCAATCACGAGGAGCTGTCTGTTTGGCTATCCACCACCATGATCCAGGCACTGCGGAACATGATTACCTTGTTCACGCACTACTTTGACGCACTGGAGTACATGCTGGACCGTTTCTTGGAGCTGCTGGCCCTCTGCATCTGTCAGGAAAACGACACCATCTCTAGGATCGGCAGCAACTGCCTACAGCAACTCATCCTGAAGAACGTCACAAAGTTCACGCCGGACCACTGGTCCAAGATTGTGGGAGCTTTCTGCGAGCTGTTTGCACGCACAACAGCCCACCAGCTCTTCTCCGCCACCACGATCAACTCGACGGCCTCCATCGACATGCCGCCGAACGGATTGGATTTTGCCGCCCCACTGAGTCCTACAGAGACGCCCGCTGAAGGAGAGTCGCTGAAGGTCAACGGATTGGGAAAGAACGGCGTCAACACCGACACCAGCTCGACCGATGCCCACGTCAGCGCTATCAACGACGACGACCTGAAGACCCCGACAGCGCCAAATGCTCCCCGGCTCCAAGCCCAGTCTCCAGCGCCGTTGGAGGAGTTCAAGCCGGCATCGAACCTGCAGCAGCAGCCGGTCGTCGTCACAGCTGCCCGCCGCCGTTACTTCAACCGTATCATTTCGCGATGTGTTCTGCAGCTGCTCATGATCGAGACGGTCAACGAGCTGTTCAGCAACGATACTGTGTACAACCAGATCCCAACGACCGAGCTTCTCCGTCTCATGGCGCTGCTCAAGAGGTCGTACCTCTTTGCCAGGAAGTTCAACGCCGACAAGGAGCTGCGCATGCGTCTCTGGCGCGAGGGGTTCATGAAGCAAGCCCCCAATCTGCTGAAGCAGGAGAGCGGGGCGGCCGCTACGTACGTTGCCATCCTCTTCCGCATGTACGCCGACGACAGCCACGAGCGCACGGCTGCGCGCGACGCCATCGAGCAGGCGCTGGTGCCGCTGTGCAAGAGCATCATCAAGGACTTTGTCGCCCTCGAGGAGGACAGCCAGCACCGCAATATCGTCGCCTGGCGGCCGGTGGTGGTCGACGTCCTCGAGGGGTACGCCGCGTTCCCCGTGGAGGCGTTCCAGAAGCATATCAAGGAGTTCTACGTCATGGCCGTCGAGCTGCTCGGCAAAGACGTCACGTCGGAGCTCAGGGTGGCGCTCTTGCTGGTCCTCAGGCGCGTCGGCGAGGTCGGTCTCGGCATCGAGGGCATGACCACTAATGTGCGGGTGGACCGGAGGGACAGCATCCTCAGCAGCGTGACGGATAACACGGCGGTAGACGGACCCGAGGGCGACGCCTCGAGCAGAATGCGGCGCTGAGCCAGTCCCCAGGGAAGGGCCGTCATGCGCACGTTGGGGGGCATGGCGTAACGGATTAGAGACTGTAAAGGGTGGGGCGGGGATCAATTTTTTTTTCCCATGTAAAACCATTGAACCAGGCTCGGAATGATGGCCGATGCCCCATGGAAGTTTGTGTCTATATTGAAGCATCTTATTCAGTGTCTCATTGGCGCCCCGGCTCGTCGGGGGGGGAGCGAGTATTACCTGTAGCTATACATATACATGCCCATGCTTGCTCGTCTGCGTTCGAGAAGAGAAGCCTGGTTTTCCTATCCGTGAAACGCCCGTGACTAATTTTGTTTTAAAAGAACCCTCCGTGTCCCTCTCCCTCCCCCCAAATCTCATGCCATGACGTCTCTGACAAAGGTGCGCAGGGCGTCTGACTCCTCCGGCACTGTCCGGTCGTGCAAAGTCAAGAGGGCCGTCCTCAGCGTGTCGTCATCGGCGACGCCCTGCCTCACGAGGTCCTTCAGGATGCCCATGGTGCGATGGGAGTGGTCGGCGACGCGCATAACGCTGAGCAGGGTCTCGAAGAAGTCGACGAGGTTGAGGTGCATGAGGGTATCGGTCTTGTCGACCATGTGCAGGGCTGCGAGCTGGAGAAGGCCGGTTTCGACGGAGCCGGTGAGGTCGGGAAACGGAGAGGTGGCGACCTCGGCGATGTTGAGGGCGGCGAGGCGCGGGAGGATGCGGAGGACGCGACCCTGGGCAAGGGAGAGCTGGTGAGCCGACAGGGCGGCGGGGTCGGCGGCGGGGTCGGGGTCGCGGCCGCGGGCGAGGGAGAGGACGAGGCCGAAGAGCTCGCGGTCGTGGAAGATGCGGCGCCACATCCTGCCCTGTCCCGGGGCGCGGCGCCTGACGAGCTCGCGGCCGGGCAAGCCCGATGTGGCGGTGGCCGGGGGCGGGGGGAGCTCGCAGTCGACGTCGAGGAGGTCGCCGAGGACGCGGGTGGCCCTCTCGCCGACCTCGACCTGTGGAGCGGAGAGCCAGCGGCGGAGGAGCTCTTCGATGACGCGGGGCATGAGGGAGAGGATGGCGGCGTCGGAGGGGGCGGCGGCGGCCTTGGCGAGGAGGGCGAGGGCGAGGAGGTTGGCGGAGGGGCTTGGGGAGCGGAGGGCGGCGACGAGGGAGGACTCATCGGCCAGCTGGAGGGTCTGGGTGAAGGGGACGGGTCCGAGGAGCTTGATGGTGAGGGACACGACGGGAGAGGGGTCATGGGGCGTCGTCTTGAGGATCGCGGTGAGGTTTGGGAGGAGGACGGGGAGGAGGGGCGGGATGTTTGTTTCTGAGAGGCGTGCTGTTAGTTCGACTAGGTTTCTTGTGGGAAAGAAGGAGGAACCGTGGGAGGGAGGGAGACAAACCGTTCAGCTGAAGCTCTACATCGTCGAGGAGTTTCGGGTTGAGGGGCGTCTCGGGTGCGGATACGAGATCGTCGAGGTGCTTCTTGAGCTCGTCGAGCCCGGAGATCGGGACGGTGTGGTCGGCGGACATTTCCGGGACGACCTTATCTGCCATAGGGGGGTGAAGCTTGTCAAGGCGGGGAGCAGCTAGAGGTTAGAGAAGAAGCCGTGGCAACGCTTGGGAAGTGTGGTGGTTTGCGACGAGGTAAGAAGCTGTTAGTGATCGACAGAGAGTAGTAGGTATATGTTGGTGGAGAGAGAGGGAGAGAGCTCTCGATGCCAAGGTCCCCCGGCCGCTAAGATAAGATAAAAGCACATAAGAAGGCGCCTACCTAGGTAGCTACCAGGCACCTAAGCAGCGTACGTGCTGGGGTACGCGGGCTGAGCTGCCTGACAGCGCCGGCAGGGTTCCGAGGAAGTGCGCTGGAAGGGAGGGGCGGGGAGGGGTGGGAGGGGTGGAATAGTGGTCGCTTGCCAGTGCGGAATTGACCCCGCCGATGGCACCGACCAAAAACTGTTGCTGCTGCAGGTTGACTTGTGACTGACACCTCGGGTTTTTTTTTTTTTTTGTCTGTTCGGGTTTTCCCATAAACGAAAGGCAGACTCCAAACTCCAATTCGACTCACAACTACGGAGTACTCACGCCACCCTTCCATTCCTCCGTGACGCATTCGTTTCTCACCGAGTCAAGGACAACAAATACCAATTCCTGGCCGAGGCCCCCTGGACCCGTAAATCAATCGGCAATCACCACCGCGCGCTACATAGATAGATAAGACAGACGCTCAGCACACGCAATGTCGCGAGGAGGACGAGGCGGTGGCCGTGGTGGCCGCGGGGGGCGCCAGGGACCGCAGCTATCGTGGGATAACGGCGAACACGCCCCCGACACGCGGCCCTCGGAGCTATTCCCAGTGCGTAATCCCCCCCTACCCCCTTCTTGTCACAGTTGATCGTACAAGAACCCCCCCCCCCCCCCCCCCCTTTCTGACTTTCGTGACCTCCGCAGGCCTACGCGGTCCCGACAGCGAAGCCTCTCTCCGACCTTGAGCGCGCCAACGTCAACGCCTTCCTCCTCTTCCGCCGCCAGTTCCAGGACGGGCCTCTGTACACCCGCAAGCGCACCTGGGGCATGGACCCGGGCAACACGCGCAAGCTGTACGGCCAGGACCAGGTCAACGCAAAGTACGGCGTGCGAACCCGCGGCACCGCCGACCCCTTCACTGCCGTGCCCACCTACTCGCAAAAGTTCTCCCGCCCCGAGAGGGCCCTGCCCGACCTCGCCGCCCGCCCCTTCTGCAAAGAGTTCTTCCCGCAGGAGCTGCACGAGGCCCTTGACGGCGACGACGTCGGCCCCGGCGAGCGCCGTCGCGGAGGTGACGCCAAGCGCCTGCGCCTGAGCCGGATCACCGCCCTGCCGACCGCCGAGGACGTCTTCCACCTCAACGATGACGCCGATGACGACGTCGGCGGTCCCGAGGGCGCGCGGAAGAAGCTCGAGGCCCTTGAGAGGATGGGTGAGGGGGCCGAGGGGGCCGAGGGCGCCGGCGGCGGTACTGGTGGCGCCGGCGTCGAGGACGAGTGGGAGGGCGGCGAGGAGGAGGAACAGGACGTCGAGTACGACGACTCGGACGCCGGCGACTACGACGCCGAGAACTATTTCGACGATGGCGAGTACGGCGACGACGATGGCGGCGACGACGACCACGGCGGCCGCGAGGGGTCGTACTAGATCCGGTTTGTACGATCGTGACGGAGGGGCGGAAAGGAATTGAATGATGACGAGCGGGATCAGCAAAGAAAGAAGGAAAAATAAAAGGGGGAAAAAAGTAAATATCATGAGAGGGACATTGATTGAAACAAAGGCGGATGGATTCGCGCTCGAAGAGAGGGGGGGGGGGGGGGGGGGGGGGAGACACTTGGGGCAACATCCCGCTCCTCTCTCCCCCAGTGAACGACTGACGAAAGAGGCGATCGCATCACCGGGCGTTGGGCGGGATGAACGGCTTTGCTGAGCGGGATTATAGGCTCTCAGATACCCCAGCGATACCTCTCTACAGAGGAAAGAGGTAGTAAACAATTCACAATTCATAATCACACCCACAGCGCATTTTCATTTCTCTTTTTGACTCGACTTTTTTTTTTGGGGGGGGGGGGGGGGGGGGGGAGGCGTGGTGATGAAAGTCAGGGTCCTTCCCTTGACAATCGGGTATCAACGGCCTCGGCCGCCTCGCTCTAGATAGATGGGTTATTCTACAATCGTGGCAAAAGCTACCTTGCCTGCATCCAACGACGACCGTCCATCCAGCCTCGACCGACGCTGGCGCACCGCCTCGAGGGCGTCTTCCGCATCGGCACCCGGATCCCGGCCGTGGAGGCGGCCAGGATGGACACCCGTGGGCAGGAAGCTAATGTCCCTAGTTTGCGCACACCCTGACATGCAAGGACCCAAGGTCCCGTATCCAAGCCGAGACGAGTATGGGTTTTCAAAGCAGGCCGGACACTCTTCCGATGCGTCGTCCTGCCAATGCTGCCGGTATATACTTTTGTTTGTTTTTTGGCCGAACCTGAACGCCGTTTGCTTCCCAGACTCATTTCCTGGTCCGACCCAAACCATCCCATCAGTCGAGGATCGACATTACTCCCTATTTCCTCTTTGGTGTCTCATTTTGTCGGGTATTGACGCTGAAGTTTGGTCAGTTTTTCGCGGACGTCGACAATGGCATCAGCCGCCTCGTAGATCTTGTCGCCCATCATCTTGATCGTCTCCAGCAGATCGAGGACCATGTTGAAGGCCGGCACCTGCGTCTGGTCCCTCAGGGCCCGCACGCGTTCGTACAGGCCGTGCTCGACGCCGGGCATGTGCTGCTCCATCTCCTTGATCTTCTGCACCTGGAACTGGTGCAGCTCCTTGAGGCGGTCGGCCTCGTTGGAGAAGAGCGTGAGCACGTCCTCGACGTTGCGGTCCTGGCTGCCGTTCGTCGTGTTGTTCCCGGACCCGCCCCTCGTGAGCCAGGTCTGGTGGTAGTGTGCGGGCAGCTTGAGCTGGTCGGCGCCCGCGAACGCCATCTTGGCGATGTCAGCGTCCGACTTGACCAGGTCCTTGAGGTGCGCCATGGTGACAATGTCCTCGTCCAGCGTCGTCTTGACACCCTCGTACTTGCGCTGTAGCCAGTTGACGTCGGTCGTCAGTTGCTCGAGGTCGCCGCCGTGCGCGGCCATGAACCCTCGAATCTCGGATGCCTGCGCCATGAACCGCTGGATCATCATGTCGCAGTTCTCCATCTCGGTCTGGATCGACTGCTCGAGGTCGTTGAACCGGGTCGTGCCCTTGATGTTTGACACATCCACGCGCACGCCGGGGACCGTCTGTTGAGTCGTCGACTGGCCCATTGTCAAGCCCGGAGCGGAGCTGTTGTTGCCTGCTTGAGATTGGCCGCTGCTTCGGTTAGCTGGTTATTTGGACACCAATCGTCCGCAAAAGTCCACTCACAAGAGACCGCCCGGCTTAGATTGGTTCTGAGCCTGGCTCTGGCCAAAAAGGCCGCCGCCCGTGCCCTGGTTCTGCTGAGTTTGTGTGTTGCCGCCACCAAAGAGTCCTCCGCTAGGTTGCTGCTGTTGTTGTGGCTGGGTCGAGCTCTGGCCAAAGAGACCGCCCGTAGCCGGCTTCTGCTGGGATGCACCAAACAAGCCTCCACTCTGCTGCTGCTGAGGCTGAGCTGATCCAAAGAGCCCTCCGCTTTGCTGCTGCTGAGGTTGCTGCTGCTGCTGCTGCTGTTGAGGCTGGGCTGAGCCGAAAAGACCGCCGCCACCGGACTGCTGAGGTTGGGAGGGTGTTGCAGATTGGGACTGGCCAAAAAGACCACCAGTCGCTGGTGCGGCCGGCTTGTTGCCAAAGAGACCTCCCCCGCCCGTCTGGGTACCGCCGAAAAGTCCGCCGCTCGTAGCAGGCTGCGTCGACGCCGCCGCGTTCCCGAAGAGCCCACCACCTGCTGTGGTTGCCGAAGAGGAGCCGGCACTAAACAAGAGGCTCAGTGTCAGATAAGACATTGAACATAGGGGCATGGACAATCCAAGGCCATTTAGCTTACGCAGAATTGGCAGCACCAGTGTTGATGCTCAAACCACCACCGGTGGCGCTTGCGGATCGTCCAAACATGTTGGACTTTTTCTCGAGTCCGACGAGGTTGGTCGGTCCGGGTGAGTTTCTGACGGGTACAGACGAGAGTGTCCTCGAGGACTTTCTCCTGGTTGCAGCTGGATTCGGTTGACGGTCAAGGTGGTTTGAAGTATTTGTTGTTCTTGGCTGCTGCTGCTGCTCCTGCGGCTGGGTCTGCGGCTGCGGCTGCGGCTGCGGCTGCGCGGTGAACGCAAAAGAATTGGCGGCCACAACACCGATGCACGGACCATTTGCAGCTTGCAGAGCTCCTGTAGCTGTTCCTGTTGTACCTGCCTGCAAAGAATGCGACTGGCGCTGATTGGCCGATCGGTCCGCCATTTCACCGCTCCCTGGGACCCACCCAGCAGCCGCCTGACCCCACTGTTGATTGGTCAATGCTCTCGACTGCTGACGGCCCGGGCGGCCGTTCCTGACGCCTGGCCGCGCCTGTGATCTGGAACCACTGACGGAGCTTCGAGCTCCTGCCGTTGATGCACCCGCACCTACACCTGGGAAATCGAAGCAACCTGCAAACGTTGCCGTAACATCACCACCACCAAACCCTCCAGACGACGACATCGCTGCACCCCTAGCCCACTATGGATATCGACGAGGACGACGACTTTTATGGCACCGAGGAGCCCGCGGTTGAAACAACAGCAGCAGCAGCACCACCAGCAGCAAATTCGACAACAGAGAATGCGGCCCCGGAGAGCAACTCACCCAAACAAGATTCCAAGTCGGAGGAGCTAGAGGAAGGCGAGGAGGAAGATGAGGGTGGCGCCATGGACGAAGACGAGGACGATTCGGTGGGTGCTTTTCATATCCATCCGTCGCTTAGTCCAGCTTCATTAGGTGGTTTAGCATCAAGTGACTGACCATTCTCGCGCGTTCTAGGATATCGAAATAGTCACCGAGCGCAAAGACGGCACAAAGGCAGCACCTCCAACGTATGTTGCAGCTTCCCAACACCCAAAAAAGCCGCTCAGTTCTTATGTTCTGATATCAAAAACAGACAGTCACGCTACAGCGACATCCGAAACATCCCACAAAGGTCGGCTTCGAATGACATGACCGTCAAAGCCGCCCCGCCCAAGAAGGAGGAAGATTCTGCAAGAGCCTCGCCCTCTGACCTTCCGTCGGGTATTCCAAGTGCCGACAAGGCCGCCGCTGCAGCCTCCAAGTCCACCATCGACGTCAACGCGAATCCCGATTACCCCCCCGTCGGCAAGCCCATTACCGCCGTCAACATCGACGAAGGTACGACCACCCCGTTCCCTTGCCATGAGGTGTCGCATCGCTAACCTATGTGCAGATCTGACCGAGAACGACAAGCCATGGCGTAAACCCGGTACCGACATCAGCGACTACTTCAACTACGGCTTTGATGAGTTCACCTGGGCGCTCTATGCCGCCAAGCAGGAGGCCATCCGCGGCGAGTTTAGCGGCGACGCAATCGCTGCCGGTCAAAAGAAGATGATGGAGGACTTCGGCATGATGATGATGGGCGGCATGAACCCCGCTGCCGCCAGTGCGCCGGCCGCAGCCATGCCCGGCATGGCTGGCGGTGGTATGGATGGCATGCCGCCCGAAATGCAGGCCATGATGCAGCAGATGATGGGCCAGGGGATGGATCCCAGCCAGATGGACCCCTCGGCCATGTCGGCCATGTTCAGCGGCATGCAAGGACAGGCAAACGCGGGGGGTCAGGGCCAGAATTTCAACCAGGGCTTTGGTGGAAACCAGGGACAGTACGGCGGCTATGACCAGCAGCAGGCAATGGGTGGCGGCGTTAACCGCGGTGGCTTCGGGGGAAGAGGCCGTGGCGGGCGCCGTCAGTGGTGAGGCCGCCGCCGCCAAGGACTCTGCACACATCCATCTTTGCAATGATGCGCTGGTTATGATCCCGGCCTGGTTGGCGTTTTAAGGATTTCGGTGGTGACGTCACAACATGGTTTGTTTAGGGGTTTCCGGATTTGGGCTACGGAACTGGCACAAATAGGCATAGAGATACCCTGACAATTGCTCTGGCATTTCTCCCAACTATTGCAGCCGTCTTGAGTGACGATGACGAAGAGCACCGTTCTGCTGGTCATCCAACCGGCACATACCTGACCCGTGTATTGGCGCAGAGAGATGCTGAAACATTTCTGGGCTGAAAGGTGTCAACCACGCCTGAAGACGCCAGTTTTATTCTTCAAACCACAGTTCAATTTTCCCGCTCTGTTTATCAAGTGTGCTATGCGCTTTGTTCCAATGGCCTTTGCCAGCAGTTGCCATGTTCACTCGTTCAGCTTCGTTGAGATCATATCCAATAACACTTCGCAAGTAGTCGCGATAGCCAGGCCAGCTATGCTTCCTAGCCCACGCCTGTATCGCGCCGAGATCCCTGCACTTTTGGTCGTGGCCATGACTGTTGAACGAGACGAACTCATCCGAGCCAGAGAGTGAGATGTCGGCGTGGCACATGAGATCGTTTCTGATGTGGTCCAGGCAATGCATTGTATGGATATCATTGCGTGGCCACTGGTCGAGCGTGAAGTTCGAGATCAACCGGTTGCGAATGCGATACTGGCTCTGGTTCAGCATCACAGCGGCCCCCACATTGCAGCTCTGAGCACTTACCAAGCAGTGAAGCGAGTGAAATACGTTGATCTGATATAATTTCAGGTGAGGTTCGTGGGGATGATCCACGGTTGGCGGCAGGTTAGCCCGCTTGGCCCAACCCCCATCCACCGCAACTATGCCGTCCGCTGAGAAGGGGAAAATGTAAGTGTTCTTGCATACATGGATAACATTGAAAGTCAACATACCATTCCGCAACTCATGCCAGAATTGATCGGCTTCGGGCGACGGGTCCGCGGCGTCGACAATGTCGTAGGCTTTGTCGGTAGCATTGTACCGCTCGAGCGCAAAGTCTACGAGACGTCGCCAAGTGAGCAACGAATGTTTGTCGTCTTAACTGATCGCTTTCGGAAGACACTTACAACCATGGGGATCCATAGTTTCGGAGGTTCTCTCATCCGCACGGAGGGAATAGAAGACTAGGCCACCGAAAACCAGGAGCAGAAGCTGAAGCCCGCAAAACATCAAGGCAAGCCTGAGACCCGAAAAGTGCATCCGTGAGGTGCCTTTAGCAATCTCACTTTCGCAGCGATGACAGAGCTGACTGTGATCTGCCCCGCTTGTATCACCGTCGACGGATAGGAGCTTGACGCTCGAGCAGGCTGAGTCCGACTCCATGATAGGCTGTAGCAATTGTCGTTGAAAGACGTTTGTGCGTGTTGTGTATTGTACTTGCAAGTTGAACGATGGCCCAACTCATCTCCTTGAGGTTTGAGACTTCACAGAATCGGATGCAGCGCAAGCTTTGCGAACGCAGGATGAGGCAGACCGTGGTCTACGTCAGGTTCAGAGCCGCACTTTTTCCCATCTGTTATTTACGGGACATTGCTCCACTGCCGTGGATTTTTTACATTGTCAGCAGCTCAGCTTCTTGTTTGCGTCAAACTGCATGGACGGCGCATAAATGAGCAGTTGGAACCCGCCCCCGGCTCTGCGTTACGCATGCCGTTGCTGCACTAGGACTAGGATATAGATTGGTTTCTAACCAATGTAGGCCTCGCCCAGCATATTTACTAGATAAGTCTCATACCTTTCGGTATAGTTTTGGCGGGGGCTTTACAAGGAACATTAGGCTTCCACATCATGAACCTCGAGCAATGGTCTTGACCCGACAGAATGGTCCTGAGCGACAAACATCTCCTGGCGAAGACCAATTGACATGTTCTTTTGTCAGGCCCTACAGGGATATCACGGCCTTCACCGCTACTTGAAGATAGCACTGTGTGCTGCGAATGCTAGGCTGGTTGTTTCTCGTCAATCCTACCTCCTGTAACCTTTTGCAGTCAAAATGATGTGGAATATTGAATTCTAGTCATTTCGCCTTCGTCCTAATTCCCCACAGACATGTTGAGATTTGCTGTTGAGATCGATGAGGGAATCTGAACTACCTCTTTTTTCTGTCGCGCAGATCATATCTCGGTAATAAATCATGGTGCCCGACTTTGCCGGCCTTCTCGTTTCGTCTAGTCGTCCCACCAGGAACACTGGTCACACTCCATTGGAAGATGGCAAGAGAGACCCAGACACCCGCGAAAGGTTCCTCAGTCGGAAGCATCATCGCAGGGCATGGCTGGGTCCGGCTGTTGTGCAGCTTCTCCTCCTTCTGGTGCCTCTATTCCTCCTCGTCGCCGCGGATCTCCGTCGCTTGGCGATGCCGATGAGGCGCCAGAATCAGCGGCAAAGGAGACTTTATATATACTAACGGAAGTCGTTGTTGTTGTTGCGGTTGAAGGGCGAAAAGAGGCCTCTGGGAGAGATGTGTCGAGAGGTGTGCTGAGGCAGGGCACGTGAGACTATGTCGCCCACTGCAGCCGCCGAACCACTCTCAATGTGAAGTATATAAATTTCAAAGAGACCAAATATGCTGTCTTCGGACTTGCAGGCGCTGAATGGCGTAACGGGTCTGTTTCCAATCAAAGAGGTTGCTTTTTGCTAACCTTCCAAAGGTCATGGGGTTCGAATCACATATTTTTCGCTTTTTTCCCTTCTTCCTACTGACTGGAAAGGAATAATTCTTATTGGCTTATAACCCCAATAGCTTTTCTTCTTCCTTTTTGCTTATGGTCTAACATAAAAGTATATTAATATTATTTAATTAGGTGAGGCGATTGCGCCTGGACGTTATAGTGAGCGCACCAGGTACCCTGCTCACCTTACTCACCCGCTCACCCCAGCCTCGCCTATGCATTTACCAGATTAAAGCAGCCACTTCAAGGTGAGTAGCTGGGTGAGACAATCGCACCTGAACATGAGAGTGAGCTTCAACAACATATGTATTGTCGCTGACGGCTGTGCCGATCATTGCACGGACTTCTTGCGCCAAGATATCCTCTGTAATGCCAACTTCGCGGTCAGCACGTTCTACTACAACGAGAGCCGCGGCGGCGCCGACGTGGATATTGCGTCCTCGCATACTTATATCAGCTTGGACGCGGCGAACGACTACGCGAATCGACACTACGTCAACCGTTCCGAGATGCCACTCCAAACGGGAACACTCCCCGAGGCTGAGCCTTAGGATTATTATTGTAGTTCTTGTTAACGCCGGGCCCTTCCTATAGACGACAAAGGGTACCAAACGTAACTGACTTCAATACATGCATATCCAGCTTCCCAACGTCGCAGTATCCATTCAGACCAACGTGTGGTGACGAACCGATGCGACGAGCTTTATCGCTACTTTGACAGCCACAGCCAGTCCGCCAGCGACGAAAAGGGACCCTAGAACGAAGTAAATGAAGCAAGCCAGGTCAAGCGGCCGCTCGTAGAACCGCAGCTGCGCGACCTTGCCGAGTCTATCCTCCTTTTTCGTGAGGGTTCCGTCAGGCACATGCTTGAACTCCATCTTGCTCCCGCCCCCGAGGCCGCCCTGGCTCTGGATGATGGCCTTGTGGAGCATCTCTCTGTTGTAGTCGACAACCCTCTCTCCGAACCGCGGGAACCACCGCTGCGCCGTCGTAAGTGTCCGCACCAGCCAGCAAAATCCCCGGAAGCAGGCGTAATGGTACACGCCCGGCCGCCCCATGCCAAGCTGGTCGCACAGTGCGTCGCCGTTGAGCACCCTGCTGCCGGCCTCGATGAACCCGGCCGAGAGATACACCGGCGGCACGTCGCGCACCGTCTCGACAAAGTTGTGGCCGGCCACGAGCGACATGTCCGTTATGAGACGCTCGTTGAAGCTCATGCTGTCCATCAGAACCTTCGCCTTGGCCGCCGACGTGAAATGGTCCGTCGGCGTGCCGAGCACGTGGCCAAGGTACCGCCACAGCGCGACGTAGTCCTCGATTTCCTGCTGGGGCACGGATATGCCCATGAGGGGCAACTGAATGAAGGCGTGGTTGCAGCCAAAGGTCGTCAGGGCGTGCAACGAGTCCAGCGTGTTGATGGGGACTCCATACGCCTCGACGTCGTAATATGATGGACCTTTGTGCTGGACGATCTTGAGGATGCGCTGACGCACCATGGAGTGCAGGAGACGCACGCGGACGGCCGTTGTGTGCCCGCGGCCCCCAGGCCGGACGTATTCGAGGCTGTGAGTGACCTCGAGGAGCATCTGGAAAGTCTCGAGGAGCCTCCTGAAGAGCACGCGGGTCCTGAAGCCGCCGGTGCGCACTAGGACCTCAACGACCCCCGCTGACGCCGAGTTCTCGCCAACGAAGCCCTGCAGGGCGAAACCCATGAGATTGGCCAGCGCATAACGGTAGAAGAACTTCTGGCCCCGCGCAAGCTGCTCCCAGTCAACCCAATCCGGGACGGTGCACACTTCATCCCACAGCTGGCCCAGTGCTTCATCTTTTTCGTGGTGTTCTTGGAGGACGGCGAACAGGTCGAGCTTGGACAGGTGTTCCGCATTGCCTGATTTCTCGATGAGGGCCTGTTGATGGATCTCCTGGATTCTGGCGACCGCTGCCGCGCCGACCTCGTCGTAAGTTTGCCGTAGGTGCTCGGTCTTATCCTTGGGGATGTGGTCTTCGGTCCAGCGGAAGGAGTAATTCCCCACCACACGCATATCGTCGTTTGGCCTGGCAAAAGCGAAAGCGCCCATCCTGACGGCTTTCACAGTAAGCGTTCTTGTGGACTTGCATTCTTCAGAAGAAAATAGAATAGCTTTTACCATACACCCTAAATACTCCATGAGGGTAATATTTTAGTCTGGCACATTTCTGCCTAGACCAATCATTCAGCGCCAAGCGAGCTAGCCATGCATCATAAGACTATAGAGTGTCTTTTCGTACGTGATCACCAATGTCTAGAAATAGAAATATGTGTTGATATGTGACGTGGTCATCATGAACTTCCAGTTTCGTCAGCCATCCTCAAGACCCATATCTAGAAATAGAGATATATATCTTGTGTCATGGTCATCATGGACTTCCAGCTTCGTCACACATACTCGAGACGCTCACGATCTTTAATAAACTGGTTGCCACGATGGCTGCCCGGACGGTTGTCGTGCTCCCTGACATGTTCAGGTGCTTCCTGGTCCAGGAGCCCAGGGTAAATCGAAACTACAGGACAGCCAAATTGGCATCGGAAAAATGGCTTACAGAGTACGCGGACGAAGTCTTTGTGTCCACTTTCCAGTGGTGGTGATGGTGGTGATGACTGACGGTTCTGAACCAGAAAGTGCTCCTTTTCCCTGAAAATGCAAAAGAGAGTCAACGCCTGCGATTTCTCGTACTTTTGCTCCGTTGCCGCACCGGATGCGCCAAAAGACCGCCTGCAAACCATGTGTGACTGGGGAAACTGGGTGAGTTTCTGGGAAATGATTTTCTCGGCCCATGCTATTGTAATGCGCTACTATGTCTTCTACTGACATTTCCATCCAGGTCTTCCCATTTGACGACAGTAAGTTGAATCCATCGAAAAGGTTTTCTTTTCTTCATGGAACGTATCTGACTGTCTTCCAGTGTTTGATTCCGGACATCTAAGATCCGACTTGGAAACATCGCGGCAGGTACTCAACAGTCTCATGTCAAACATGCTGGGCAAGAGCTGTTACATCGGCACCAAGTTGCCAGTTTTTCAGGCCCACGATGATGTCTTTAGAAGACTGTCAGCGGTAGGCCTTACGTTGAGGTTGCTGCAAGAGTGACACCATTGCTGAGACCAATCTTATCAACAGTGTGCCCCCATAGGTGTGCTCGAGTCCTCCCCTCCCCTCCGGTATGAGGGCCATTTCGCGACTTAGGTACTGATGATAGATTTGTTCAGGAGTCCAGAGACGCTTCGCGAAATCCATGGAGTTATACGCTGAGGGGGTGGCAAGACACGTGCAGACCTTCACGAGCCACCGTCTCCCTTCCCTGCAGGACATGCTGCAAACAAGACGGTTGTCCGTTGGAGTCGCGCCGCTTTACCATTTGATCGAGTACACGCATTCTTTGCAGATACCAGACGACGTATTCGAGGATCCTGCGATCCAGGCTCTGGAGCGCCTCGGGGCAGACCTCGTCATCCTGTCAGTTATCAGCATCATATGCTGCGTACAAAGCTGTAAGATTGCACCGTAGCTAACCCCAGTAGATCAAACGATATTCTTTCGTATCGCAAGGAAGAGGTGCGCATTTGTACTAGAGTCGTGTTTGTCCATCTGATATGCATGGAGTAGAGTGCTGCATGGAGTAGAGTGCTGATACTTTAATTGCAATTTGCACAGTCTGAAGGATGCCCCTTCAACATGGTTGCGGCTTGTCGAATGAATGGAAAATCTGCGCAAGAAGCTTTCGACATAGTTGGGTCCCTGCTTGAGGAGAGCTACATCGAGTGGGATGAGGTGATGATTCGCATGCCATGCTGGGACGTGGCTGTAGATAGCGAAGTTGAGCGCTACATCAAAGGCATTCAGAACGTCGTCCAAGCCAACATCAGCTGGAGGTAAGTGGCGTCCTGACTTCCCGCATCTCTTTGCGGTCCATGGTTCTTGGGCAGGGAGCTCGATGCCAAATGATCTTGCTAACCGTGATGGCACCGTTGCAGCTTTCATTCGAAAAGGTACTTGGGAGCCGATGGCCCGCAGGTACGCAAGACCTGGAGAATCGACGTTCTGGTCAACCCTCCGTACTTGTCAGATTCTGTAGGAGCGGAGTATTGAGTTATACACCGAGGTCAGAGGTTATGTAAATGGCGATACCTATGAAAACGTGTCCAAAACCGCATTTTCTTCGCATAATAGTAACATCAAAGGCCCGTGAAGTTAGATAGAAGGAAGCATGTTAGATGCAGACGACTTGGCCACGAAACAGCTCAGAGCAACGACGCAAGATCATCGCCAATTTCAAGATGTAATCTCTAAACAGAAACGCAGTCCGGTGGGATCTAGCTTTTGTATTTAACCAAAATATGTCATACTCTAGAGCACCTTCTGTAGAAGTGATGTATTCGCTTTAAACGTATTCATTCATGCTATTTACAATCTTGCTCAACCTCTTCACCCTTGACTAAGACACACAGTAAGGGATTCCCCAGTTTCCAGTAAGCCGTATCATGGCTCACTATTGCGTCGCAAAGATTTTGCTAGTAAGGTGTTGAATCTAGTCTTCGTGCATTGTGGTCACAAGAGATCCTAGTAGCTAAGAGTCAGAGTAAACGGTTTGATAGAAGTGGCGTTTTGACTCACCTCACTGATGAAGCTGATCAAACTCGCTGCCAATAGGCCCCTCATCGCCAAGGCTGGCAATAGCAGGGCTTGAGTGAACCCACCTCGGAGTGACATCCGCTCGAGGCTGAAAGGGTGCAGCAGTGGCCGAGGCCATGATGACAATAAGGGGGAGAAGAATTTGGATGAAGTACATTGTGAACCTGATGACTCTATCACTTGACCACAAAGAAGACTGGGCGAATCAGAATTCGAAAATCGAAAGCTCGTAGTCGCTAGGAGAACAATCTCTGGAAAGTGTTTATGGTGATCATAATAGATACGTGAGGTGTGGGTGAGCGTTCTCACTTATGAATACTCTCAGCAGGCTCCAGCAGCCGACATCAAATGCGGTGAGCATCCATTCATATCCCGTCCAATGGAGAATTGCCGTGCTATCTGTGATCAACATCTAGTTCTGGATTTTCTGTGCTTTTTTCCCAGGGTCCCAACCGCTCGCTCGATAAGGCGGTCCATCGTCAGGCTCATGAGTGACTGAGAGCGTGTATGCATCATAGACGTGCACTGTGACCAGAATAGGAAAATTGATAACGCGACCCACTGATGAAGGAAGCAAACTTCATGTTGTTAGCTAGGATAAGTCGCCGCATGCGGCTAGTGGTTGTTTGTCGGATTTGTATCTGCTGATGTGGATTGGGAAGGTATCGTCAGACTCTCCTGACCGACTTTTTCGCAGAAACCTCATCAGTAGTTCCAAGGGAGGGGGACACACAGTGAACTAACAGCATGTGCATTGATTTGAGCGCTTTTCTTGTCCGTTGGGGCTGTTGCCGAGGGCCGCAGACCAACTTGAGACATAACGAACATGACCCCCTTGTCAACATGCAGGCTGATGGATAAATCTTCAGCAAACAAACATGCAAAGTACGCAAACTTCACTCATGCACTGGCCATTTCGGAGGCTTTCCATGAGCTGAAAAGCTAGAATCAAGGAGGACAAACCGAAGAAGGGCCGAAACCCCGCGCTTTCTCTGGTTTGCGAAGCTGTTTTGCTTTTCGACGATTCCAACAGTTGCCAGATTACGAACTTCCTCAATCAGTAAGTCATATCGCCCCCAACCAAGCCCTATTAGCTTTGGCGTCTCTCAAAGCCAAATCTACGATCAAACGTTCCTGTTTACCATATTTACCATGAAGCTCCACGACATTCTAGAGTACGATCTGCCGTTGAATCAGGAACGCTGCCAGAACGAGAGCCCCAAGACCGTGGACTGAGTTCGACAGCGGTATTTCATCCGTGAACTGCACTAGACCACTTATGGGAGTATAGAGCGACTATATCCATCCATGATTCTATTTGTGCACGAATACTCTTTCTCAGAGAGGAGACCTCCCGCGCAGCATATCACCAGCGAACAAAGCTGCGGCTCGTCCGTGCAGGAAGCCAAAGCCAGAGGCTACCTTTTCGACATGATGGCCTACGGCTGGGTGCCGTTTCAGTGTCACAACGGGGAACTCGTTAGCACGTACAACGACTACAACATGAGCCCCTGGGCGTTCGACAAGGACCTCGAGAGGCCGGCGTCGGAAGCGGTTCTCATGGAGGTAGAGCGCGTGACTATCTAAACGGATCTCCGGTTCCATCAAGAGCACTGCTTCTATTCCTGGCACAATCTCCTCCATAGCGTCGAACACCAGTGCCGCCTCGTCTGCAAGGGCCTCTACTTGCACGGGGAGGTAATACCCGCGGCGCCAGTGGTGCCGGCCTTTCATTGCGTGGACATGGAGGAAACATTTTTGTTACGGAAGAACCTCTATTGATTAGTATATGGGTTGCATCGCGTCTTTTTACCAGTTCCCGTAATTAGATTAGGTTATTCTATACTGTCTACTTCCCAAGGGCTAATCATTCCGCGGCCAGGGTTATACAACGCTTCTTACCAGCACGCAGCGCCGTGGCTGTACGACCACAAGCGGGACATTCCCGCAGGCCGCCGGTCACCTAATTAGAGGTTGAGAGGTTGTCACGTGGTTCATTTTCTTTGGCTTATTATTAGTTTCCTGGCTCAAAAACCATCTCACACAGCCACGACACCGATTGATCCGACCATCACCATTCGCATTATCCACACTTCAAAGCATTTCTGCATGAACTGCAAAATCTGGATCACCTCTGTCATAGCCGATCCGTCTTCGATTACATCCCCGTGGAGGTGATGGTGAAGGTCTTTTGCCTCCCCCCTGACTTCCCTGCCCTATTTTCCACCATCGAGACTTGTGATAGACTGCGGAACGTGTGTCGAAGCCACAATAGGCGAATTTTGACCTCTATTTTTCGATCCATCCTCGAGAACGCGCCGTCAGGCCCGTCCACGCTCATATCGCCCCAGAAGCTCAAACCCACCCTCGACCGCGAGACGGTGCCGATCTATGCCGTATATATTGGCTTCATGCAGCATTCGCCCTTCGAGACCACGCTCAAGATAAGTTCCTACGAGGGTCACCTCTGACACTCTTACGGGGCCATACCGCGACGTGTTCTGAGTCCCGGCGATGTCAGCATCATTTTCAACGTCCTGTTGAAGCAGATGAAGTCTGGCAACCGACACATCATCCACGTTCTGATGCCATTTGGAAGGCTTTTCGAAGGTGTCGAAGAGCATTGATTAACGGAGATTGGGCCACGTTTTACCAGATCAAGGCTGGTTGTATAGCTTGCTGCAGCAGACAGAAAAGAATCATTAGGTTTCGTGGCTATTTTCACTTATGGGCTAGGAGGACCTGAAGGTGTCGCAGGTTGTCACATAAAGATAGTGCCACAATGAGGTAATATAAGACGTTAGTTATGCTACTATAACTGACAGCATTATTTTTATATAACAATTATAAGCCTAGTTAATACCATATACCTTAATAGTATAGCCCTTAAGCTAGTGTCTAAGCTTTATAAACCCTATAGATTTAAATCCTGTTAAGGCTAAGGACAGCTTATAGATACTCTACCTAGATAAGTTAGACAGCAACTACCTAGACCTTAGCAAGATGTACCTAATTATAAGGTTAAAGAGTTATAGCAGTATTTGCCCTAGGGGAGTACGTACCTTTAGGGGGCTATAGAGGCTTTCTTCCTAGAGTAGATCTACATAAGCGGGGCTACCTGTGATCTAGGGGTGTGTGTTATAATAAGGTAATATAAGGCGTTAGTTGTGCTACTGCAAATAATGGCGTTGTTTTTGCGCGACAGATAGCAAGCAACACCCTCTTACCCTCTTTACGCATATATCTGACAACACTCAAGATGGAGTCAAAGTATTCTTAAGTCATTGACAAACCAGAAACATGTGAATCGCCAACCCCTCATCGGTATTGTTCCAGAGTCAAAGTAGAGGATATTCCAAAACAGTTGAATTCAGCATGGGTTTCTGGAACTTCAAACCCTGAAGTAGAGCACCATAGATAGAAACAGTTCAAAGACTGATATTAATAGCAAGAAGTTTTTGAATTAAATCTCAAAGTGGAAGTCCTGTGACCTAGGCTTGAAAGATCTTAGTAATTCTTGAGATGATGGTATCAAACAATTGTCTCGTTATTCATTATTGATTATAAACTAAGAAAAAGTGGGGGGAAACAAAAAACAGATTCGCTGACGCTTTTTGGCCTTTCATTACAGACATGAATTATGAGTCCGTCCCTGCGAGAACTCCTCCACGCCTTAGTCAGGGCGTCTCCGCCCTTTCGTGGATGGCCGGCATCTCGTGTATAGGTATGGGTATCGTGTCCTCGGGCAATTCAGCCAGCGTCGACTGACGTGGCGAACAGTAGTATGTAGCTGTCGGTATTCTCAGGGAGCTCATTGATCTTAGGGTGCTCATTGGACTCGGGGGAAATGGCTTGAAAGTCACACTCGAGGCTGAGCGGTGGTGACCAACATCCGACATGATGGATGGTGCGTAAAAGTGCATCTGACTGTGCTTGTCGTCGTCGGGTAGTTCCGCAGGCCCGGCCGGCCAGTCATGCTCCGTCTCGTTCGCGACTATTTTGATGCCACGTTTGCGAGCGAGACGACGTCGCAATAGGATGAAAATGGCGAAGAGAGCGGAGAAGGCGACAGCCGTAGAGGAGACGGCTATGCCGGCAATGGCGCCGTTGCCCAGCGCTGGTGAGCTTGGCCCTAGTGCAGCGGGGGCATTGGTGGCGACAGAGGCTGTGGAAGAAGTGGCCGAAGAAGTAGCGGAAGGAGTAGCGGAAGAAGTAGAGATGCTGCTGCCACTGCTTACGACCTGCGAGGCAGACTGAGTGACTGGAATGGAGGTTGTCGTCGCATAGCTGCTGCGTAGCGGTGGCCTAGTCGGACTCGGCTTGCCTGGGGGTGGTGTGTAAGTCGCAGGGACCCCGCCGGTCGACCCCAAGGCGCTGGGGGCATACATGGCGAGCACTCTCTTTCCCAGGTCTTTGCAGTCGCTGATAGGGGGTAACGGCTGGATCTCAAAAGGCCAGACTGACTGTGTCACCTGAGGTTGATCAGGTTCAGTCGGGCAGTTCTCGCCGCATGTGTCGGGATGGTTGGAAGCCCAGAACTTCAGCTCGCCCTCGTTCGCGTTGTTGCATTGCACAAGACCAATCCAAGGGGACTTGGCTATACAAAGGCGTGTCAGTGTCGAGATCTTTGATCATAACCAAGCAACACCAAACGGCGGAGTTTATGGTTGCTTACCTCTATCAAGACCACCTTTGACGGGGCAGTTCTTGTCTTTGTATGTCGGGTCATTGCAACCGTACTGGTAGGTGACGCCGGACTTGCCGTCGTAGCAGGCCTGGTTGACGCAGAACTGGCCGGCCATACAACACCAGCTAACGCCATTGTCGGTCTCGTTTGCGGGTAGGCAGGGGAGCAGTTCCCGGGGGCCGGCAAGGCCAGCGTCGTAGTAGCATTGATCGTAGTCGGCCAAGACAGGGGAGAGCAGGCTAAGGAAAAGCCAGGGGAATAAGTAGGAGCCGACCATATTGAAATATGATCGTATCCAGAGGTGAAGAAGGAATGAATAGGCGAGAGTGGAAGAGTGTGTGTAAGTGCTTCAGCCGGGCGATCAGTTGCGATCCATGCCCAACGCTAGGTATCGATGATCCAATCGGTTACTAGCAATACTAGGTAGTACTAACCATGGAAACAATTGTTCCTTGGAGCTTGAAGTGACTAGATGGGAGCGGACAAGGAAAGATGAGAAAGATGGAGAGACTGAGACAGTGACAGTGACAGGGAGAGAAGACAGAGCTGAAGATTGGGAACTGCTGGTGGATTAAGAGGACTTTGGAGGTTTAATTGTGTTGTACGATGACTTCCTATTGAGGTAAGAAGCTGCGAACGAGCACAAGATGACGGGGAAGGCGCAGGGGGTCGGAGGTCCACGAACTTCCTCCACCTTCCTGGTCCTTCCCATATAATACTTGCCAAATACAAAACGCATATCATCGAAGCACCACACGGCCTGGTGAGAGAGAAAGAAAAAGAAAATCAAATCGAAATATTCTCCGGCTCCTTTCATCTCGCTGCGTTTTCGCGATTATTTCCCTTTTCTCTCTCGTCCAACCTGCCGTCCCATAGCAAGGATACGGATGACAAGTGTTTGCTGTCACCGGCCCTGCTAGCAAGTCACACATAAATAACACCAACCAGCGCAAACAAAGCCAAATCGAGCATTCCAACACGCCCCTGATTGGATGACGACCGGGGGACAAGACTTCATCTTCTGTACCGCGTCGCCGCTCGGACGCACTGATCCGCCACGGGCGGGGAACAAACTGGGCCCTCACGGCCGAGAAGCCGACGATGCCGTGCAGACAGAGAGTAAGCAGAACAGCCTGGATCTACCTCCCTGGCATACATACCCTTTGCCGGCACCCAACATCAACATACTTCGTACATATTAATAAACTGACATGCTTCAAAACTAGGGGAGAGACGGCATGAAGAGGGGGTGCAGGGGCAAGGGCAAGGGGGAGCCGTTGACAAGTGTGGGGGCACCTTGATCGATCTGAACTCGCCATACAAGTGGTGGCCACGCGTTGGTGAGCGTTGACGAACGGGTCCAGGCCAGGCACCTCTGCCGTGCCGTCTACCCCATACCTTGGCTAGCTGACTTCTGAAACACACCAACCAATTCAACTATGTACGGATACTATGCTCGACTTCCCACTGCACAAAGCACAGCACCGCCACCACACAGCAGACCAAAGCAGACCACAGTACAACTGCTGCACCACCTTTAGAGATTTTCGACATGGACCCCGGCCGAGATATCAGCCACTACCATCTGCGACGGCTCTACGAGTTCCCATTCGCTCTTATTGAAGGTGCTCGGTTCGCTGGCCACCACCACGTGCTCTCCGTGGCTTGTCTTCTCCAGCCGGCCGTCTTCTTCGGCATCGCCGTCCCCCGAGCCGCTAATGTCGCTCGGGAACCCCTTGTACTTGCGATTGAGCGTCGCCCCGGCCGTCGTCGAGTAGTACAGGCTGGGCGGCTCCAGACCCTTTGGGCTGCCGTAACGCACCGCCACTAGCGAGCTACCGGACATGGCTACGAGGTTCAGTGTGTTAGACTCCCGCTCCGCCGGCCCGAACTCGGTTTGCATCTTTTCCAGCAGCACAATCGTCTCCCTCATGGCCACCGCCATATCTTTGGCATCGTACGCCGACTCCCAGTTGCCGTCTTTGCCGCACAAGATGAAGAAGTATACGGCGGCAATATGCTCGGCGTCCGTGGTCCCGATGACGGCCTGCTGGTACTTCAGGGGGAGGTACTGCAATATCGCTGTTCGTATTCTCGGGAACGAACCGAGGATGCCGTTGTGGGCGAACAGGTGGCGGCCAAAGACGAACGGGTGGCAATTGGTCTCGACCACGGGCGTCAGGCCCGGAGCCGCGCGAATGTGAGCGAGCACAGCGTTGCTGCTGGTTCCCCGGACGATGCTCTTGAGCACCAGATCATTGAGCGGTGGCCGGGTACTCTTGTAAACAACAGGCCGAAGCGATTCCGGCCACTTGGAGTCCGTGTGCTGCTTGAAATCGCACTCCGACGACGTGAACCACCCCACACCGAACCCATCCATATTCGTCAGCGCGTTTGGCGAGCCCGCGTCGCTGGCCGCCAGTGGAGCGACTTGGAGCTCTCCGAGAGACGGCTGCACTGGTGTGTGGCCGGCCGGGAGGAAGTGTACATCAACTGCCGTCCTTGGTTAGCAGAACGAACGGAAATCCACCATCGCTTGAACGCCATTCCGCTCACTCTGCTTGACTATGGCGTGGCGTGGCCGGATGACGACATCTTCGAGCAGCTGAGGCTCGTTGCCTAGATATGCAAACCAACGACACATGTCAGAGTTTGCCTGCGGCGGTCTATGGTGGAAAGAGAGATTGAGAGAATGAGTTCAAGGTCGGATGACAACCCTGTTGTAAAGGTGATGAGATCGGGCTGACAGCAATGGGTGCACCCGTTGACCTTGACAGGAACCACATGCTAGTGGTTCGCGATGACGCGCGCACTCGGCCGTTACACGCGTCAAGGCCGAGGAACATGCCAATAAGATTTCGAGTTTTGATCTGACGTCACGACCTAATCCTTACCCTCTGTTCTTTGTCTTTGAAAACGCGCCGCGTTCTCGTCCTTGCTTGGAAATAGCGACGCTATGAAAGGCTTATTGGGATCGCCACATCATCAAAACCTCAACAGCGCCAGACATATACACAGGAGTGTCTTCCGCCCACGTGACGATGGTGCTGGGATAGAAGTGCACTGGCTTCCTGAGTCGTTTGGGTACTCCGGGTTCTTCAGCGGGCAGCGGGGAATGGGCATGAATGTCATCGCTCTGCCACGAAGATCAGACGATGTGCACTGCTCCATTGGAACCACACAAACCGCCGTGCGGCCCATCCGTCCTAGCCTAGCCTTCTAGAACGACATACGATCGTTGAGTTACAAAGGTGCGTCAAGCGCAGTGGACGTATACGATGTGAGGGCTTTGCGCCTCCACCTCAGTGGCTCCAAGGAGATTCAACCGCAGTTCTCTCTGCCGGTCACCGCCACCAACCGGGACGGTCCATGATTGAGAGATTTCTAGGACCGTCGGACTATAGCGAGGCCGAAAAGAAAAATGGCACGGCAGGAAAAAAGGGTCTGGTTTTGTTCTCAACTTGGAAAACCCGCATTCAAGCGTGTTATGGCGGTCATTTCGCGGATTTGGCGGCACTTCTCCGGCCTTCATATTCGGCCTTCCCCTTCGTCTGCGCAGCACCTGATGCATTTGACCCTGCAATTTCAAGGGTACAGGTAGAATGCGAGAGCGATTTGCTCGGCGGCCAGTGGGTTAAGCCTATTTCGGAATGCATTATGTCAGCGCCAGCAAAAAATAGCCCACAACAATGGTTGGAGTGGCGGTGGCAGTGGCGGTGGTGGCAGTGCCTTCTAAATAGGGTTAGTCACTGGCCGCCGAGCAAATCGCTGTAGCATTCTACCTGTACCCCAATTTCAAAGCGTGTTCATTTATGGGTTCCATTCTAGGTGGCTTTTTTTGTTCGTGGCTTTACTACCTAGCCTCCCCTCGGTCCGGGCCTAGGATCCCGCCAGGCAGACCGCCATTCGCGTTTTCGTGAGTGGGACGACCGGGGTCAGTCAGTCCATGGTTCCTGAGCAACGATAAGATAAGCTTAAAGGTTGGTGGTTGCGCACATTGGGGAAACCAAGATGGTCTTGGTTGTGGTTGATCCTATGACGGTCACAATACGGATACAAGAAGAGAATCAAGATACGCGTCTTATTTTCTTAGGCACCAGCCAATCCCCGTTTCCCTGGCGGCCGTTGGGGGAAATTAGATTACCGGTATGTCTGATGGCGTCGTTTAGGCTGACTTCTAGGTAGGATGGCAGATTGGCAAAGCTCCATGACCCAACGATGCATTAGATCCGGCTGGGGGTTGCATCCTTCACGTCCAAAGTACCCAATTCCAAAGCATCTTGGCCGCCGATCAATCCCACCAAGGCCTTGATCATTGGCCGGATGTATGTCAGCCTGCTCTCCCAGCGGCTGAGCACCCCCAAGCTGAATATAGTCCGACTCCTTTGACAACCGCAGCCATGGGCAATGCTCCCTTACGTCCTCATTCTCGCGGCCAGGCTACAGCATAAGCTTCTCCAGTCTCCGCGCCAGACCTACGTCTGCGACGACGATGGGGGATAGATTGGCGTCCAAGTTTGTCTTGGAGCGCCCAGTACAGGTGCCCAAGCAGCCCCTCCCGTAGTTTCGCCCGTCCTGCACTGGTTTGACTCGTCTCACTTGCATATTATCAAAGTGTCCCCTCTACTTTGTTCCTCTGTGTCTTTTTTCCTTCTTCTTCTTCTTCTTCTCTCCCCTCTTGCGTGATGACTTCTTTGCATCCGCACGACAATTTCTACCTCAACGGGGGTAGCCACACCAGTGACTCGCCACCGCTCGAGACCGACAAGATGCTCAAGAACACCAATGGTGCGTCCGGCCCCGAGGCCGACGCCGTCCCTGACGGGTTGGAAGTGAACACTGGCGTCGACTACAGTACGGCGCCGCAGGCGTACCAGCCTGCGCCTACGCCACAGCAGCCATACAATGGCTATGACCAACATTACCATGCACACACGCCTCAGACGAATCAGACTGAAATGACATACACTGATAACAACCACTACAACCGCTACAACCACGACTCGTTGACGCCCAAGAAAAGACGCACCGAGGACGGCACGATATGTGGCCTGCGAAAGCCGACGTTCTGGCTCATTGTTCTGTCCAGCCTGCTATTTTGCGCGCTCATCGGCGTGGCGGGAGGGCTGGGCGCAATGCTCGCGAACAAAAACAATGAAATCGAAAGGTGGGTTTCCGACGCGCACACACCGATGCCGCACCGGCATCTCAGAATTGGACCACTCAGCGTAGGACTAACATCACCGGCAGTCTCCGATCGCTCGCGGACAACTCGACGAGCGCGACACCGACGGCCTCGCCGACCACCTCGCTAACTGCTACGCCGACTGCCTCGTCGTCGCTCGCCTTCGACCTTAGCCAGCCCGCCGAGACGGGCACGCCCATCGGGCTCAACAAGTGCCCGGGCAGCGGCTCACAGCTGACGTACCAGGTGCCCGGAACGAACCTCACCTTCAGCAAGGACTGCGGCACCGACTACCCGTTCAACGACATTGCCCGGGTGCCCGCCAAGAACTTTGAAGAGTGCGTGCGGTTCTGCGCGGCCTTCAGCCTGCAGCCGCAGTCCCGCAAGGGGCCCTGCAGAGGCGTTGTGTACATCTCCCCAGGCGAGCAGGGCGCGGACTCAATCTGGTGCTGGATGAAGTACAACCAGAACACGGGGCAGAAGAGGGCTAAGGACTACACCGAGTCCGCCTGGATACTGTGAGGCACGCATATTTCTGAGACGTGGACGGGGTAGAGAAAAAAGACGGAACTTGGATGGGGTGCGTGGACGGATGCATAGATGCATTGGAGTGTAGCGGATACCCATTTGATTGATACTTATTAGAAAATCGATGCGAACTTTGTGTTCCTGGCAGAGAGAGAGAGAGAGAGAGAAGGAGAGCATTCGTGGTTACGGGCCCCGGAGCGCGACGGGGAGCACCGCGAACGGAGACGGCTAGCGGAAGAATGGACGGGACGTGCGGCCGACGATTCTCAAGGTCCGTATCCGGCAGGCCGGTCAGCCAATCAATAACGGCCCCCGCAAGCCGCCTTGCTAGCTCAATCGGTAGAGCGTGAGACTCTTAATCTCAAGGTTGCGGGTTCGACCCCCGCGTGAGGCTCAAATCCTCGCAGCGATTGGAAGCAGTTCTTTTTTCTCGTTATTCTCTCTTTCTGGTTTTTTTTTTTTTTCTTCTTCTTCTTTTTCCCCCCCTCCCCCTCTTCTTCTTCTCTCTTCTGCGCATATGCTGGGAGCGTCAGTCAAGTAAATCTCGGGGAATTGTGAAATGAACAACCTGGCACCGTTTCGCAGTCAATTCCTTGCGTTGCGCATTGTCTGAATAGAGTGGCTCAGGCCACCTAGTTTTTCGGTCTTGTACCGAAATACCATGCACCTATGAACGTCTTATTCGATTAACTCAACTACCCTACTTCCGGCTACCCCCCACATCCGGCCCATCATCACCACCACCATCACCACCACTATCACCACTTATTTCACCACCTCTGCCGCCCACCTATATGCAACTTCCGGCCTCACTAGGTAATTCAGATACACTAGATTCATCTAGACTATCCATATTACTAATATCCAGGGTTTACGCCCACTAGATATCATATATAGTAGCAAAGGTACTATTAGGTAATAAGGGGACCTTTTTTCTCTTATATTACTATAGGTTATCTAACTTACCTTTTAGCTAGTAGACCTTTTACTCTAGAAATATATTTCTAAATACTTACTTATTATACTTTTTTTATATCTTTTTAGATAAGTAATAAATAGTATAGGTATTTAACTTATTTTTTACTAACTAGTTTAACTAGTATAGTTAATACTATAATTTAGTAAACTAATAAAGGGTTAACTATAAGATAATAAATATAGCTTTATTCTACTATTAGCTACTAAGCTAGCTAGTCTAGCTAGTCTATTAGTCCTTAGTAACTATAAGGTTAAATAAAAGCTACTATATATATATTAGCTATAGTCTAGTTAACCTTTAGCTACTTCTAATATTCTAGACTATTATAGCTATATCTTTAGCCTTTATATAATAGGCTAAAAATACTCTCTTACTAATAATAGTTAAATTATTAACCTAGTTATCTAAATATTTAACCTCTCTTTAATAAGTGTACTTTAATAGGCTAAAGACTAATATATCTAGTAGCTAGAGAATAATAAAAAAGTATAATAGTAAATATAGTAAATATATATTATTCTAGAAGTATTCTTATATAAAGTTTATTAATATATAGCTATAATACTTATTTAGAACTAGTAGTCTAGCTACCTTTAGCTTATTAAGTATAATACCTAAAATAAAGACCTTCTTTAGCTACTTAAAGGTAGTCTTCTTAGTTATTTAGCTATTATCTATATATATAAAGTACTATTCTTTATATCTAAATAAGTTAAATAAGAACTACTAGGCCTAGACTAATTTACCTTTATATATAACTAGTAAATATAAGAACCTTTTATTAGTAGTTATATACTTAATAATAAAGATTTATACCTAGAATTCTAGCTACTTTTTTTAGATATACTATAATACTATAAAGCCTAGTATTAGCCTATTAGATCTTTTACTCTTTATAATACTAGTCTTATCTATATTTTATTAGTTAAATAAATAAATTCCTTAGATAATAAAAATACTAGTTAAAAGCTAAAAAAACCTCTAGATAACCTTAAAAGAATAAGCCTTTATTACTAAGTATTAATTACTTTAGATTAATAGGTCCTAATTAATAAGTTTTATTATAAGAATTATTATATTTATTTTTTACCTAAAGGTTAATAAGTATTATAGGTATTACTTAGTATATACTTTACTAGGCCTTTTAGTTATTAATAAGTAGGTCTATTACCTAAGGTATACTAGGTTTACACCTATTTAGCTAAATAATCCTCCTAGGCTTAGGATAATTACTATATATAGTTATAAGTAGTATTTTTATTTTATTACTTATAGAATTAGTATTAAAGTGTCTAGTATAGTATAGCCTATTTCTAAGTAGTATAGTAAATAAAGTAACTATCTACTATATTATTAAAGGCCTATTAAAGCTTATCTTTAGTATATTACTTTATTATAAGTTAAAGAAGGTATCCTAAAAAAATTATGTTATTTAGATGTAAATAGATAATGTTGTAATAGTTTAAAAAAGGTAGTAGTGTTGATGAAGGAGGGGATTTTCAGATGTCCAAAGGTGGGGGATGTCCGGTTGCGGGGTAGTTGAGTTATTGTCCCTCGAGTGTTCACTATAATTCCTGGACAAGACTGGATATAGACTGACGTGCTGCGCCCGCCGCGACGAGGCCGGGGCTGTGAACCGGTCAGGGATCGAGCGCTACGGTTTATCGAGGCTCGAAAACACGATGTGGTAGACACAACGCGCACGATCCTCGAATGGCGGCAGTATCTCGTTCCCCGAATGCCACTGTCCACTACTACTGTTCCGGGAGGGGCAGGGGCTTCAATGTAACCCTTGTCCTGCGCGCATCGGGCAGCTCACGACCCAAAGAGTTGCATTTCTCGGTACCGCCACGGCAAACAAGCCTGTCAGTCTCATGAGCCCACCCGTTCTCCCCGCGAGCCTAAACGAAACGCTTGGGAGCCCAGGTCGGTTGTCCGTCGTGCTAGACCACCGGGTCGCCGAGATTGCGTTGCAGCTCGTGTGCATCGACTCTGACGGGGAAGAAACACCGTTTCGATCAATGTAACCGGGGAAGCTCCTTGCAGATCCCCTCGAGCAGCGCTCGGGAAACGACGTGAGCTCCGACAAGCTTCCCGTGTCGGCTGTCTCATGGCTGGTCGAGGGAGCATCCCGTCGCCGAAGAGTCATTGGACGACGCATCCCGGGAGCGAGCGGATAAACAGGCTATTCCACAAACGGCAGCCCGGCGGTGGTGGTATTGTGTTGTCGCTTTCTCCGCTTGCCGCGGGATCCGCCGCCCCGGTATTATCACTGTCACTCTGGCATGTAACATAACACGAACAATCAGCCAAATTCATATTTGTGACATCGCAACGACACCAGCAAGGCAGGAAATACCCTTTCTTTCAAACCAGACCGGCGTCGGGCGAGAGCGCCACGCCACGCCACGCCACGCGCGACGACCATGGCTTCTTCGCAAGACCTTCCGGCCCCGATCCTCACGCTCGAAAAATGCCTCGTCAGGCCATACCACCTCAGCGACGCCCCAGCGCTCGCCCGGGCCGCCGACTCCAAGGCCGTCTTCGCCCACCTGCGGAACCGCTTCCCGCACCCGTACACCCTCGCCCATTCCGAAGGCTGGATCGCCATGAACCAGGCCCCGCCCATTTTCAACTGGGCCGTCGTGTGCCCGACCTCCGGCACCGCCATGGGCAGCATCGGCCTCGTCCCCGGCGAGGACGTGTACTCGAGCAGCTACGAGCTTGGGTACTGGATCGGAGAGGAGTTCTGGGGCAGGGGCGTGATGACCGAGCTCGTGCCCGCGTTCGTTAGCTGGGTGTTCTCCGGCATGAGCGTGGGGTCGGGAGGGGCGGAGAGGGTCTGGGCGGGCGTGTTCTCGGAGAACGCGGCGAGCCAGAGGGTGCTGGAGAAGAGCGGCTTCGTCTTCGAGGGGCGGCTGAGGAGGGCCATTGTGAAGGATGGCGTGTGTATGGACGAGCTCAGGTATTCCGTCGTCCGGTCCGACCTGCAGGTGTGACAAGTTTCGATGCGCGAGGTCACAAAGTACTATCGGGTCCGGCGTACGGATGCCCCCAAAAAAGATCTGGGACGTGGGGGAGGGGGGTTGGGGAGCAGGCGGCAAGCTGCTGTCTGGAGACTTGCTGTGCCAGGAAATATACGAGGAAGTGAACGGAGATGAGACGGAGGCCGTCTTGTTATGTGATATGGTGTTGAGATACGCCGCCGTGAAATCACCAAGTTAGCATCTCAGCCCATTTAGACTTTCAATAGCCTGAAGCCTATAGCATATGGAGAGAGAGCCTATGCCAGAGCAACATGATGGGGGGTTGATTCTGCTGTTGTCCGATCTTCTCTTTGAGCTGTCCAAAGGAGTGACAAACATCACCCACCACATCCATATCGAACCCTCCCTGCTCGAAAGCAGTGGAATTACACCCCCACTAGGGTTCTAAACGTTAGCATGGTGGATTAACCTAGAAAAGCATAAAAAAGTAGCATGCTATCCCTTCAAGGGTGCAGAGGAAAGATACCTACCGCAAAAGCAGCATTTATAACCCCGGAGGAGTGTAGTGGCAATTGACAGAGAGCGAGAAGCTTATGTCCCACCACGGACCGGTTGCAAAGAAAAGAAAAACCACCGTGACTTGGAAAATAAACTTTGTCATATAAGGCACGAACGTGCCGGCCCCGTGCTCCATGGCCGTCTTCTTCCTTCATTCTGACGTGGACGGTAGCAACAAGTAACGTCACGGCATCATGTCCGCAGGCCCATGCGATGCCATGTCACCCGCCACAAACACATTCCGAGAAGCGTCATGCGCGCGTCCCCAATGCGCTGAGGCGATTTCAAGTGGGACATGCCGGGGTACCCGAGGTTTTTCTTTCTTGGCCATTCGATCCAGATTGATTGCCTTGTATGCATTTATTCCTGTCGGAACCTGTAGCATACCGCATGCTACCGGCCCACTGCGGTGTGTCGCCTTTGGAACCAGGGAAGAGTACGAGTAAGGGCCTCGAACATGGCAGCGACGCGATGAGCCTCGGGCGTGCGATGGCCATCCGACGATTCCAACGGGTCACGGCTTGCATGGAACGCAGCTTTTCTCTCCGACCGTTGTAAGACAGGCTGATGAATGCGAGGATTGCCCGCCCCCCCCTCCTTGATGGCCTTGGCACTTCGCAGCCACCACAGGACCAACCCCCTGTTCTTAAGGCCATTGCCTATACCAGCACAGCGAGAGCCCCCTCGGGAGTTTTGATGAAATATGGTAAAAAAAGGCGCCGCAGGTGTTATGGAGGACACACACATAATACACACATGCACACACTGGGGCATCTTCACCAGTCCAAAGATTGGTGGTTGTCAGCAGGGGTCCCTGGCCAACCAGTGGAACTACTGAGAATGGAGGACCCAATCGCGTTGCTTACCGCTTTTATAACAGCAGGATGCGCGTCCCGTTGGGTGCGACCAGCGCCCGGACCTGGCAGGCCCGCCGGGCCCGATCCACAAGGCCGTTGCCGGACATCGGATGAGACTGCAGCTGCCGACAGGCCCTCTGGCCTGGCTAAGAAAGGGGGGGAAACGGGGCGCGCCCACCGCCTCTCGTCACGATCCGTCATGGATGGAACCAGTCTTATGAGCGCGCGCATCGAACAGAGGGCTTATCGAGTTGTTTGAAGGCCGGTTCGGCCTGCCCTTTTGCTTCGGCGGAGGGCTCCACCCATATAATAGACGGCCGTTATTATCGACATGGGGGGTTCGTCTAGCGCCCTTCGTCCCAAGCGGATAGACCGACAGAAGCAAACCCAGCTCCCGAGAACTTTTTTTTCCACCTGATGACAATCTCGCACTTCCGGTTTCGTTTCTCTCAGAGTCCGAGGGGAGGAGTATTAGATCTTTTTTTTTTCTTTTTTTTTCTTTTTTTTTTTTCCAGCCGCAAGGGTGTTCGAGTGGAAGGGACGGATTCATGACATCCGCCGGCGATCCATCCATTTCCCACACACTTGTTAAACAAGAACCCCTCCTCTATCCTGTTGCCCATTTCGTCAGGCTTCATTATGCAGAGGTGTGGATGGACTTGAGACCGGATGACATCTGCCAGAGATGAACGGTCAAGTTCCAAGGCATGTGTCAGCTCACATAAATCAAACCAGGGTGTAACTGCGTGCCTGGCGTGAATAATGCCTGAAGTGCATTGATAGGGTTTGACGCCTTTTTATTTTATTTTAATGAGATAGCCGGTGCGATCAGGAAGACAGATATCAAAGCCTTGAGCTAGCTTGTTGATGTGACCTCGCTTGCCTCATAAGCACGTTGGTCCCCGCAGACGGACCAAGTCAGCCCCGGAGCGAAACCTAAAGAAGGCCTCCCATCATGTAGTCGATGCAGAAGCCAACGTCATGAATGGTAATGGCCAAGCTACCTGAGCGTCTTGTACCTGCTCAGGGGGCCACGCGTAACATGGGTTGTCTTCCACCTCTTATTAGACTTTGGCCAATATCACGTCGTCGCTCTCAGCCCCGACCGGAATAGAGCCACGCTATGACAGGGAGGGTGTTTTCCCCCAACAATAAATGAGGATCTTCTTGTTCCTGTACCCCCCCCCCCCCCCCCCCCCCCCTCTACGTCAGTCTCTTGGTTTCCTGAAAGTCTCCGTACGGGGAGATGCTTCGTCTCCATAGGACTCAAATCTTAGAGTTTTCGTCTTATGAGCTAGGCGTCACAGATCAGAGCCCGACGAACAAGTGGTATCAGCTGCGATGCAGTTTGGACGAACGGGAGCTGCGCATCGTGTGCCACGTGCCAATGAATCATTCGGGGCATCTCGCCTAGTTCAACAAGTTCCGAACCGTTATAATGTCTCCTGGGGGCGGGGGTTGGTAGGAGTTGGAGATCAAGGCAAGGCACAGACACCAAGCGTTGTTTACATCCCTCATCTCGAGATCGTGATCACGGGCCATCATCAGGCTGCGGCTTTGAGGACAACCACGCTACGGAGTCAAGTCCGTAAACCAAGAAAGCTTATTTCAGACTTGATCAGTCACATTTAAGATGCCCAACAATATCGCAGAAGTCTTGCATCATCAGACGTTCGTCCGGTAGCACTGCAACATGGACGCACTCGGACTCGTCGTGTCCGTCAAACGACGGGGGCCGTAAGACCGGCAGCCAGGGGCCTAGCTCTCACCTCAACAACACGATTGGTAGCTGCGTGGGGAGATGGGGGGGGGGGGGGGGGGGGGGGTGGAACACTGACCTGGTACGAATCATGCCTAGCCCATGGTACTGGAGAATCCAAGCGCGATACAACTGTGAGATTCCGGAGAGGGGGGGGGAGGCTCGTCGGGAAGCCGAACAGAAAGGATCGGTGGGTGGGTGCGTGCATGATACCTCGAGACGACAAACCATTGCCGAGAGGCTGTTACTCGTTACCCGTGGCACCTTGCCGAAGGTCTCGTCCGAGCGCAACTGGATCGTCTTCTTCAACGGCTGAGTGGATACGGGGTGAGTTGTGGGTTAGAGGGGGGAAGATCTCGTACGTAATATAGGTGAAACAGAGACCCAAACTGCTGTACGGATATACTAAGGCCTTATTATCGACCCAGTATCCACGGCCAGTTGGTCGCCTGTGGATATATATCACAGCTGTCGGTTGCTTCGACCCGCCTGGAAGTGTAATATCTCGACTGAGAGCCGTCTGACCTTTTTCTTTTCTTTTTCTTTTTTTCGTCTTTCTTGTTGACATTGATCCGTCATACTGACATCTGCATAACGCACCCCTGTTATCACATTATTATTGCCCTCTGCATGACGAACCCATCAACGCGAACGATTTGTGAGGAAATATCAGTCGTCATGGACCAACAAGATTTGCAACATAATAGTCGCTGTCGTTCTACCCACCACCCCAACACATACCCGAATGTTCAGCCACAGGCAACAGGATCTGGTTATGGAGTCTACCCCACTCCAACATCCCACCAGGAATGGCTCCACCTCATGTCTATTGGTTCCCTGTACCAGCCTTTGTTCTATGCGGAGAACACACACGACTCTACATCACAGTACTGGACCGGCCACCCAGTCGAGACCGGCAGGTCACAAGCCCTTGCGTCGCCGCCTCAAGGGGTTCCAACCGTTCCGACGGCGCCAGCGGTGGCGGCACCGGTGGCGTCTCCCGTCCCGTCTTCCGTCCCGTCTGCCTCGGCGCGCACGCCGAATTGGGATGCGTGGAGCCCCCCGAGAGAGGAGTCGCGAAGCCCGGCCGAGGACCGTGAAGAGGAGGCGTGGGAGCCCGAGGACCTCCGCCGGATGGGCTACCTCGACTCCAGCGGCAGCTGGCGCTGCCGGTACGAGGGCTGCCGTTCGACCCGCGTCTTCGTGCGCGCCTGCGACCTGAGGAAGCACTTCCGCGGCCACGACAAGTACTTCTTCTGCACCGAGAGGCCCTGCGCCATCGCCGGCGTCGGCTTCTCGACCAAGAAGGACTACCAGCGCCACATGGGCTCTCACCAGCCGACCATCAAGTGCCCGCACCCCGACTGCGGACGCATCTTCAGCCGCAAAGACAACATGGTACGTGGTTTGCCCCCCCTCCCCTCGAGGAACACACCCAGAGAGAGTAGACACCTGACAGAGGAGAACAACCAGAGGGAACATTTCAGGAAGATCCACATGTGTCTGCGGAACAACCTGTTTCCTCGGCCGTGCCGCCGATCACGTCGTGCCAGCGAGGACAAAAGGTCGCCGCCGGCGTCCAACGCGACGAAGTGTTCAAGCCGGGAGGCGACGAAGCCAGGAGCTGACCTCCATCAGAACATCGGAACGACGAGGCAGCAGACATAAAGTATTATGGTTGGCCCGCTGGAAAAAAAAAACCTTACGATGCAGTCGTACACTTTTTTTTTTTTTTTTTTTTTTTTTTTTTTTTTTGGTTTCATGCAGAGAGGAGGAAAAAACAAGGCACCCAGAACCATGGGTTTGGGAGGGAAATCCCCCCACATGTTCGCCTTACACGGGTTCCTTACGCCCCTAGCACTGCTATAAAAAAGAAGAGTTGCCCCATAAAACACAAATTACCCATACAACAGTATCAAAGCTTCTCATTCAGGGATCATCGTGGATGGGCTATAGCAGCAAGTCTTTTAGTAAGACCATTCGCACAAACAGTGATGAGTGCATTGTACTGTAAGCCGAGTAGATTGATTCAATAATAGGTAATCCGACCACCGCAAGACGCTGCAAGTTTTGCGAGGGGTGGGTTAGGATCCGGATAAGGGTTTGCGTGGGATAAGTTTGTGTCTAGCTGGAGTATGGTATATTATATTGTGATGACAAAAGCGGATCTGTAATTACTACTGCGTAATTATAGCTTATATCATAACACACCCCCCTAGGTTTATAACGCTATTTATTAGAAGGCTAGTAATATAGAACACTCTTGCTAATTACCTTCTAATTAGGTACATCTCGCTAAAGTATAGGTAGTGTTTTTAACTACCCTGAATAGTGCTTAAACCTAGGCCTCTTGGAATTGTAGGGGTCTCTAATATAGCCTATGCGTATGCCGTCAAGGCACACAGAGGTCCAGGGTAAAGCAGGCTTATAACTATAATAACAAAAGCTGATCTGTAATTGCTACTGCGCAATTACGGCTTATATTACAACATATATATTATTGGTAATAGGATATAATATCAACAATAAAAGTCCACAGTATCAACAACCGGACTTAATGATTTCGGTCACACAGCCCGGGCGGGGGAGGCTTGAGACACGCCCTATTCAGCCATCCCAACTGGTACGTTACTCAACACTCGACAGCCGAGTCCCCCGATGGCAGAGCAACAGCATATTCCAATCCAAGCTTCACGGCCTTACCCGCGTTGAGCGTCACCTGCCAATTGACCTGTCCCACCTTCTTCAGCGAAGCTGCCGCCGTTCCCCAGTTGACGTCGTCTTTGCCCTCACGGGCCGGGAGCCCCGCGGGCACGCTTGAGCCGTTGACCACGAGCCCCTTGGGCACAAGCACGTCGACCTTGAGCCGCTCGTCCTCGGACACGGGCACCTGGTCGAGGACGAGCAGCGACACGGGCTTGCCGGCCGCGGCGCGCGTGTTGGCAACGACGATGCTGCGCGTGTACACGGAGCTGTCCTCCTTGGAGAAGAGCCCGGTGGTGGCCCGCTGGACGTCGACCCTGGGATAGTTGACCTTGATCGCCGGGTCGACGCCCAGGCCGAGCGTGAACATGTCGCCGTCGCTGCAGCGGGGCAGCTGCGCGCGGCCCAGGAACGTGCCGTCGAGCGTGAGGCCGGTTTCGCCTCGGAGCAGGGTGAGCCGGCTGCTGTTGCGGATCTTGGCCTTGAGGTAGGCGACCGGCTTGTACTTGGCGACGACGGTGTGGCTGAAGTGGACGTTTGAGAAACCCAACCGCGCGACGCGCTGCTTGGACGGGGTTCGACGGGGAGGCAGGGTCTTGGTGCCGGGGAGGTCATATGTTGTGGTGAAACCCGTCTCTTCCACCGTCGACTCTTGGAAGTCGACGTTCTCGTCCTGGCCCAGCCACGCGGACAGGTCCAGTGAGTCTCCCTCGTGTTCCTCGAAGCCTTTGGTAGTAGCCGATAGTCGTCTTGCCGCCGCCGCTTGTGCTAATTGGGTCGGATGAATCTGCATCTGTTGCTGTTGCATCTGTTGCTGTTGCATCTGTTGCTGTTGCATCTGTTGCTGTTGCATTTGCACTTGGCTTTGCAAACCATGCTGTGGAGCCCTTTGTAGGAGGAGTCGGCCCTTGTTCTGCTGTTCGAGAACCATCAGACCCTCCTGATACGGGCGGAGGGCCTCTGACGAGGCGGGAGAGCCCGAGTTTTCGACTCCGAACAGGTGAGAGCGAGGCTTCGGGATGTGTGTCGTTCTCTTCTGGACGTTCCACCAGCCCTTCCGCTGCTGGCGCTCTTCAAGGCTGTCGAGAATGCCATGCCCATCTTTGGGAGCCAGCTTGATGTTCCAAGGCTTCAGCGTCGGAATGCTGTTCTCGAGCCCGGAGAACATGGCCTGGGATGTGGAGAGGACGACCTTGCAGTTGCTCCACGTCTCGGAGGTCTCGTTCGTGATGCGGGCGTCGTAGCAAAGCGTGCCGGTGTTGTTCGTCGTGAAGAGCTGGAGATCGTAGCTCGGGGTCCAGGATGCGGAAGACGTGACGTACGAGAGGGTCAGGTCGCACTTCAGGTCCCCCACCTCGGTCGCCTTGCCCGACGTTGCGGCGGAAGCCTGGACAGTGTCGCTGGAAATCGACGTCCGGCGAGAGGACGCGGGAGTAAGGACGGCCGCTTCGAGGGTTACCCGAACGGAGTAGCACAGCTTCGGCCAGAAGCTCTCGCGTTCCTTTCGAACACGCTGCCTTTCCCTCTGCCTTTCTTCTCTCCTCTTTGCATCCTTATACTTCCTTCTGGCCTTGTCTTTCCGCGCCTTTCCTCTCCCCTTGGCGGCTTCAGCCGCCTCTTTTTTCTGCTGCTTGACAAGCCGACTTTCCTCCTTCAGAGAAGCACTCAACCGCTCCGTATTGGCCCGGCCACGAGCCACTCCTGCCATGTGGTCTCCGAAAATCCTCTCTCGTTCAGCCCGATAGGTTTCGATGCTTTCGGCAATGTCGATGCTTTCCTTGCGATCAAGTGAGTTTCCGTGGGCGTCGAGGATTTTGAGCCGGCTGGCAGCGCTATCGACGGCTTCCTTCGCGCTGCGCTCCTCGCTCCGCAGCTGGCGTATCCTAGAACGCAAAGAACCCAGCTCCGGTGACTCGGACATGCCGTCTGCGCTTTCTTCATCCTCAGATTCGGGGTCTGGCACGTCATCGTCCGAATCCGGGTATATATCTTCGAAAATGTCGCGGTTGGGAAGCAAATCCACCGCAATGTCAGTGATTACGGCAGAGCCAGTTCCGTCAACCTTTATCGTAGACTCATCCACAGTGGGCGTGAGACCTATGATCGTGATCTCATTGGTTCCAGGCTGGCAATGTTTTAGTTTCATTTCCCGACCTAGCATTCCCATGATGAAAACTCACCTTCAGTGGGAGATTCTTGACCTCTCGGACAACTTGGGCCCTGGTGGGAAAGAGAGTGACAGATCTGGTAGGCAGATCGCGGACATGGTATTCCCTGTGGTGAATGACGTCCATTGTGGTTTACCGTCGAGTGGCTTGCAGGTTGTGATTGTTGAAGATTTGTTGGGGTCTTTGGGGAAACTTGCTTTGAACCGGAGGTAGATTTTAAAGAGAGGATGCTGATGATTTCAAGCAATAGAGACGAGGAGGGTTTCCCTCGTATTTATAGTTTTTCTGGACATGGAAACGAGGCACTGCGAAGGAGGCAGCTGAGATGGTTCGCCGCATTACACTGTTGCCTGACAGATACGACGGGCTGCGGAACTCCATTTCTCCGCCGCTCCTAAAACAAATGGGCAAAGGTATATCCAGTTCCCCCTAGGGCTACGCCTACTATAAAGCGCTGAGGAGTTGTTTCATTGGCGTGCATTAATTACGCGACAGGCAAGCACACGGACATCGGAACCCAAGCTGTTCCCTTAATGGCATGTCAAGTATTATTCATTTACGAAGCTGGGATTTCGATACGCCACTCATGAGACCCTCACTGTGTGAGTGTTAGTCGCCCTCTTTGGCATTCTCTACACCTATGAGCGATATGCCTTCGATTTATCAAGCTCTCTGTTTGTCTTCAACTATCGACTACCCAGGCCTACGGCTTTGTATCGTGTTTTAGAGCTTCTGCCGGCGACAACTTTCACTTCGGCTTGCCAATTCACCAGCGAATAGTACCTCTGTTAAGGCACGGTACATCTGCTGCCTAGGCTACTTAGCGTCTTAGTTGGGATTGGGGTTGTGTTGGTTCGGTTACGGAATATGCGTATTCTCATATGACCCCCTGTCAGGCCCGGCCTTTGTTGGGAGTTTAGCAGAGCCATCATCGCCGGTGATCCTTAGCTTTCCGGCGCCTACTTATTGGACCATTATCAAGGTCTTTTCGACGTTTATCTATAATAAGTTATTATTAAAAGTCCAAGAGCCGTCTCACAGCATATTGACAGAGATGCTCAGCGCGAACCCATGTCCTGTCCCATGTTTCATACCCGCTGCGGAAATCCTCGAAATCAGGAGTTGCGTATTATTTTTCATCGTAGCCACATCTCCGTCTCCACAGATGATTTAAGATGAATCTGCTGGATTAAGCATATTCTCTATCATGGCAACTGCAGCGTCGATTTTGCCTTTACTCCTGGAAATTGAATGAAGGGTCATTGCGGTTATATCCTACTGTAGAGCGTAATAAGTCCGAACCTCGGCAGCTGTGCCTGCGTAAATCGTCTACACATTTGCAGTCAGTCGGCACGTCGCTATCTACACCGCAAAAGGCTCAAAGCGTACAAACGCGGGCGTCCGCATAACAAGAGAGCGAACCGGGCAAACATCTACCTCGATTTCGCGGCCAAAAGTAGCACATGTGTGACCTCGCAGTTTCGAAAAAGAGCCTACAAGATAAGGATAACTCCTATTCTCTGGCATCAAGCCGCGAACCCTTTCAGTGTTTACACCGATCAATAGCTTACTGTCAGTATAGTGTCGTCGTCGAAATCATCATCATGTTCCGTCCAGATTCGTGGTCATACCGACCTCAGACACACAACTATTACGTCTGGCCTTTTGCCAACGTCGGTGGGAACAGATTCAACGTCAACCACAACGGCCCTTACCGTCGCGAGCCCCCCGGGCTAGCGTTTGCCAGCCCCGGCCCTCGGTTCTTCGACTTCAGTCAGCTCTTCAACATTACGAATAACTTTGGCGCGGGACCCGCCCACCCCGCTCAGCCCGGGCGTCTCCGCGACCGCATCACCGTCGTTCTTCCCGATGACTCTAGGGTTCTCCTCGACCGCGACGTCCTGCACGAGCACCTCCCGCGAACACGCAACTTCATGCAGCACGGCCACTTCGGCCTGCCCGAGTTCCTCCGGGGCTACGACCACGGCATCATGGACGACGTCATAGACCCGCGCGGGTTCAACGAAGCCTTCTCCCGGGCCGCGACCTTCGTCTTCCGACATCTCGAGAACCTGAGCCGGTCCAACGCCTCGCCTTACGCCGTGGGCAGCGGTACTCTGGACCTGTTCGCCCGGCCCCGGTTCCTCCTCGCCAACGCCCGCGATCGAGCCGCCACCGTTCACGAGATATTCTGGCACGTGTTCGTGCTCTGTTGCGTCCTGGACCAGGACCGCGCACTCGGGTGCTCCGATATGCTGGCCCGGCCCATTGCCGAGTTCCTCATCGAGTTCATGCCCAGTGTGCAGGCCTTTCTGCCCCCGCAAGCGATGCAGATGTTGTTCTTGGGGTATGCTCGCATCTTTCGCGAGTCGAGGTTCGAGCTGGAGGTCCTCAGGGAACTGTGGGAGTTGATGGATGTGGCGAACCAGCACGCCATGAGGAACTTGATAGGACCGCAGCTGGCGACGAATGGGATGGGCAACAACGCACAGCGGATATGGACTGCACTGAGACACCTGGGCTTGGTATAAAAGTCCGTACGGCTCGCCGCCTGTCTTTTGTTTGATTGCGTTACTGTGCCGTCGAATTGTAGCCTTATTGCATCAAATATGACATAGTAGAATTTACCTCTGGCTTATGCACGTCTTTATACCGTGGCTGCGCTTGGCCTTGATGAACAAAGACCGTTATGAGAACTATAGGACTGTCGCTCGTGTCCTATACCGGGGTTCATCCGATGAAGTTATCTAGAAACGTAAAGTCCAAGTTCTCTAATGCCCAGTCTTTTTCGTCAACTTCCTGCCCGAATAGTGGGTATTCGACATTTTCTGTCCTCCTGGAACCGGCTTTTTCAGCATCATTTAAGGTTGTGAGGGTGGGTATCGGACTTTGCCCGGTCCGAGTTGAAGAGGTGCTTTCATCTCTAGTCGTGCTTGATTCAAGACGCAGCTTGCTGCCGACACACCCACTTGTAGAGTGACTTGTCGGCAGTTGCTCTCCTCCAGAACCTTTTCGTTGGATCTTGATAGCCCGGAAGTGGGGAAGAAAGATCCTCAAAGTAGTACCATCTTCGGACATTTTCACACTATACCCAAGGTCGTCATGGTCTGGCGCTTCTGGGGAAAAGTCAACGACATACTCGCCGCCAGAAGTCACGTCCTCTTCTATGGGCAAGAGATAGGCGAGGAGCGAGGCAACCCTGGTTCCGATTTCGTCCTTGTCCCGATCAAACAGCTCCTGGATGGCGGCCAGTGTTTGTTCCAAGAGCCCCCGGTCGCTGAGCCGCTGATGGGCGAAAAAGTGAAACCCGTGTTTGGTGGTGACGTCTTGAGGCGCGTCGCAGATGTGGGCAAGACACAGGGCAGTGCTTGATAAAAATGCTATCAAGTCTATTCCTCTGCAATAGTAGCGTGAAGGTCGACTCGCACGGAAGGACAGCACTCTCGAAAGGATTTCACGACCGGCGGTGATGGCCGTCATCCTGCGATAGATATGACCGCATTCAGATACGGGCCGTAGAACGTTCGGAAAGTGAAGTTGAAGAAGTAGGTGGTAATACATGGTGTGGTCACAGAACCGAAGTCTTTCGCGGATCCTTTCCAGGGGGCCGGTGTCTGATGTGAAGGTCGGGGGCACCCACCACTGGGCCGGCATCAACGCAGAAGCCTCTTGCAACAACTTGTCGATCTCCTTGTTGTCTTCAGGGCCGTACACGATCGAGGGATCCCGCTGGAGTAGCTGCCCACAGGCAACAGTGCATAGGCGACAAAAGCGGTCCAGGGGCGTGCATCCTTCTAATGCGTCTGGACGCGCGTAGACGTCCTCCAGAGAGCTTTGTGGCAGACCCAACATGAGGGAAAGATAACGATCAAACTGGACGAGTCGGAACCATAGATCGCTAGGCTCGGCGACGGAGGCGGTCAAGGACTTCGGCTGGACACCCCGGTTTAGGCCCAGCATCTGTGCGATGGCGACGGATCGACGCGCAGCAAGCCACGAGCTTTGCAGATTGCCTGCGTAGTTCTCGTACAGGCCGTCCATCATGATGCACTCAATCCCTTCGAGAGACGAAACCATCTCGTCGTTGCAGACAACCAAATCATGGGCCGTCTTCACGGCCCGCGACATTACTTCTTGCCAGGGCACGCTGAGCTTTTCGAGAGGGTGGAGTGACGAGGAAGGCATCCCTTGAAGAAAAGAGGCCAGGATTAGGAGACTGCGAGCAATCAGGGCAGGATGAGATCCTCGGGGCGGTAACCCCAAAAGACTTGCGGACGAAAGCAGCGACGTTTGGGGTGGGCTGATCCTGATACATACAACTGCCCGGATGATCTGTGAAGTATCTACCGGCATTGCCAAGATTGTTCTCATATCTTCCTGGTTTGGCCAGGCCTTGAGAAGCTGGTTGGAAATGGCATCGTACGTTTCGGCTTTTGATGTGTTCTTCTCCACATCAACAGCAGCAGACAAGGCAGTTCCCATGGGCGATGTTTGAAAACGGCTCTGCAAATGTGAGTTAGCAGACTCTTTGAAGCATAGAACGGCGAATATTACCTCACTGCATGAAACCAAATGTCTATGTTGCGCATGATCGATATCTGACGAGAGTGGTGGTGTAGTGGACGTAGCGCTCGTCGAATCAACCGGGGAACCAGAACGGCCCGACGTCTTTCTTTGAACCCGTACATGCTCTTCAGGCCGAGATTGCGTGGGCAGACCATCGCTGACAAAGAGTCCAGTTTCGTGACCGGCTTGAAGCAGCTTTTTTACCAGAGCTTCCACCTGCCCCAACCTGTCAACGAGGTGCTTATTGCTTCCTGGAGGAGGCGGTTCGTCGGTAGCCTCTTGACTGACACAATCGGTACCGCGACGCGTACAGCCCTCGCAGATAATGTGATTGGTGGACGAGAAGGTACACCGAGCTTTTCGTCGCTTGCATTCCCAGCAGCTCTGTGTGCCTTTGCGGAGCTTCCGGCGCTTTGGTGCGGGGCCGGAATCCGGACCAGAATCGGCGAGCGGGATTGGTCTCAGCTGGCCTGATGTTTCCATCTTGTAGGCTCGCAAAGGCGCTTGATGCGTTGAGTTCATGGCGAGGTGAGAGGAAACTAGGACGAGGGGGCAAGCAGCCTGGGTATGTTCGACCGCCGCTTTGCCGGAGATGATCGGCTGACAAGGAGGCATTAGTCATCCTGCCTATGCAGCTTAGCGCCCGTTAAATCGGCGGTGGAATTAAGGAGCGAATTCTCTACGACCTCCACAGCCTGTTCCCTTTGTTTTAGTGCATGTGCAACTTCTGGCTTGTTGCCACTACCTTTCCGCCGTCGGATGTGACGATAACACCTCCCCGGCTGCTCGGCGGAGGCAGAGACGGTGAGTTGTTTGATGCAATCAAGTCAACAGGATAGCGGAAATATATATTATATTGCAGTATCCCATGTACTGACTCCAAGTCCCCTCCGTGAAACTATACCAGCAGTTACAAGATCCCACAATCTCATAAGTGTTTATATCAGCAACTATTGTCATCCATGAGAATATCTTGTCTTTGGAGTCTTCGAAGAGTATCACCGTCATCGACATGGTCAGGATTGCGCTTGCTGGCGGAGCTGGGAGTAAGTCATCCTTGGAGCTCTTTACTCGTTCAAACTTAATACTGAATGAATCTGTAGACGTTGGACAGGAGGTCCACGATGCTCTGGTTGCGAGAGGAAAGCACGAAATCCTGATTCTGTCCAGGAAGGTATTGGAAACACAACATATTATCTCCAACTCACTCCACCTAGTCGCTAACCTGAATTCCAATGATGGTAGGATGCACCTGCCAAGGCACTCTCTCCCGGGGTGCAATGGATCAAGACGAGCTACGATGATGTCGATCAGCTGGCAGAAGCTCTGAAGGGCGTCCACACCGTACTCTCTTTTGTGACCGGACCCATGGATCCGGCCAACACCGCGCAAATGGACGCACAGAAACTGCTAATCGACGCCTCTATCAAAGTTGGAGTGAAGCGGTTTGCTCCCAGTGAGTGGGCTACGTGAGTGATCCATACCTACGTCCTTGCGCCATTTTTCTGACTCGCTATGGTTAAGGTCCAAGCCCGACCACATGTTCTGGTACGACTTCAAGGACAAGATTCGCAACTACCTTGTGGAAGTGAACAAGGAGAAGAAGGTAGGCCTGAAATAACACGGTCGGATTGTTCGCAGGCTGATGGATATGACTATAGGTCATCGAATACAGTCTCTTCCAGCCAGGCTTGTTCACGAACTACCTGACCTTTCCTTTCAGCTCGGCCAAGCATGTCAACCTGTTTGAAACCCCAGTCAACTATTACAAACACCGAGTCCTTACTACCGAGGGCGGCGAAGACGCCATCGTCACTCTGACCACGGTCCAGGACTTTGCCAAGGTTGTGGCATTGGCCGTGGAGTATGAAGGAGAGTGGCCCCTCGTCAGCGGGATCAAGGGATCAAAGATGACCATTGGCCAAATCATCGCCCTTGGTGAGAAGCTTCGCGGTACGTGTTCCGAAAGCAACCCAACAACCGACTAGGCCATATTAACGTACGTTGATAGGCAAACCGTTCCAAGTTACAAAACTGAACCCCGAAGATCTCAAGTCTGGCGTGGTCAAAGCTCCGTGGTTGCCCAGGCTCGATCATCCCGCCATCCCAAAGGAGACCCTCGATGCTGTTACCCCCAGCTTTGTCGCTGGATTTCTCTTGGGTATCTCGGCCGGCACCTTTGATGTCTCTGACGAGTGGAACCGGCTCCTTCCTGACTTTGAGTTTACTCAGCCCGAGGAGTTTCTAGCTACGGCGTGGGCCGCGATTGACGCCGGTGCGAAGAGCGTCCACACTGATTACTGAGAGGCATGGAGGAGGACGGTCGCGATGTCCTCTCCAAAAGACATGTTCGGAATAATTAGCATTTTGTTGACATGAATCACATGAAAACAAGGCTCGAGCTAGATATGTGTCCCGCTCCCTAATTAAATAATCCTCGAACCAGTTGGAAAGCTGAGTATTGTACATTGAATTCTCCTGTGGAACTGTGACTATTTCTCGGTTACTTTTCCAGTTTTCCCCCAGTACCGAAGAATCTGACTGGTGCGGTAGGGTAATTCTAAGTTGAACATTCTCTTCTTTCTAATTCAGTTGGCGTTCACACCGGCCCACGAACGTGAAATATAGGTCAAGCAGAATGGTACAACGCACGATTTCCTACCAGCAGACGCACTCAGATCCGGCCATATTTCATCAGCAAGCAATCAGGTGGAGTTGACTGCATGCTTATAACGCTGAACAAAAACCCTCGACTTGACTGGAATGTCGAATGTTATTCTCCTATCTTGGTACCTTAACTATAGCCTTTTCGATCCAGGCATCGAATATGTGTGTCTCCTTCTTAGACCTTAGCGTTTCCATCATTTAGGAGATGGCTAGCGGATCAGCTCCAAAACCGGGCTGCAGTAAGGGCAGCTGGCTCTGGGTACTTCATGATCGCACTCTTCGTCACTAGAGCAGAAGCAACAGTCCTTGGAAACCTTGGTTGAATTGGGTGGTGGGCTAGACATTGTTTCCAAGCAGGCCTTTGCTGATTTTGGTGAGAAAAATGGTAGCTTTGTTGTCATTTTGATGCCGAGGTCTACGAACCCGCGTTTCTGCTTCGAGACAGGAGCTGTTTATACTAACATGACTTGAAATTGATTGAATTGTGATTCAAAATTAATCTGTGTGCTTCAGTGACTTGAACTGTCTCTGGCTGTTTTGTTTACTATTACTCAGCGTTAAATCCCCAATCACTCTAAGAGCCTTTTGAACCGACACGGAGCAGACAAAGCTCCTAAAAAAAAACAGTACGAGGGTTGTTTCTGGTCTATGCAGTTGTCACACGCGTCTTCAAGAAGCCGCAAAAGCTTTCAGACATGGCCTGGTCGTGGCCTTCCCTCCATCGGCAGAGGACGGATATGCTTTCTCTACCGACCCGCAGTGCAATTTCGAACCCGAATGTGCACACCTCCGAGTCCATCATAACGTCCACTGGCTTGCCCTCGCGCTCCTCTCGTGCTTTTTTCCTCCTCCAAGCGCGACTCCACACGTTCTCCCGTGCCCTGCCGACACCGACAAGTTTCTCGCGATTCCACTGGCAAGAGATGAGATCCAACGAAGACATGAGCTCGTGGACCTTGTCTCCAAGCTTCCCGGCTCCGGTCTCCAGAGGAAAGCTGACGACCTCCGACTCGACAGCCACAGGGAGTATCTTCTTCCATACGGCAGCCTTCAGGCCTCGTGCAACTTCCTCCGAGGGCCTCATCGGCCCAAAACTCCAAGCGATGGCCCATCTTCGGGTCTTGTTGCCTTGAACAAACTCCGTGACGGCGTAATTGTCGATGGCTTTCTCCCGGAGGACACCTACAAACTCCTCGAGGCTGGACTGCTTCCCGAACATGGACGTGTACCACTGCACACGTTCGCGTAGGACGAGAGACTCTTCGAGCATCCTGCCGACGAAGCTGACCTCGCCGCCAGCGGTCACCATCTCTATCGACGCTCCGGTGCACGCCGTCAATGGGGGTCGCGACTTTTTCTTTGCAGAGTCGACCAGGTCTTTTTCGGATGTGTAGAATGGAGGGTTCGTCATGACGAAACCTAACGAGTCGACGCCAAGCTCGTCTAAAGGAACCAGACGGTCTTGCGGCGTGCGAGCGACGACTGAGATTCGGTTTTGAAGGTTGTTCAGCTCCACGTTTCTCTTCGCGCAATTTATGCTTTTGGGATCAATGTCTGGGGATTGTCAGCTCTGGTTCCTTCCGGGCTAGCCTGTAGAATTTTGGTACCTGTAGCAAAGAACGACCACGGGCGTTGGGTACATCCCAAGAGCGGGTAAATACAGCTTGCCCCGGTTCCGATATCGAGACCAACAATTTTCCTGTCTGGATCGTCGTAGGTGGTGCTATCGAGCAGACCTTTCAGCCATAGGATGTAGTTGTGACGATTTGGTACCTACAAAGGTTAATGTTCAGGTCTTTTCCCCATAGACCTGATGACTTTCTTACCGGAGGACAAAGTCGATCCTCGGCCAACTCAACCTCTAACCCGAAGTCTCTTTTGAGCAACGTCTTTGTAAGTTGCATCACTGCGGCAGGGTCATTGAAGTCGAGGTTCCCTCGCTTGAGCCTAGGGGAATGTCAATATTCTGACAAGTTCTTGAACTCCGGCACGTCCTACATGGCCCCGAAACTCGGGTCTTCACGGCCCATCTTGCCAAAATCCGGTGCGGTAGAGTACAGATTGCGATAGTACGCGTCGGCGTGAGGTCCGGGCTCACGAGGTCGAATGCTTGTTGACCCGCGATCGGCATGACGAATTGCATTTTGCAGGAGCGTGTCGCTGGGTTGATGGAGTTCGTCACCGGAATGGCGTCTTTTCTTCTTATTCATCATGTTTTCTGGTATTGTGGCACCCAATGGTGGAGGCGGATGAGCAATCGGTTTGGACGATGTTGTTGGCAGCAAGAATTGAAATCAAGATGACCCGTCGTAGAACGAATACGTGCATTCTACTGCTTTGTCGCATAAACACTCCTGATAGTTGCATATAGTCCTACTGGTTGTATCATCGTGAATCGAGGTAATCCAGACCCTGCAGAGCCTATCCTTACGATGGGATGGTAGGCATATGAGAGAGTCCCTCGACTCTCCTTTGCTTAGCCAGATATGTAAATGAGGCTTTATCTAAGATAGTATATTGCCGACAAATCTGTTGTATGACCCGACTCAAGTCGGGTCCCATCAAGAATCGAAATCCACACGCTGTTATCATGCAATGCCGCTGTTTGCTCATGCTCATCATATATACTCGTCACGTTGGCCATGGAAACCTTTTCGAATCATTGACCCCACATAAGCACACGCCATCGCCATCCCTCCAGCAGCTTCATGTCCTGCTCGACGATATCGGCGTCGCCCCGCTCAATCTTGGCACTGAGTCGCTTCAAGCGTTTCGAGACTGTCTTGGCCACCTGGAGGGAGACCTCGTTGGTGAAAACATACAAGACGGCGAAGACGAAGAAGGCAATGCTGGCGAAGCTGTTCCGGCCGAGGAGGCTGTCCTTGATGCGAGCGACCAGTGCCTTGCTGCGCCAAAAGGCGTACTCGGTGTTGTTGGAGGCCTGCACCTGGTCTTGTGACCTGTCAGAAGGCCGGCGGAAGATTCTCTTCACAGCTGGGATGAAAGTCGCCCTGGAGGAAGTCAATAAATATTGAGTGCCCCGAATGGAGCACATGCCCACCGCAAACGACAGAGACTTACACGGCTCCGCCAATCAGCCAGTTCCTCCAGCGGTGGTTCTCGCCCTCCTTGATCAGGACCCCGACTTTTTTTCTCAGGAACTTGAGGTCGCCGAGCAGAATGCGGCCCTGGTTTCTGATCTGGTCTTCCAACTCCAACGACGTGGCGCCATCAAGACGACCCCTCTTTCTCTGAAGGGCCAGATACTCCCGCAGCGCGAACTGGGTACTTGTCTTGACCGATTTCAGGTCCTGGGGGGTCGTCACGAGAGGATTCAGGGCGGCGGCGGCGATAGCGGCAGGACGGGGAGCCTCTGCCGCGCTCACCTGTTGCGACTGGAGACTCGGGTAAGCCGCTGGGCCGGCCATGTGCTCAACCGGAGGCTGAATATTCACGTTGGCCACCACCCCCGGTGGAGCTCCTCCATAGCCTTGGCCCGGGTAAGGGGCCGACTGATCGATAGACTGAAGCGGCCCAGAGTACTGATCAAACCCCAGCGGACCCCCTGAGGGCGCAGGGAATGCGCCAGGACCATTGTGCGGCCCGGACGATGTTACAACCGGCTGCTGAATATTCATAGCGTACCGTACTTTCGAACGTCTAACGAGACTGGTGGAACTAACGGCGGTGAAGGAAGTTGGCGAGCGGCAACAACGGTGGATTGGGCGGGAGCGGGTCTACCAAGCAAGGAGTAAGTGGAATGAAAAGCAAAGAACAAACAGGGCGAAAGCAAAGAAACCCCTATGAGCAACGTCGGGCGACAATATGGTCCATGAGAAGAATAATCGGGTGGCGGGGGGGTTGGAGAAGAGCTGGAGGCACAGCTCAGCTCACTGCAGGGCGAGAAAGGCGAACGGCGATGAGGAGGCACTCTCTCAGTACGTAGGGAAAGGTGAAGGCGGGAGAAAGTGGGTCTGCCAGCGAACGGGACCCACCACGGGAAGCGGGCCCCACCACACCGTGTCAATATACTGATTAAACCTTTTTACACACGTTATCCTGTCGTTTCTTTCAATCGTCGGAGACTTGATGCAAGACCAAACGAAGCTCTCTCCATCTACTCGTATTGCTCTGCGCGATCCTTTCCTTCGTTTCTGGACTCTTATCAACCCATAATGTCTGATAACACAAACTCACGGTTCACGCCGTCGAACAAAACAGTGACCGAGCGCATCTCGGACAGCACCGTCGGCCTCGTCGCGCTCTCCGATTTCCGCAAGCGACGCGCTGAAGTCCTCGACCAGCAGGACCGCGAACGAGAGGCCGCTTTGTCCAGCGCATCCACACCCGATCGATCCGTTTCTGCGACATCAGACCCCGCAAGCGACTCGGCAAGTAGCGCGAACAAGCCAAAGAAGAAGAAGAAGAAGATTGGCACCAGCAAGCTATCCTTTGGCGACGACGAAGGGGAAGAGGAGGACTTGGCACCCACGGGGAAGGGCAAGAAGGCAGAAGGTGGCGATGGCGACAAGGCGGAGAAGCATACCAAGGTCGTAGCCAACTCGTCGGTGGCATTTGTGCCAAAGGTCATGTCGAAAGCCGCGTTGCGCCGCGAAGCTGCCGAGCGGGAAGCGTTGCGCCGCGAATTCCTGGCTATTCAAGAGGCCGTCAAGGCCACCGAGGTTGCGATACCATTTGTCTTCTACGACGGATCCAACATACCAGGCGGCACGGTGCGCGTTAAGAAGGGCGACTACATCTGGGTCTTCCTGGACAAGAGCCGCAAAGTCGGCGCGGAGCTCGGCGTAGGGGAAAAGGCCAATGCACGGAGAGAATGGGCAAGAGTCGGTGTGGACGACCTGATGCTCGTTAGAGGGTCCATCATCATTCCACATGTGAGTTCAAGACAATTGTTCCTCTATTCGGTTTCTAGGCTGACGCTTCCTAGCACTACGAGTTCTACTTCTTCGTTATCAACAAGAGTCTGGGCCCAGGTGGCCAACAGCTTTTCAACTACAGCGCCGAAGCGCCGCCCCTAAAGGACGGAACCGGACCCGAGGAGGCGGCTGCTGCACCAAACGGCGGCCTCACCACCGCAGCAGCGCTTAAGGCTGCTGCGGTCAAGTCACTTCCCGATATCAACACCCTCGAGGGCGCGACCGACGATCCGACCTTGACGAAGGTGGTGGACAGACGCTGGTATGAGCGCAACAAGCACATCTATCCAGCGAGCCTGTGGCAGGAGTTTGACCCCGAAAAGGACTATAATGCCGAGGTTCGAAAAGACGCTGGTGGGAATACTTTCTTCTTTGCGAGATGAGAGCAGGTCCTGTTGCTCTGTAAAGATGCAAAACTTGTCGAGGTCGTTGGTATGCTATGTGAAGAATAATCACGCCAGGCCAGGCGGCGTTCGTCTCGCGACATGTCATCCGGCTATCATCCGGACGGCAAGAAGCAGGCCGAGGACGAGCATCCAGCCCGGCCAGAAGACCAACACGATCAGCATGTTACACCCTGGACCCAGTATCGTAGTCGCGAACTCCATGAAGAACTTCTTTCTCAGCTTTGTAACATTCTTGGAGTTCCACGCACGCCGCAGCGACCTGCGAAGCGCCGACGCCGTTGCGTTGAGCAGAAGGAATGAGTTGGCGGCGAAGAGCCGGGTTGCGATAATGGTCGAGGAGAGGGTTGTAGTGGCGAGGAGGTGGCCGTAGACAAGGAGAAGCCACGACGCAACGGCGACGAGCCTCTGGAAGCGGACGGCAAGGGTGAAGGTTGGCCCGAGGAGGGCGAGGAGGTCTGAGCGCTGGCGAATTGTCACACCAAGCTCGTGCGTGGATGAGGTCAAGACGGCGACCTTGCTCATGATGGCAGAAGAGGTCTCGGCAAGGGTTTGTTCACGACGACCTGCAGCGGCGCCTTGTTGGTGAGATTGAGGAGAGGGTTCAGTGCCATCAGAAGAGGCGGCGGGCTCAGCTTGTTGCAGCTGGCGATATATATTGACGGGCATTTTTGTCCCGCAGCAACTGCATGCAGTACACCACGCACACTATGGACTACTGGGTTGCCTTGGGCGGGAAGCTCTCGGCAACAGCGCTTCAGATAATCCGACATCTACCCCCTCTGTAATACCCGAATAGGACGACGATGGACATATTAAATGCTGGCGGTTGGGGCGGGCTCGTCGCCTAATACCTAATAGTAGGGTGGTCTAGAAATTTCCACCCCTCCCATCGAGTCAAGAACCAGCGTCGTGCTAGACTCCACCATCCACTTCATTGCTGGTGACAAACCAGAGCAACACGTGGGGCTGTTCGCGCTGCTGGATCGAGCTCTGTACGATTCATCGGGACAATGAGGGGGGAAAGGAACAACATAGACTCCAATCGACTCCCATTCGCACGTGGTCTGGTCCTCCCGCCGCCCATGCGCGCCTAACATGTAAAATCGCAGACTGAGGAACGTTCTCGTTCCTGTTTGCCCGCCTCGCGGACCCCTGATCGCCGGTGGCCTTCATCCTCATTGGCGTGTCTTGTTGATCCACCCTTATCGTTCCCGCTATCGCTGTCTCTGGAGCTTTCCGACCTGACGGCGTCCCACAAGGATAGATGTGGCCGGATCCCGTGGTCGCGGCGGCTCGACTCGTGGATAGTCGAATCATGGGGGAGCGCGGACGTGGTGGCAGGTTGATGGATCTGCCCGTCCCCGGGAAACTCGTCCCGTTCTTTTGCGTTTTGTTCTTCCAGCATGTTCGTACCGCAATATTCTACGCTACAGTCTATGCGCCATATAGCGCCACATACCTGGCTTCGCAATGTGTGGCTGCTTGAGAAGTGTGGCTGTCCACACTTAGGTCAGCAAGTGGCATTGTCTTCTGGAGGGTTGCACTTGAAGAAACCAAGCACATTTACCATCAATTTCAGAGATCAGCAGCGGTCAGGCTCGCCGCCGTGCCACTTGAGCAACATGCAAATACTCCCGAGAAATATCTTCACCGTCGCGGTATAGTTACATACCGCTTTCTTCTGCCCCTCGTCCTTCCACGTCCTCGCCGAGAAGATTCCAGCGGTGAGATCAAGCGCTGTGTTCTGGCAATTGACACAGCCCTCACCGTCCAGGTTATGTCTAATCTTGTGTTCCAGGTCGTCTGGCTGTGCAACAGTAAACGGTTTACGTTCTATCGGTCGGCAGTACCGAAACCCAATGAGTCGGTGAAGAACGAACACAACCCCAGCCCGGTGTAACGTTCCCACGCTAGAGCCGAGACAGGAGGCGAACAACACCGAGCATGCGATGACGATTTAATCCTTCAAGCCGCTCAAGCGAGCGATCTATCTCGCTATCTCCCCCGCCCATGTATGTGCAAGCGGAAGTTGCTGGTCAGCCAACAGAGTCAAAGCACTGATGGGCCTAGCTGGCGTGCCCTTTGGCTCCAGTGGCATGACGGGCATGATGGGCTAAGGTCGCACAAGTGGTTCTTCAGTGGAGCCGCGACGGGGAAGATGCACGATGGGACGAGGTACCCGACAAAGAAACCAAACAATGATATGCAGCGGGTATGCATAATCGCAGCCCGCCTCGTCTATGGCTATGCATCGATCTTCCTGGCTATGTTGTCTCCCTTGCAACTGGGAATCTCGTCTCGTGGTGAGAAGACCCATCCCGGCATCTGGTACCAAGCAGAGACGGCCTCGGACGGACCCCCGAAGACCTTGAAGTCGTCCCATCCCCGGCATGCATATTACAGGTACGTAAACACAACCGACACGGCCGGCCAATTGATGGGTACGGTCACATCTTCTGTTTCCATCTCCACGGCACCCCTCGTAGGGTCCGTAGCTGCAAGCGAGTGCCACCTGAGAAACACATTCATGCATGTCCTGACACTACGCCGATCACCGCTCGCGAAAGGATCATCTATCGTGTTTCTCTCAACACGAGCTTACGATCAGCACATCTGTCTGTTGGAGTGGCACATGCTGTTTCTCTCTCGCTAGTCTAAAGCATATTTAGCGTAAAGTACACTCGTCCTCGACTTGGGGATGTCTCTGGCTTGCACCTCGGCGCGCGAGAAACCCATGCAAGATGAGAGACAAATTCTATTAATGGCAATCCCTCGATCAGTCCCCTACCCTAATGCAGCATAGTGTCTGCAGCGACAAGCCGGAATCGGGCAATTAACCTCAACCCACCTTGGCCGTTTCTTGCACCGTTACCACAGCCCCCCCTTTATTTCTTTTCTTCTTTTTCTTCTGTTTCCACCGCTTTGTCTGTCAACGGACGCAACGATCTACGGCGTGTTTGCCGGTATGGGGATGGGAAAACAGCGAGCCTACCGGAAGATCGAGCGCCGGGGGCGACACGGGGCCAAATTAGCTCAGAAGGGGGTCGCGAATACGAGAATCGACGCCCTCGGTGCTACGTCACGTTCAACGGGTGCACCACCACCTTCTCCGCCATACCGTCTTTCATAGCTCATGCAAGGGCGGGCAGGCATGATCGTTGAAGGGGAAGGGAAGCGAAGACTACTGGGGCGACAGGCGAACCTACCATCATTTTTTCTGGTCCTTTGGGAACCCTTACGATGCAAACCAGATACCTACTTAAACCTGACGATGTTCCCGTCTGAACTTTCGAGTACCGAATCATCCCATCACAACAACACTCCCTCTTCTCCAGTGTCCGGTACAAGCACAACCCTTCATCTCACCGCCCGCCATAATGCAGCTCCTTTCCACCCTCCTCCTCCTCGCCCCGGCCCTCGCCTCGCCCGTCGCCCGGCGCCAGGAGGAGCCGACCTGCAGCCAGGAGTCGTTCAAGGTCCCCGAGTGGACGCTCACCGGCTTCGACTACCACGCCAGCTACACCTTCACCACGCCGGCCCACCAGAACTCGTGGGGCTACATCAGCTTCAACGTGTCGAACCCCGTCCTCGACTACGAGGTCGCCTGCAGCGCCGCCAGCAACCAGCTCAGTGACTTCTTCTACGGCGACCAGGTTTACAACTGTAGCCCGCCCGAGGGCCAGAGCGCCACAACCTCCTTCACCTGGAGCTACCCCGAGCGCGCCCTCACGCTGAACCAGTCCTGGACTTGCAACGATGACCCCAGCTATCCGTAAGTTTGGCTTTTCCTTTGCCCCACCGCGGGAGAGGGGGGAGAAACAAAACAAACCCCCCTCCCTGTTTACGGGATGACCAATAATCGGCACGAGGGAATATACCTAGCTAACCGTCACGAACAGCGCTCGCTTCACCGCATGGGGAGACGCCGTCGCCGATCTCACGTGCGAGGAGACATCTTGGCAGAACAGCAACTGGACCTTGGGGCAGATCTACTCCAAGCGCAACATCAAGTGCGGCATCATTACGCTGCCGACCCCGGTCAAGGCCATCGCGGCCATCGCCTAGGTGGAATCGGTCACGAAGGCTGGCTGGCAACTGGGCACACGACCAGTGCTGATAATACGACGACCACAATCACACAACGATGACAACGACAATAACAACAGCAATAACAACAGCAATAACAACAGCAATAACAACAGCAATAACAACAGCAATAACAACAACGTGCATGTCGCTCTTTATGAATCTCATGACACGACATAATTTTTTGCATGGCTTTGGCGCTCAAGGGACCGACCCGGTTGACGGTCATTATCAATCAGCTCATGGAACGGCTTTTGAAAAAGAAGACTTTGGGGTTGCCTGCACATAGAGTAACATGCGAAGTAATTTTAATCACCTAATTCTGCTTCATCTCAACATCTCCTAAACGTCTCGCATTAACCACCAGTGACCATCATTCCCTCTCTCTTCGGAAAATTCCAGTACCATTCATTCACTTCTCGTCGAATCCCACAAGCTCGTTTGACTTGTCCCAGAGCTCCTTTGGCAACTGCTCGTCGTCGATCCACAGGGCGTACCCTGTGCTCCCTGTGTTGTCGGCGGTGGGCCCTTCCTCGACCAGGTTGCTGAGATACTTGCCGCCCCGGCCCTCCCACTCCGGGCTTAGCGCGGCGTAGGTGGTCGTGGCCGCGCCCTGTGGCGCGTTCTTCAGGATAGGCTTGACGGCCTCGTTGTTTAGGATCGCCTTGGCCTCGTCCGCTGAGAGGTACTGCATCAGGTTGGTGGCGATGATCCCGGGGTGGATGGAGAGGGCGTGCAGGCCCTTGGACCCGTACCGCCTCTCGATCTCCTTCGCGAAGAGGATGTTGGCCGTCTTGGACCGCCCGTACGCCGTCCAGGGCTGGTACGTCTCCTTTTCGAAGTTGATGTCGTCGAGGCGGACGTTGCCCCCGTGGTGCGCCACGGACGACACGGAAATGACCCGGGACTGGAACTGGGGCGTCGAAGACGCGAGGAGTGCGGGCTTCAGCAGCTGGAAGAAAAGGAAATGGCCCAGGTGGTTGGTCCCGAACTGGGTCTCGAAGCCGTCTTCCGTCTTGCCCTCCGGCGTGGCCATGACGCCGGCGTTGAGGATGAGGACGTTCAGCCTGTTGCTCCGGGAGAGGAACTCCTTTGCGGCCGAGCGCACCGAGGCCAGAGAGTCCAGCCGGAGCTCGATGGCGTGCACGGGCGCGTCGGACTTAGGGCCGGGCCCGTTCTTGACGTCGTCGATGGCCTGTTGGGCCTTCGCGGAGTTCCTGGCCGTCAGGAAGAGGGTCGCCCCTGTCGCGTGGACGGCGCGCGCCGTCTCGAGGCCGATGCCGGAGTTTGCGCCCGTGATGAGGACGACCGTCCCGGCCAGCTTGCCGACGAGCCCCTCATCCTCGACGACCTGAAGGGCCGTGGGCCGCGCGTCTCCTGGGCCCTGCGGGTTGGCGTGGGCGGCTGCGTATCTGGACATGACGAGCGGTTGTCGGCTGACGTGTTTGCTTTGAGTTTCGAGGCTTTTGGTGCTATCAGAAGCGGTCTTGTAGATGCGGTTGAGCCGAGATGTCTCCGCGTGGGCAAGGGAACGCTCGAGGCTTTTGACTGTGCGAAGGGCGGAACGCTCGGGGCGTTTAACTGTGCGAAGGGCGGAGTCCTATGATGTCCGAGTCGTCCGGCGGCGGAGGGGTTATTCATGGCCGGAACGCGAACCTTAATGATGGAGTTAAAATTATCTCCGCGTCCAGATTATCTCCGCGTCCAGCTCCTTCCATGCCTGGAGACACCTCGTATGCAAAATTTGCGAACTACGCAGATGTATGGCAGGCATTCGAGAGTGGTTGACAAGTTGCGTTTGATGGGCGTTACATGGTTCCAATGCAGAAAGATATGATTGCCAGCTTTCGAGAAGGGTTGGTATCGATGGGACTTGAGGCGACGGAGGCAGTTGAGACGAAGAATTGAAGATCTCGACGTAACTGTCCAGAAGAGTCGTATCGAGCAACAAGCTGCCGGAGGCTTTGCCCGAGGGCGAGGGTCCCGCGGATGCAAGGTTGGAAATGGAGTTTTGACGCGGGCAGTTTCCCTCCATTATGGCCGTGCTAGAGATGGGTCTATACAGTAGTCATATATACAAGACACTTACACAAAGGAGACATCGGCAGCATTCTGCAAGAAACCAAGATGGGTTCGTCTAGTCATCGGGGTATTGGCGGTTCAGCCAGGGGTCCTCCATAAGCTCCCTGGCCGACAGTCTATCTTCCGGCCTCCACTGAAGCATCTTCCTTAAGAAAATCAGAAACTCAGCCTTGTCGGGGCCCTCGAGGTTGCATTCTTCTTCCTCGAGCGAGGACTCCTGTATCTCGCCATCGATTATTAGTTGACCTGTACTCCAGGTGTTAGTGTCGACTTGGCCTGCGGTTTGAGAGGATCGGGGGCAGGGCTGACCTTCTTCATCAAAGAACTCCTTCCAGGATGAGCCCCGTTCCAAGAGATCATCAGGCGGCGGACCCATAAGCGACACCATTCTGGCGAAATGCGCTGCCCGCGACGCCGTTCGGTCTCTGAGTCTTGTGTTGAAGAGTAGTTTGCCTTCGAATAGATCCCAGATCTGCAAGAGAGGCATCAGCATATGCAAGACATCCAGCACCTATGCAGGTCCACGGTCGTACCATGAGTCCCAGGGCCCAGATATCAATCTTCTTATCCCAAGGCATCCCTAGAATGATCTCCGGAGCCCTGTACAAGTCAGGCATCACCTGACCTTCGAAGGGCCCATTTCCAAATCTTGCGTCGCCGAAGTCGCATATGATCGGGTCGCCGGGGTCGTCTGGAATCTCCAGCCCGGTGGATGCGTACACTATCCTGTCACCCATGATCTTCCTTGCACTCGGCATAGCCCATTCGGCTTCTACAAGGTCGTCAAGAATGGATGTGTCTGTTATGGCAAGCATGATGTTCCCATCCTGGATGTCTATGATTTGTTAGTGGTACGGTTTCAGGGTGTTAACTCCCGCATGCGAGCCACGCACCTGTATGCACTACGTGTGCCTCGGAGTGCATATAGTCCAGGCCCAGTAACAGAGCATAGGTGAGGCCCTTCAGGAGGTTTTCCGGGACTTTCCCGCCGGCAAGCTCCCGAATATCTGCGAGCGACAGCCCGAGTGTCTCGAAAACCAGACACACGTGCGGACCTGCTGGACCAGACACTTCGAAGCTCGCCTTGATCGAACGTAGGAGACTTCGGCCCGGGTGATCAGAGGCCACACGCCACAGGTGATCGAGCACTTTCTCCTCATTCAACGCCTGGCGATGGCCCGTCTGGTAGACCTTCAGCGTAACGTAAGAGTGTAAGCTAAGTAGGGTTTCTCGTCAGCCTTTTGCTCCCTTCCCAGCACCTTCGAACGGCGCGATGCGAGACGCGGACGTACTTTAGGTCGCGACACAGCCATACGGTCGACGCCGAGCCGAAGCCCAACTTCAGTAGCACCTGGTACCGAGACTCAAACACCTGGCCGATCTCGACGGGGTACCACCTGTCCGGGTCGTACCAAGCGAAGCCCTGCTCTTCCAGCTGCACCTCCGGGCCGTAGATTTCCTCGGGCGCGGCTTCCGGCAGCGGCCTGGGAGGCGAGTGGCTTCGTCTCGTCATGGGGGTCGACTTGCGACAGTGTTTTGAGCGGTGAAGTTGTCATTGTGCAGCGCGCAGGGTTTTGCTTCGAGGTTTTGTGGGGTGAATGGAACGTAGAATGGGGGGGAGGTGTGAAGTGCGGGCGGCCCCCACAAACCTTGAGTGGCCACCGGCATTTAATTAATTGCTCGTTTTAACTACGGGCAAATTCACCAATCATCAAAAATTTTTTTTTTTGTGTTTTTCTTTTTCTCTAAGTTGCCAATGACAAGAGGTGCAGGGTTGTTTCAACGTACTTGGGCTAATGACCCGACGGACGATGGTTACCATGAACATCACGGAGATGGTTAATATCAATACTTGGGTTATAACTTGAACAATACCGGCTCTCACGGACAGGTTGATTTCCAGCACCTAGACACCCAGCTTAGGGTCAAACTCTTCCCCAACGCCCTGCTTCACTACTTCCCTTAACAAATTCGATAATCTCTTGCATCTGAGCAAACTTGTCCTTGTTTGTTTATGCTAGATGAACACGTTGAGGGTGACCTCGTTTACCCTTTTCACAAAGGCTAGCAGTACGACGGGTTGGACTTGTTCGGTCCTAATGCAGTGTTGGCGCTTGTAATGGTCCACCTTTGCTAGCCGCCAGCTCCACGAGGGTTACGCCGAGAGTTCCGGCCGAAGCGCTCCATGCTGCTCGGAGACGGCCAAGACAACGGGAGCTCCCTTCCTAGCCCTACTTCACAACGGGATGTAAGTTTTGGTACGTTGGATGAATAATAGGATAGAAGTTATGGCATGCTGATGGATAATGGGGAGTAAGGTTTGCAATGTTAGACAGGTTTCCTACGCAAAACTGCCAAACATACGTTGTAAATATTGCTTCCCTCGAACCTCGTTCATCACACGCTTATCGAGAACGGAAGTCTAGACCCTAGGTAGGTGGTTCTCAAAGTACCGCCTGCGATATTGTAGCCGGTTTGAGCAAGTATCTTTCAAGGTGGGGGTCAAACAGCATAATATGATCCCTGTTTCCGCATACAAGGCAGATCAACATCCTTGTCCTCGCTGACGTCCAAATATGAGGCGGGGAACCGCAGGAAAGAGGGGGGGCCGGTTCTTTCCCTGGCGATTAACAATTCTGGTTCCTTCAGCTCCGTTAAAATCATCAAGTTCAACGAAAGAAAAACTCTCAGCTTCACAGGCTTGGACTATGTCGAATCGGACTCTCATCTGGATAGGCCTCTGAAGACTTGTTTATTTGACAAATCACTAACACCGGGAGGCATCATGGCAAGCAAGCCGTCAGACACCCTCCAATATGGATGCAGACACACAGCTCATAGATGAACAGGAACTACGTCTTGGTCACTGGAGCAACAGGCTTCATTGGCGCCCACGTTGTCGACGTCCTCCTCTCTCGAGGCATCAAGGTTCGAGGCGCGACCCGCTCCCCCGCCAAAGGTCATGCCATGATCGAGGCCAGGCCACACTTTGCCGACAGACTAGACTTCGTGCAAGTCCAAGACTTTGAGAACACGGGCATTTTTTCCGAAGCGATCAAAGACGTTGATGCCGTTATTCATGTTGCCAGCGTTAGTATTCCTGCAATGCGTGTGGAGACCATAGTCTAATATCCCGCTTCTCTTCGTAGCCATTCACCTACGATACCAAAGACAACGAGAAGGAGCTTATCATACCGGCCATCAACGGCGTACGCTCCATCCTGGAGGCAGCAGTGACAAATTCCAAAATTAGCCGCGTCGTCATCACGTCTTCGTTCGCATCGGTCCTGGACGCCAACCGCAAAGCGCCCCCCTACTTCACATACACGGGCGACGATTGGAACCCGCTGACCTACGCCGAAGCTGCAGCACCAGAAACAAGTGCCGTCGTCGCGTACCGAGGCTCCAAGAAGTTTGCCGAGCTCGCCGCCTGGGACTTTGTTAAACAAGAGAAGCCGCACTTCGACATCGTGACGCTGTGTCCCCCGATGACGTTCGGCCCGGTCGTACACCCAGTCGGCAGCGTCGACGAGCTGAACGAGTCCAACGCCATGCTCTGGAGGATCGCAAGCGGAGAGACGCCTCTCCCCGTGGCCCGGGTCCCCTTTTGGATCGACGTCCGAGACCTCGCCGTCGCGCACGTCGAGGCGCTCCTTCGGCCCGAAGTTGGCGGCAGGAGATACGTGCCGACCGCGAACGACCGGTTCTCGTACGGCCTGGCGGCCAGAATCATTATCGAGAACTTTTCTTGGGCCAAGGGTACCGTTGCTGAGGAGGAGCATAAGATCGACGAGTCACACGGCCTGGACGGGGAAACCGCAGCGAAAGAGCTGGGACTGGAGTACCTCACGTTCAATGAAACGGTCGTTGACCTAGTTAGGCAGGCTAAATCTTTGAAGAGTAGTATGGGGCAGTAGCCGCGGGATGAGAATTGGCAAACTTCCGTTCGCGAGGAGGCGATAACCCGGAACCCCTTCCCGCGGCAACGCCGATCTCTCTCGAGTCGATACGGGAATCCTGCGGCGAATCATGGCGAACGGCGAAAGTCCGGTACCGAAGCTTTATTCGGTGGCGATTGTGATGCCAGACCACCCATTCCTATGCCAGCGGTGCATGGGCTACAGGGTAGACGACTCGTGACAGCCATGAATTCTGCCTAAATTGGTTTCTCGTCAAGTGAAAGGGACGACAAATTTGTGCCGGTAGGAAGCCTCCGTTGCGCCCAATCAAACTGGACCGGGACAGACCAGTTCAACTAGTTACACGGCCGGCCATGATTTTCCGTCTGCGAGGTGTTCTCGAAAAGCTACACCGCTCAACTTGGCTCTTGGTCCGAACCACTGGCTTGCTTCCAAAGACGGCAGGTTGCATGTCAGATATATTGATGCTGCGTTTTGAACCAGATTGTTACTTGTTTGTTCAATCTCGGAAGTGGCTGTGTTGATATCAGCAAACTGCACTGTTGACTTTGTTTCTGTTGATTGGCTTGCCCAACTTTGCAAACATTCGGGTGCTTTGTATCATTATATATTCATCAGAAAATAGTCCATCCCAACTGTTTGGCGCCAGCCCCTTCGCCCTCATCTCTTGTCTTTTACACAATCCTCGAACTATCCTGCATCATGAAAGTCTCATTCCTCCTGGCGATTGCGTTTGCCTCCATGGCTCATTCCCATGCCATCTTCCAGGTGAGTATTGCCACGGTCTCGTCAAACCACCAAAGTTGATAATGGGTTCTGCAGAAAGTGTCGGTGAATGGCAAAGAATACGGCTCCCTGGCGGGCCTCCGCGCCCCGAACCAGAACAACCCGACCCAGGATGTCAGCTCCGAGGACATTATCTGCGGCAAGGTGGCGACCTCCTCGCAGGAAGTCATCACCATCGCACCGGGCGACCGCATCGGCGCCTGGTGGCAGCACGTCGTCGGCGGCGCCCAGTTCCCGGGGGACCCAGACAACCCGATCGCCAGCTCGCACAAGGGTCCCATCACGGCATGGCTCGCCAAGGTGCCCAGCGCCTCGGGCGGCGGTGTCACCGGACTCCAGTGGTTCAAGGTCGCCGAGGACACCCTGGACACGGGGTCCGGCCAGTGGGCTGTCGACAGGATGATCGGCGGCGGTGGGTGGAGCTACTTCGATCTGCCGCGGTGCATCGCTCCGGGCGACTACCTCCTGCGCGTCGAGCTGCTGGCCCTCCACTCGGCCTATTCGCAGAAGGGCGCTCAGTTCTACATCTCCTGCGCCAACGTCAGGGTCACGGGGTCCGGGACGTTCTCGCCGACCTCCACCGTCAGCTTCCCGGGTGCCTATCAGCAGAGCGATCCATCCATCGTGATCAACATCTACGGCGCGGGCGGCATCCCGAACAATGGCGGAAAGGCGTACTCAGCACCTGGACCGAGACCAATTACATGCTAAGCACACTGAACGGCGGCAGTAGCTAGTCGCGTAAAGTGCTATGAACGTTGGAAACGCAAGGTCATCGTGTGTAGAAATCCAAGATAGGATTTTCCCAACTCGTTTGCTTATTTTGTCGCTGAAACCCAATGAGGGCGAGATCTTTCAAGGCCGCATAACAAATCTGTTGCAATCCGGAACCAAATCCATAGACCTGGTTCTCCCGGACGTCCCATCACAAACCATTTCTTCCACCATTATAATTCTGTTGCGCAAAAACGACGCCGTTAGTTGCGGCAGCACAACTAACGCCTTATATCACATCGTGACACACACCCCCAGATTACAGGTAGCCTTACTCATGTAGATCTGCTCTAGGAAGGAAGCCTCTACAGCCCCCCAGAAGACATACCCCTAGGGCAAATACTGCTATACTCTTATTAACCTTCTAATTAATTATATCTTACTAAAGTCTAGGTGGTCACTGTTCATTTAGGTAGAGTATTTATAACCTTTGTCTTGGCCTTTACAGGAATTAAACCTGTAGGGTCTATAAGGCTAAGACACTAGCTTAAGGGCTATACTATTAAGGTATACAGTGTAAATTAGGGTTATAACTATTGTATAAAAACAACGCTGTTAGCTATAGTAGCACAACTAACGCCTTGTAATGTTATTATAATTCTCTTCTGCTCTTAGATAGGTGACCTAACTGACAGTGTTGTACAGATGTCTAACAACGTACGTTTAGCTGCCTTCCCCCTCTACTCTAGTTTCTTAGTAGGATACTTTGATAAGTTTCTCTCCTATCTAGTTATCTTTGTGTTCTTTCTAACTTGGCTGTTCTGTTAGTAGTCTAACTCTGCCCCCAGGGCCACCGCCACCGCCACCACTCCCGCTCCTGCCCCCGTCATCAAGGTACCATCACAACCATTTCCCCTCTTCATGTGTGTCTTGCTCAGACATTCCAATCATGATCATGTTTCTTCCATTTTCTCTTTGTGATATTAGCTAACTGAGTTTCAGGAGCAGACTGTGGGGATCTGAAGTCAGGCAGCGGGCCAACAGCCCCTGCAACCTTGGAGCGAATACCCGCAGCAATCATGATTGATGGCTCGGGGGCCCGTTTCGTCCATTGAGAAGCGGCCTTGCTTGAGTAAAGGTTGGAAAAAACCATGAGCACCCCTTCGAGTATTACTGGGATGGTTCTTCCGGTGTCTTGGACCTCAAAACCCCTTCGGTATGGGTTTCGACCCGGCTAAGCCCGTGGGCGGCCCCGAGAAGGACCGCCAGAATACCCGCATTGACCCGCCCCCTAAGTCTTTTTCTTCCAACCCGGGCCTGTCTCCTTGACCTAGCTTCAACACCACCGGCAAGCTAGTGAACCTGGAGGTCAACCAGGTCCGCGTCAAGCAGTGGAACTGATAGATATAGTCGCTCTCAACCACTATAAGTGGTCTAGTGCAGTTCACCCGATACATGTGTAATATCACAGTACGTAAAACCCAATGCGACGCACCTCTAACCTGTGCTAGATCTCAATATCTCAAAATGGTATAGAATAGCTGATAACGCAGAGCAACAGCCGAATCTGACTTCACTTCAACCATGGCCTGGATGCGTACGCGAACGACCTTTGGGCGCCGGAACGTCGGCGGCACGGCTGTTGAATAAGGTCGCGCGGGTTCGCGGACAAGTCACACTGAACGACGAGGGCGTGACTGATGTACTGGCGATGATAGTATTGTCGAATCTACCACCAAGGTCGCGGTGGTTGCAAGCCATTAAGCAGTGGAATAGCAATGTGACGATCTATGATGTCGCCATCTCACCTCCCGCCCTAAAGTACAATGTCGTCTTCAGGAAGTGCTGGGAGTCTCTGGCGGTTCAGCAGATGCTGAAGAAATACAAGTGTCTTTGGTTGCAAGATGGACGTAAGCTCGCTTGGTATGTTCTAATACCGGTACCGTACCTACTTAAAGTAGTTCCCCCAACCTCCAAACGCCTTCTTCTGCGGGGTAATATTGCTTCACCGCCTCCAAACCAAACGTGCCCCTATAGGCATCACACCCCGTCTATCTCTTTTTAACCTCCTTCTACCTGATCTCCTGTAAACGCTTAATCATCACCTCTGAAGTTTGCGCCCTGCAATGTTCGATAATCCTCCGAGACCGAACTCGGCCTTTCATGCACAAAATGGTCATGACGATGAAATTCCATCTTTGAACCAAAAGGGCGAGTTTGTCGCTATCGGCTTGACATCCTATGTGGAGCGCTTACCCAATGGTACCATCATCAAGACAGCCTGGCCCGGCGGCTACCGCGCCCAGCAGCGACGCCACGAAATTGCTACAGAAGCCAAAATATACGATCGTCTTGGTGAACATCCTTGTTTAGTCAAAAAGAAGGACTGGGACCCAGACGAATATGTCTTGACCCTGGAAGATATGCCCAACGGAACACTCAAAGACTATCTCGAGTCCCACGCAGACGTGCCTCTGGACCAGCGGAAAAAATGGGTAACTGAAGCTGTTGAGTGCATCCAGCTTCTGCACAGTTCAGGCATTATTCACTGCGACATTGGGCCGCACAATTTCCTCCTGGATGACTGTCTTCGTCTTAAAATCATTGACTTCTCTGGATCCTCCATTGACGGCTCTTACACTGAGATCAGCCCTGGCACTCGATACGCAGCGCCCACACTGGACCGCTCTTTGCAGTGGACTCCAACAGTCAAAACAGACCTCTTCAGTTTAGGTTCAACGATATACTACATTATGATGGGCAAAGCTCCGTTTGAGGATTTCCAGAGTGAATATGTCCAGAAGATGTACCGCAACCAAGAATTCCCCGACTTGACTGGCATACCTTATGCAGATATAGTCCGAAGCTGCTGGTCTCAAGATTTGGAGTCCGTGGATGGGCTGGTTCCTTACGTCTGAGCAGAGAATTGAGACCATGTAAACAGGATGGGCATGAGGGCTGGGACGCACTGTGTTATCTACACTCCTTGTTAGTCTTGGATTATAGCTATCTGGTACTCCTGGTTATACTCAAGATCTCCAGAGAACGCAGATCAAACAGATATCAGTCGGGCTTGCCCTTTTCGTTTGCCCCTTCTCTGACCATATTCTACCCTTGCGAAGTTTGTCGGAAGGAGTCTCCCAGCTCTATTGCAACGGATGGAACAACAGTGGCAATGCTTCAACCCCTAATCTTGTTGCTATCCTGCAGACCCTTTCTTGAGATTATGCCTTGACCCTGCTCCTTGCCGGTATTCTCTCTAACGACGATCCGAACATATATGAGGTGTCTAACTGAGGATGCTGGGGGAGGGGGTTAGCAGCTGGCCCTGAAGTCAACGAAGTCCACGTTATCAGGACGATCCTCCTTGCAACCTCTCATGTCCTCAACTTCTCTCCCACGTTCCCGCTCCCGGATGAAGTCAACGTCAGCGCTAACCCGTCTGCTTACGTACATCAATTCTAGCCCTCTACAGACGGGAAGGCTGTTGCAGGATACAGTATGGAGGCTTGGTGTTGGGCAATGGATATTGTCCTCCTCTTCTGTTGCTGCCAAACAGGCCGCACGCTTATTGCTAGCGAGACCGGCCCCTAGCACAAGGCTGTGACGCAGGTCATCTATGTCCCTAAGGGAGATGATGCCAGCTAAATTGGCGAGACAAAAGCCAAACACTTAGCGGAGAGCATGCTTAATCGCGCTCTCTTCAAGTTAGCTCTGGAACAAAACAAGATTAGGAAGAAGTTGGTGATGCTAGCCATGTCTTGGACTAAGACAGGAGTAGTTGACTGCGTGGCCTGCCACAAGAACATCATCTCGGCTATTCAGGGTTTGAATAACCTTACTGACGTGGTTACCTCGCGATACCAAAAGCAAGGAATACGGTCCCTAGTTTAAGGTTGATGACAAGACTATAAGGCTTTCGCTTGACGTCCTTCGCGATTCCGTCAAGTCTTGCGTCACCTTCGCTACAATCAGTCCAGACTATAATCGACAACACTTTCAGGACTTTCTCAAAATTGGTTGCGCTGGTTTACACGTTTAAGTCCAGCCTGCCCGGGGGGCCGTCGACGCGAAAACAGGTCTCGGTCGATATCCATGCCCTGTCGGCCAACGCGAAATTCGTTTACGGGCGCGTTCAGAATGCAATTGACCGAAACCGTCCTCCGTCCGGCTTGTCACTCTCTCCAACAAGATACTAGACTAAGCTGTATTACCACGATCGAGTTTCGCCATTCTCGCATCACCGAAGTTTCGCCTCTGGATAGCTCGGCGCCAGGCTCTTTTCCTATTTGCCGGCACCCAATGTATTCTGGACACTCATGCTGAGTTCTTTAACCTTGTCAAGATCCGCCAAGCCGGACTCAAACTTCTGCCTGATGAAGTTCCAGGCAGGCCCGCCGAGGGGAACGCGTAACGGAACGCGCTCGCCACGGCTGGCGATGCCGTAGATGGCCTCGGCGATGGCCGACGGCTCAGTCAGCCTTCCCGACTTTATTCCCATCTCCACATACTTTTCGAGCACGCGAGCCGGCATGTCGGCCCCGGCGTACGCCGGATGAGGCGCGGTGCGAGCCTTGCTGTGCCCTTCGAAGTTTGTCCTGACGCCGCTCGGCTCCAGAATGCAAAAGTTGACTGTTTCGCATGTCAATCAAGGCATGCACGGCCTGGGATGCACACTCGGGGGAAGGGGGTCTCACTGTTCCACTGGGGATGCATCTCTCTCGCGACGGACTCGGTCCAGCCTTCGACGGCCCACTTCCCGGCGTGGTAGTACGCGTGCCCGGGGAAGCCGCACTGCCCGGCGAGGGACGAGACGTTGAAGACGACGCCGCCACGGCGGTCCGCGGACTGGCGCATGTTCTCGACGGCGCGCGTCGTAACGCGCGCGGTGCCGAAGAAGAGGGTCTCGAGCTCCCGGTGCGTCTCCTCCTCGGTCGCGGACTCGGTGTCGCCCGAGAGCGAGTACCCGGCGTTGTTGACCACGACGTCGAGGCGGAAACCCGGGCCGAAGTGCTCCTCGGCCGCGGCGAAGGCGCCGTTGACGGACGCCGCGGAGGTCACGTCGAGGGGCAGCTTCAGGATGTTCCCCCTGCTGTCGTCGTCGGGGAGGTACGCGAGGTCGACGGGGTTCCGGGCCGTGGCGATCAGGCGGTGGCCGGGCTTGCTGGCGACCAATGTGCTCAAGGCTTTGCCGATCCCCGAGGAGCATCCGGTGACTGGGTGGTGTGGTTAGCATCAAGCTTATGATTTTAGAGGCAAAGACTGGAGACGAACTTAGCCAAGTTGCATCGGACGGAAGGTTGTACGGTTCGGAGTTGACGGGATTCATGTCTGTAATCTTATGAGTTGCCTTCAAGACCCGGTGGTGGTGGGGGGAGAAGTAAGGCGTGATTTATCTTTGCCGTCTGCGTGATATTGTTTTCTCGGCGTCTCCAGGAGACGAAGTTTTGAACATTTGACCTTCAGCCATCTCTTTTATATCCTTCGGTCTCCTTGCCAAACCAAGCCTTTTTGCTCGGTCGTGGCTCTGCAGGATTGGCCCGGGAAAGAGCGTGTCGGGGTGGATTCAGAAGCTGACTGTCAGCACCTTGGCCCAATTGGGCTCGCCGTCGCGGTGAGTGACTCGAAACAAGTGCTGTGGCTTCGGGGAACCAGATTTGGCATAGAACGCAACTTCACTCAGGCCATGTTGCCCATTTTATTTCCGCAATATTACCTAGGAGCTTTGAGGCTAAACAAAGGGATCGAACCTACGTCGCTTAGGTTTTGCATATCGCGACTGTTGAAATGGCATTGGAATTGTCCCAAATCTTGCTCATTGCATTTGAAATAATCTAGATAGGATTATATATAGCGATCTGGGCCGAAAAGAAGTGGCACAATACAGAGTGAATATCCATTCACAGCTCGGCATCGAGCCAACCAGCGTCCTTCTCCTTGTTGTCAACGTAGTCAGCCAACCTCTCCTTCAATTCCTCGACAGAAATCTCTCCGTCGATGGAACCGGACTTGTGCTTGTGGGGAGGAATGGGAACGCGGGCGGGAACGTGGATGACGCCGTTCTTGGCGACGGCATCACCGACAGAGATGGGGATGTAGCCGTTCAGCTTGACCTTGGTATAGCCGCCCCAGGTAGCTACGTCGACGGCAATGTTCTTGCCATCGAGCAGGGTGGGGAGATCGATGTGGTAGTGCTCCGCGACCTTGGCGTCGTCCTTGTCATCGGGGCGGTAGTAGGCGTCGCTATAGAGGGTGGTATTGGCGACGATCTGGTACTTGAGCAGCGCCTTGAGGTACTTCAGGCCGCATTCGGTGTTGAACAAGAAGGCGTTGGCCCTGTATCCGAGGCGTTCGAAGGCGACGTTCGAGGGGGCAAAGACGGTGGTGCCCGTCGACTTGACGCCGTGGATGTACTTGACAAAGTCGGTCTTCTCGTATGCGAGAAGCAGCGTCGAGAATCTAGTAGGGAGAAGGCTGAGCTCACGGCCAACAAAGGGAGGCGGGATGATCAAGCTGTTGACGGCGTGGATGATTCCGTTGCTGGCATGCTGTACACACGCGCTCCCATCAGTTCTCCAGAATTGACACATTCTCTCGGGGAATATAAACAACTTACGATGTTGACGGCGACAACCTTTGCGTAAAAGTTGACACGAACGCCGCCAAGGCCGACGCTGGTGCGAAGGCGCTGGGGCTTACCGCCCAAAAGCGGCTCGTCCAGCAGCGTGGGGATCGTGTGGGTGCGCAAGACCCTCTTGGCGTCGTAATCGCCGATTCCGATGTGGTACTTCAGTATCGCCTCAATCGCCTCCTTGCTGGGCTTCTTGTGATGCTTGGGGATGTGCTCGAAAGCGCTGTTCGTGGGCACGAAGAGGGTGTGGTTCGCCTTGGTGCTCTTCAGGACCTCGACAATGTCCTCGTAGTCGTTCACCAGCTTGGCGAACTCGGTGGTGTGCTCGCACTCGGAGATCAGCTCGTAAATGGACTTGTCGGAGATGTCGGGTTCGTTCAGGAGGTGTGCTTCGAAGAGATCCTCGATTTTGTTCTCGACGGTATCCTCGAGGGTGTGCAGTGCGCCCTCAATGTGCGCCGACAGGGAATCGACGCCGTCCTCCACGGTGTTCACGATGGAGTCCTTGGAAGGGACGCGGTCCCACCAAGAGCGGCGATCATCGTTCTTGATGGCGGACTGCTCGAAGATTTTGGGGTCGGGGAGGATGAACGCGTTGGCCACGGCCACGCACGACAGGGCTGCGATGGCTTTCATTTTGATTTAGTATTCCAGATAACAGAAATATTCTTGCTCTAGGAACAAGAAGAGGGTGAAGGATAACAAGAAAAACATAATTAAGGGAAATGTGGAGGAGCCATGTCCTTTTTGCTCCACGCCTCGGGTGGCTCGGAGGCAAACGCTACCTTACGCGGAACAGGCAGCCGCTGAAGCTTGTGCTAACAGCTTGTCAATCGACTCGTCAGCTGACGTCAACGTGAACGGACAATGAGCGGCGGAGTGAAACTTTCCCCCGCTCAATTCCACCCCATGGAACTTCAATCCCTCCTCTTCCCCGGACGACCAGGGGGCAGTTACAATACAAAACGGTTGGGGAACCGAGAAGTGGAAACCCGTTCGATGCGAGAGACGGGGAGCCTAGGCTCTGCTCATCATTCAGAGCCCGCCGTATTGAGCTCGTCATCGACTGTTGTCGCATGAAAAATAGATGGCGTGATCGATCCAATCGTAGGAGCTCGTTAGCAGCAAGCTGAGGTATGGAAGAAAGCTCCGTGGTGGGAGGCGCCAGGTCCAATGCGTCATTCGTCTCACGTGTGAAACCGTTTTCGTCCTCCCCCACCATCGGGGTCTCGGGCTTGCGGGCCTCCATCTCTCGGCCAGAAAATCTCGCCGCCTCCGACCTGGCACGGCCCCATCGCGGATGCCCTGCCGAGTAAAGAATCGGGTGTTTCGAATCGCATTTCCCCACAATCAAGGCCTGCCCTAGCATAATAGAACTACTGATGAAAGACTAGGAGGTTTGTTTCAAGAATGTTGTTTGATAGTTGTGGAAGGAAAAAAAAAAAAAAACACTGTCGCGCCCTGGTAATGGGTGGGACAGATGTCAGTGTCCGGTGCTACCAGGCCTGTGGAGGAAAAGCCGAGGAGGCTTTGGCCCCTTTGGATCACCTTGAGAGGCTTGCTGTCTTGCTCAATTGGTATTGAGACTGTCAGGTGCGGTCCCTTAGCAGTCCTGCCGACGGCTGGAGCACACAAATAGAGCTTGGCATGCTGCGACCCGGCAGTTGAGGGGGGGCATAAATTAACAACTGCTCGGTCTCAATCGCGTCACTTGTGGTACTGGGTGGGCTAGATGCAAGCGTCCTAGTGTTTTCAGTTCGTGGCAGGAGAGGGGCTATGAGGGTGGGGGGGAGGGTAAGTCAAGCTTCCTTTCCAACTTTTTGATGCCTGGTGCTAACTCTTGTGTGCTCACATCGCGAACGCAGTGGCAGAGCACGCGAGGGAACCGATATTACGGGCCTAGGGAGTCGACATTACGGACCCGCCGGTCGGTGCATGCGAGCTTGGGAGGCCGCGAAGCTGGCAGAGGTGATTGCTTGTCGATAGAATGCCTAGATGCAGAAGTGACTGGTGATGTGGGTGTGTACTCGTCGTGAGACACCGACGCGAGGTCGCCCGGGACCCTTGGCCTGGACGTCCTATACCAACGACCCATGTGCTTCTGCCCTCCATGTTGCCCATCGTTTCGTCCCTGCGCGCGATCCCACCCAGATATATCAATGCAGCACGGGCCCTCGGTCCCGGTCCAGCCCGTGCATTCGGAACCGGTGCCGGGAATATTTGTGGGGTTTGTCAGCTCGGATTGACGGATTGAACGTCACGCCGACACTCGTTGACGGGAATCCACGGTGATGGCAACACTTGTGTGGCAACAAACCACGATTCTGCGGCATTGGCAATTTGACGAGTCGTTACCTACTGTTCTCGTCCCCCTCCCCCTCCTTCGATATCATCACCAACTATCGACGAACACTGTCTACCTCTTGAGTGTCGAGGGGCAAGGTGCGGCGCGACAAGTGATATAGTATAGCACGTGACTCGCCACTTAGCAGAGCAGTTAGCCGGCACCAGCACCACCCACCTATTATTGACTCCTTTTCCCCGTACGATTGCGGCCTCTCATAGACAGCCGGAGCTTTGGAGGCGGGTTCCGAAGAGCGTCGTGCGTGATATTATCCAAAAACATAGCTATCACCCCGACCGCTGTGAGCTTCAGTCACATGTCCTCTTGCCTCCCTGACAGGCAGATCTGCAACGGGTCTATGGTCTGAGAAGGCGGCGTCCTCGTCGTCATGATCACTGCGTCCATGAGTGAGTCACAGTATTGGAAATGGAAAATACGCTCGGGGTGCTGCATCATCATGTGGTCTTGGATTTCCACTTCGCGAAGAGGCTGATGACAAGATATGACACTGGAAGTCTCCTCTCGACCTCTATTGCAACGCAATGCCTGCAGCACATTTCGGCAAAGGTAACGATATTCGCATTGTATCGTGCCAGCATCCGGTGAAGTATTTGGGCAATCTTGCCACGAGCAAAGCCTTGCGAGGAAAGAGACGCCCGCTTGTTGCCGAGAGCAGCCTTTCCTTGCTTCTGCGTATCATCTCCTCCATTCAACCCGTAGAAGTGATGGTATATTATCTGGAGGGTGCTATTCCCTGATGGGCCATTTGAGGGAGCCCGGGGATTCCTTGCTAAACGTTAAGACGAAGTCCAAAGCGCCTTCTCCAGTTCCCAACCTCCCACGCATGACGACTGGGTGTTGGGTACCTAGAACTTCTTGCAGTGCAAGTCCCAACAGCCAGCTAACATGGGGCTCGTGACGTTGTTTGCTAACTGGATCTTGGGAGGTTCGAGCAGGGAACTCTGGGTCCGAGCTATCTGATCATCGAAGACGGCACCGAACTGACGAAGGTACGGATCCCCATTCCACGCCAACTGACTCTTCGCATCAATGGCATTAGCCTTGCGCTTGTTGGGTCGAGTGACTGCGGCCTTGATCATTGCCAAAGTCTGATCGGGATCAAGCTTGTAGACATATTCCTAAAGGACTGTCGGCAAAGTCAGATCAACCAGTTTGAGGTTTGTTCTCTGCCATTTTTGTCGGAGCACAGCAGTAGTGTCTGTTTCTGATTCCAGTCAGACTATGCCTACGTTGAATACGAGTGGCTCGTTGACGGTGAGCATGGTCTTGTGTTTTGGAAACTTGGCCTTGGCCCTTGAACAATTCTCAGTCCTCTCGGTTGGAGAATCTCTTGTTCGTCAGACCAGCGGTGTCATCTGTTGGAATTCTAATTAGTGTAAAATCAGGATTGTCCTTGGATGACAGCAGTAGGCATGTATCATACGATGTTGTCACTATTTCGAAGTCCTCTCCGTGATGGTGCTTGTATGTCACCCATCAGTGCGTTTATGTTCCGTCCAAGCCGTACAGAGGCTTAATAACCTTCATGAATCTGTTTTCTGCAGAGTCGTGATAGACCTGCACGGAGACACGTGCGTAGTTGGTCCGGTTTGGTCGTAATGTAAACTGCAAGTTTGCTCAGGTAATGTCCCGGAGCCACATCTCTTTGCCATCGCGGAGTGATGGCGCAAGCGCAAGGACCAGTTACTGGCTGGCTCACTAGATGTTCGTTCTATGCGTCAAGATAACAAACTTCCTGGCAGGCCTGCCACAGCGGTGAGGAGAACGCTGGCGTAGAGGTCGAGAAGCTCAGGGACGGCTGGGAGACGGCCCCTTCCCCCGCCCTGATTTGCTTCCAAGGCCGCCCCAAGGACATGATCCCCATTGCCGTCATGTGGCAGGTCGCCGGTTGGCTCTACCCCTCCACGTTTAAGTACACGATCACCATACCCTTGGATGGTCAAGCGTAATTTCTCGTAAGGATTGTTTGTGTTTTCCGTCGATCTCGTTAACAATGCATGACTTGTACAATTGGACTGGGCGTCAGAACGTTGGTTCGCGCATTTTATAATTGGGCGCCTGTTATAATTGGTCGTTTGATATTGTTGGTGGCATACATGAAGGAGTACGCAGGAGTGGTGACAGGCTTTAGATGAGACTTGTCGCCTTTGTATAGGTATAGCTAGGTGTTAGCAGATATACGAAGAAGCGCAGGGCTGGGATCAGCCGAGTAGGTGGCGAGAACTAACCTTGGGATTCTAAACGCAGGCCCGCAGAAGATTGCCCTAAACCTGCTTGAGAAGGACCAGTTATAACGTTCGGTAGCGCTTGGTGTGGAGAGTTTTGTTGACAATGATGGAGCTTGCAGCTTTCGGATATAAATTGGCAGACACGGACAACTGACATAGCGTGTCAGAGCTTGACTGAAGGCTGATGGCCCATGGGCAGGCGCAGTTTCCTTAACATTAACGAACCTCGCTTCCTCTCGATTTGTGTAGCTGACTTGGCGTAGCTGTTGCTGTTACTGACTGGACGAGAGACTTTTCGGTAATGGAGGAATGGTGTTGTCATCGAACGCGGACCTAGACTATCCTCAACCTGTCTGAGAAGCACTGGTTGTGGCCACGGCCAGCGGCGCTCGATGCGGAAATGGTTATCGAGAATGACGGAGCTTACAGCCATCGGATACAGTTGGCAGACAGAGACAACTAACCTAGCCTTTCAGAGCTTTTGGTCAATTAATGTAGTCGTGCCTGTTGTCATGCATGTCGGTTGGATCCAAGCAATAAACAGACGCATAAATGTGGCCAAGCGGGTCTCATAACCACTTGAAGATGGGTTCATTCGTGGATGTATTAGATGTTGATATTGGCAAGGCCATTCATCTTCGCGTCCTTGACGAAATCCCCTATGGTATAAGGGTTGGGTGTTTGTCGGTTGAGGGGTATCTTGACATTCGTAATAGCAGGAGCTTGGGCCGAAGAACGCAGTACTAGCATTTGTTAACCAACCGTAATCCAGGCCACAACTTCCTGGCATCAGGTGTAGCTTCTTTGCGAGGGCGAATAGCGGAGTTGCATATTTGTAAGTAAAGCGAAGTCCTTCATGCATCACCCCTTGGTCATCGTGTCTGTATGTACCGCATAGTTCCCTTAAACATCTCGGTCGTCTGAAGATCAGGGGTCAGGACAGCCACCGTTCAAGGGCAGAAGCTGTACAATCTAGCTCGGTCGATGGTATCTGAGTATGGACTGGCTGCGAGCGCCGTACTCGTTAGCCGTTTCTGTAGCCTCGAGGTTAGAACAGATGGTCTGAGATGTAGCAATGCTTGGACGGGATAGCTACCTTGAAATATGTTGAAATCACCATACGTACCAGCGCGACCTTGCGCAAGGTCTGTGGCTTGTCCGAGGCGGGGGATTGGGCGGTTGTGATGCTTGAAGGGGTAACTCACGTCGTTCGCCGACACACATAACTTCAGAAGGGTGTGGGTGTGGGTGTGGTTGAATCGCGTTGTGCTCTAGAAAGAGGAAGTTGCCGTCCACCGCACACTGTGGCATACGGATACTCAGTAGGGCAATTGCAGCGAGGCTCTACCCGTTCGACACAGCTTCACCCGACGACTTGGCTAAGGCGCAAGAGGGGCCGATAAACGGGATGTTGTATCACCGCGCACTACGACCAATTATTCAAGTTGTAGCTCCTCCAAAGTTCAACTTAGAGACAGACACAGTTTTACGACAGAGACTCGCAACTTTGCCCCTCGCTCCACGACCGCCCTTGCTCGACCTAGCGCTCCTCCATAACAGGGCCTCCCGACATTGCCCCTCGTTCCACGATCGGCCTCCTGAGTTCGCCCCTCGCGCCACAACCAGTTTGCTTGTCACGGAGCTCCTCCGAAGTTCAGCTCAGAGACGCACCCGCTCATTATTAAAGAGTTGGCCCATTGCGTTATTACCAACAAGTCTCCTTATCCAGTCAGCGACAACAGCGACGACGCCTAGCGAGCAACGCCTCATCCCCTTTCGGGAGCCCCATACAGCTCTTTCGACTTGAGGTCCTTCTCGCGGGCCTATTTTATTCAATTCTTTCACACTTTACTCATGAGGGACTGCAGCTCGGCGTCCGAGGCGCCGATGTTGGCGCTGCTCAGCGATCTATGGTTTTGGGGACGCGCCGTGTGCGGTGTAATTATTGTTGTTTTTCCATTTCGGCCTGCAACTGCTTGTCCAATTCTTCCATATACCTGGCTACCTTACTACAGAGGTTATTCACCTCTTCCAGTCATTTGCCTATGAACTGACGTCTCTGATTCTTTTAGTCCACAGCTCTGTTTCGTTTCTTCGAATGTATCTTCACTCCCTTTGCCATCCTCTGCCCGCCAGCCGCCCGGGACACACTTCCCAAAGAAAAGCGCGCCAAGATCATTGCCTTCTTCCCTCCTAGCACGCGCATCAAGATACCAACACAGCCTGCCAGCCGCCTGGGATATCTTTTCTAAAAACAACGCGCCGGGATCACTGCCCTCTTTCCTACTGGCACGCGCATCCTTGATCTGGACACCGAAAACGCCCGCCTTGACCCCGACGCCCTTCCCAATGACAACTTTTATTATGAATAAAACACGATTCAAGGTCAAGAAGTCATTCTCAGCGCGCAAGAGACATTGATAGCTGCTATCTGAAGTAGAAGTTCGAGGGAGAGTGGTTGTGCAAGTTGCCTTATGACAGATTCAGGATTGATGAGAATAGCTTGAAGTTCTGCGCAAAGGCCTAGGCAGTGGCCTTTCTTGGCATTGACCAGGAACGGGAAACATCTCTCATAGGTCTCCGCGTCCGCTTTGTTGTCCTGCGCAATGTCCCACAGCGTTTTGCGCGTCTTATGGCTCAACCACGCCTTCAGAATACCCTTGATGTCCCGGGAGCAACACTGTACTGGGTAAGTCGTACTTGTCTCTCCCGGCACTGTCTAACATGTGCAAGCCATCGGGTAGATTTGTGGCGAGTCCCTCAAATCTGGCAAAGAATTCGGGCGACTGGGAGCTGTTGTCGATTGTTCGCTTGATGATGGTTGCGGAGGTGACTGAACGGGGTGCCAGGCACGACACGCTTACCGTGATCAGGGCATGAGCAGACACTGTAATTGTACTGATCGAAGGAAGAACCTGTAAGGTTTTGGCGCAGTCCACAGGCGATAATAATTTCTGATGAAGCACAATGGTCCCTATGATGGAGATACTGCTTTAGGGAGAAGATCTGTCGGCAGCCCGAGAAACAGATAAATCAGTGATTGTGGGTGCATTTGCGTGAGATGCGCGATCCACGCCTCTATCGAGCCTTCTCTGTGATCATCCTCGCAGTAACCAACATTCCGTCCTCGCTGGCCCGGTTTTTCAAAATCTCCATAGAAGAAAAAGACTTGTTGTGTGGTGACTTCAACTTCATCTATGTCGAAGAATCCTCCGATTTGCGCGGTCGCTAGTACGACATGCGTAGGCACGTTAACCAGTAGGTTTCTCTTGGCTGCGTTTATAGCTAATCGAACAAGATGCTCGCAGGCGATAGACTGTCGCTGTATGTCTGTAAGGTAGGCAATTTCGTCGCAAACGGTCGAGGGTTCGATGCCTCGTCTGGGGCGAAACGCAGGATCCTTATAAAACGCCATCTGCACTGGCGCTTCGTACAATCTGACGGTCTCGGGCTTGTTGTCGGCCGCCTGTGCGACATGATCACTAAAATAGTTCCTGAGATCACTGGCAGGAATAGACGTAAGACAGCAGGCGCATTAGATTGTCTGAGTCGTGACTTGTTTGTTACGGAGCACCAGTGTTGGAACAGGTATCTCGACCTGACGAATAACTTGAATGTATGTAGGTCGCTCCTCCGGAGTCTGATCAATCTCTAACGCACGAATCGGCCTGTTAGGGAAAATGGCGCGGATATCATAAGCTTCAACACGTGGGTTTCGTGGTTGCAACTCGTGGACTAGGCGCCAGTGAGCGTGGGCGGCTTTGGGTGCATAGTGCGTATCGCCGCATCTCTGACAAAGAATTTGCTGTTAGCAAGAGCGCCAGCTAACATAGTGTAATCTGTATTATGTGGGTAAGTCGTTGAGTAGGTTATCTGATGCCCTGCCATGAGCTTCGAGACAATGAAGACGAGTTGCCACCATCTGTCCCCTTCGGCATCTCCACGAGGGCAGACGTACATACCGTGCTTTGTTTGACAGGGTGTGTGTCGCAGAAGTCCCCGGCCATGATCAACACAATCATCGCGAAAATACCATAGTATGGCGATCCAGCATCGAGGCTTGTCTTCGAGGTATTACTGCAAGGCTTGGAGTCTGCGTCGGGTCGGAGCCACCAAACGCGCCAAGACATGCGGCGAGGCACCGGACTGGAGTATTTGAGTTCACCGATATTGAATTGCTGATACTGACGATTGTGCAAGTTGTCCAATTCGTCTTATACTAGTTCCTCCGTACCCCATACGGACGCGTTCGCTTGACACCGTACATTCAGCAGAGCATGCACGGGACCCTGCATGGACTTCAGCAAGCCACGCGAGGCATCAGACCCACATGATATCTGGGGTCAGCCGACTACACATGATCGAATCGCCTGGTGCTTTTTTGACGCATCGTCTAAGAATACGGTCGCAATCCTCGATAACCTGGTGTTTGGAAGCTTGGGTCGCTTGCGTTCTCTTCACATAGATGGGAACAACTGACCATGTTACGCCGCAGACCTGGGACATCCTCTCCAAAGAGGAGCGCGCTGAGATCATTGCCATCTTTCCTACTGGCACGCGCATCCTTGATCTGTACACCGAAAACGCCCGCCCTGGTCTCCACTCTCTTCGCAACGACAACAACTTCCGCCATGACAGCGCCATGTACACTGACAGCATCGCCATGGGCAAGCACGACCCGGAATGGCTTGAGCAGGCATTTGTAGCGCGTGAGATGCTGCGCGCTGGGGACTTCGACAGCTACCTGAAGCAGGAGTTTCTGTTTGGCGACGTACTCGATGCAGTCTTGAAGTCGTTCTTGCCGCTCGACTTCGTTTTGGAATCCATATTCGTTGGAAGGGGCGAGCACATCGACCAGGTCCAGGGATCGGCGAAATATATTGGCCGTGACGAATTGGGCGATTCCTTTGACCAAAGTAGATTTTCGAGAAATGCTGTGTTGCCCTCCGCCGCAAGATTAGTGCGGCAATAGTCCGACGGCAATGGGAAACTGGAAATGTTGTAAACAACGTTGCGTGACAAACGCAACGATAAGAGGGGATCAACGCGGTAAAATTGAAAGATGTGAAGCAGTAAGAAAGAAAACAAGCAAACCAAGGCAGGTAGTTGATAGAGGATAAGAATAGGACGATGTAATGCTGCGATGAGAGATCAACGAAAACGAAATATGCATATAATGAGAGGAGGAGTGGTGTGTGAAAGAAGAAGAAGAAAAAGGCAAACTGTGCCTCAACTAAGGCGGTTCGGGTGGGCTATAGGAAGGTACGTCAGCTGAGTCCACTGCTTCCCTTCTCAGGTTATCTTGGTCAAATCGCCATATTCGGCTTTCTTGCCGTCCGGAAACTCAGGCGGGAACATCTCAAGGCGGGTCCATCAATTTTCAGTGGCGGTTGCAAAGCATTCGGTTTCGCCGGGACAGTTGGTTTGTCGTTGGCTTTGGGTGAAAAAGAAAGTGAAAACTCGTTCGAAAGGCAATACTATTGAGAAAGCAGCAGACACAGTCTTCCTTTTGGAGCTGGGAGATGGCATCACAAGGGCTTCGAAGATGCTTGTCGGCGGCGGCAGATCAACTGATCCGGGCTTAGCGGCCGGCTCTTTGCCTCTAGGGTTCGATTTCCAGCAGACCCACCACTGCCAGCACTCTTATAATCCAGCCCAGCCAGGTCATTTCCTCTCTTTCATTATTATTCATTGCCTCTACATTGTGAGTACCGTCAATTTTCTGGAAGATGAAGGCGAATTTCGGCTGCTTCTTTAGCGCAAACAACCAAAGAAGGTTGCTCTGCAATGTCACAGAGGGTGTAACAACGACGAGGATCGAGCCATCTCGCCGCAATGCCAGAAACAGCATATCGCCGGGCTGCATCACTTCCGTCAGGGCAGCGTCAGCCTCGACGCTTCGAGCCTTACCCTAAAGTACACGGCAGCCGATTGCGAGGACCGATATGGAGCGTAACCAAGTCCGCGCCTCGGACGCCGAGCTGCGGTCGCTTATGAGCCAAGTGCGAAAGAACCGAAGCAAATGCGCCGGCGAGGAGAATGTCAACCAGGAAGCGCCTTCTGCTCGCCACATATCCAAATGAAACGTGCCGCGGTATCTCTGTCATCATCCTCACCCAGAAGCCGGCATAGAGGCCTCGTGCCCTGAAACTCGTGCTGGTTCGATTCGTGCATAATGGTTTCCACCAGCGTTAATAAACGCTTGGTGACCACGCCGGTGAACATACCCGACAAAAATCCGCGCCTTCTACTCTCCCCTGATCTCTAGCCACCGCCGATCGGACTTCGCCACTCGGAACGAGACCGAACGACGTCCTCAAGAAGTAGTCATTGTGTACTTCAGGGGGACCGCCGGAATAACGTATCTTAGTCATTGGGAAGTTCTAGGTCCCCAACCGTTAGCCTTTCCAATATTGGGGTCTTCGGATTCTAAAGAACGCATGCAACAAGGCCACTGCCTAGCCTTTGCGACTTGCGGGACAAGGAGTTCTGGGTCCCTAACCGTCAATCTCTCCTCGCCCGTCCCACTTTAGCACCCCCCAGCGACTGCAGTACGTAATATCGTTGTAGGTCTGGCTACCTTAGGTTGGTAGTGTGGAAAGCTCTCGACGATTGGGAGGCACAATTCAGATGAGTTCGCCTCGAGGGGCCTGCCGCCTACCTTGTCACTCTACATGTGGCCCGACTGCACCTTGGCCGCACTGGCTGAGCAGATCGCTGCCGCAGACCCCTCGTTGCTGCCGGCACAAGGCTGGCCTTTCGTGTTATACCCGGACACTAGGAACGCGGCGGACTCACCTGGCGCTCACCACGCGCAGACAGAGATCCCCCCTGTTTCTGGTCAACGACCTAGAGAGCGTCGTGTTAGGCAACAGCACGGCAGGCGCTATTCTTGCTGCTATCAGCGCAGAGGCGGTTAACGGAGACATACACATGGCCGATAGGACAACGGCATTATCGGACACGGATATAGCCAAGGATAAGACGCTTGGTGACACCAAGTTTGTAGTAGGGTGTTGTGACAGTACTTAAGTGCCGTTGTAGCAGTGACAACTGGGAGTCCACTTTTGTCATGACAGTTATGAGCCCAGTTCGCTCTACGAGATTGTCTGTGTGCCTCAATGGTATGCTCTCTGCATTATTTTAACCAGCAACAGACGCTGTAGGTTTAAATCCCGGAAGTAACCTTGGGTAAGTCGCTAGGCTTAGTGCCTAGTATTTACGTAAGGCCTTAGTTAAGAACAAAAGTAGAGATAGTTGCCTGAACTCCAGCAAGATGTACCTAATTAAGAGGTTAAAGAGCCAGTCTTCTATAGAAACATGTTAGAAAACTGAGGGGGTGTCTTGTGACAGTACTTAAGTGCAGTGGTAGCAGTAACAACTGCAGGTCCACTTTTGTCATCACAACCTTATATTAAACTTGTTAACAAGCAAAAAGTACTTCTCTTGATCGACACCCCTTAGGTTTAACTTTACTAGTACTAAGCCTTTAATCGTACTTATCCTAGTAGTAGTTTACCTATAACCTATAATAATTATAATATGATTCAAAATAGTAACTAGTTATAGGTCTTAGTAAATAGTTACTAAGCTTCTAGTAATAACATGTCGGAGGTTGTGGCCAGACTTCTTCGGCCAGGATGTTATGGACCTCGGCTATCAACTTCGCTGTCATCCCATGAGCTCATCCCGCATCACGACCTGCCTTGACGGCTGCCCTGTCGCAAGTATCAAAAGTCTGCAGAGCAAACCCGTATGCTTGGGACCCTTTGCTTTTTGCCATGTCTCAATCTGCGCCCATCTCATCACCAAAATGGCATAGTGTTTTGCTGGCGTATTTTGTTCAATTAGGATATCTAAGCAAAGCCTCTGTTATGCGAATGAATTATTTCATATTAGGTGAACTACTAGAAGCATTTCGTTTTTTTGGGGGGGATGGATGTGACAAAGGAAATTGCAATAATGTCTCGGAATAACATCCCCTCGGGGATGGGGTTCTGTTCCTTAATATTGGCCAGCAACCTTCTTAAGTTCCTGGTGGTGGTGGTTCTTGGTTTCGACTTTCTTAATGTGGTGCAGGACGCGGGGGAACACGTCCTTGTGAGCAGTAGGGCTCATCCAGACATCCATGTGGCCGCGGTCCGGGAACACCTGTCTCTCGTAGCATACCCCGCCGTTGGCCTCGCTGAGAGTAGTGAACGAGGTGTCGGTGTTGTCGGGGGCGAAGACGTCGTCCTCGGTTCCGGAAAAGAAGAAGATGTCTAGGCCCTTGAGGCGGGCAATGTTCTGGGGCGTAACGAGGTTCTCGTTCTGAGAGTCCGTCACAATCCCGTGGGTACCCTGGTACATGAGGTGGTTCAAGCTGGCCATCGACATGCCTCCCAAGAAGTTCTCCAGCTGGGAGTGAGTGGCCTCGTTGAGACCCTTGTGTGACCAAAGGCTGCGTGGTTTATGTCAGCGATTGGCAGGTTGATGAAAGGGCTTCCTGGACAACTTACCGGCCAAATACGAGGGAGCTGCGATGGCAGACAACCGAGTTGCAAATCTCATTGCGGTGGCCGACTGGGTAAAATCGCAGGACTTGGTTGAGGGCCTGCTGGACGTAGCCGTCATTGGGGGTGCTGGAACAGTCGAACCACTTGCCTTGAACCAGGTTGTAGATGTTGGCCATGGAGATCGGGAGGCTGGCCTTCATATTGTTGACCTTGGCGAACGTGGGGTTCATGAAAACCTGCGACGCTGTGACACCGCTGAGCCATTGGCGTGGGATTGTGCCGTCGAGGAGGCCGGAAGCCAATGCGACGGATCCCGCGGAGTGGGCCACCACGTAGGTCATGTGAGACGGGCCGGAGCCGTCCATCTTGTCGATGATGGTGTGTCTCTTGCGGATCTCCTTCAGCGCCGCGTGGATATCGCGGCGAGCGTCGTACGTGGTCCAGTTCTGTTGTGCCACCACGGTCTTGCCCACCCGGTGCACCATCGAGTAAACGCGGTAGCCCTTCTCACGGAAATACTTGACGGCGTTCTCCTTGATGGTAGGCAGGGCGAACATCTGGTGGTCGACGGCTGCACCAGGGATGAAGAGCACAATCGGGGCATTGTCTGACTGCTGTCCCTGCTTGCCTTGCGGCTCCCACATGTACAGCTTCGTCCTGACGCGGTCGTTGGCTACGACGGTGCATTCCTCCGACCACGGCGTCGGGTTCTCGTAACTGTGGAAGGGAAGAGAAGGCCACATCTGGGGGATGAACGGTGTGAGGAATGCGCTAGCAGCCTTCGCAGCGAAGTACCCCAAGAAGTTGGCGGTCGATGTGGCCTTGGCGTAAAGGCTCGAGCCGGTTGCCTCCATGGTGGTGCACTCCTGGAGGAAAGCACTCGGCCGAATGTGAATGACGCCCTTGCCCCGGACCTCGCTCGGGATGGACTGGTCGTGTTCGTCGACCTCGGTGATGGTGCAGTACAAAGTTGTAGTCGCCTTCCAGAGGTTCCAAGGGTTGAAGACCACGTCCGAGTTTACTACCTTGTAGCCGTTGAAGTGCAACTTCTTGCCGTCTTTCTGAGATACAAGGAAGTTGTAGGTAAGGTTCATGGTGTCCGGAGACCTTGGATCGTCATTAAATAACTGGAACTTGCCTCCCTGCACCATGCAGGTTCCGCCAAGAGCTGGACAGGTAAAAGTCCCAGTGAGATTGGCCTCGTGTTCCTTGTCGTTGACCACTGATAACACAGTCAGAACGCATGCATATCGGTATGGGGGCTAGCACTTACGGTTATGCGTGTTCCACGATCGGGCGCTGAGGAAGAACCTGGCGTATTCGCCTCTGCTCCTCGCAGTCTCAGTGGCCCTTTCGAAGTCAAGTGACTTCGAATCGTGTCCAAAGTGAATCGATCCGTCCATCATTTCCGAGAAGGAGATGCCAGGGGTTTTGTCATCCCGTGCAGTCTTGATGATCTCCCTAACTTTGGCCACTTGGAGGCTATCATCATCGCCCTCGAACTGATTGTGCGCCGGTTCAGCGAAGAGATTGAGAGAGCCTAAGGGCCATTAGTATTTGGCAACAATCCATAAAGCAGCCTCGCTAGGGATGGTCTACCGTTCTTCTCTTCCAAATTGACTTTGATTCCGAACTCCTCGGCAACCATCTCGACAGACCTTTCAGCAAGGGCGGTGATGGTTGCAAAGGGGTTGACTCCGAGAGCAGCAGGGACGATGGTGCCGTCACAGACAACCAGCCCCTTGTGCACTTTATCAGTGTTGTCAACGAAGAGCTGTCCCTTATCGTTGACACCGCCGCTAGCACCTGTGCCGTCGGCGCTGATACGAGCGCCACCGCTGTATGTGTGTGTTAGATACCTTTCTCAAGTCAACGACCAAGAATACTCACATTGCGTGGACAGTAATCTCCTTCTCTCCGAAAGCGGCGTAGAAAGGACTGTCAACGTAGGTACCCCCAATCAGGTTGGTAAGCTTGGCCAAGTAGCCCGCAAGCTTCTTGGCTCTGTGAGACTTGCCAACACCGGAAAAGTTTATCATAGGTCGGTCATTGTGCAGCTGCATAGTTGCTTGGCTGCCTAAAAGAAGTTTTGGTCAGAGGCGCTCAAGAAGGCATGGCAGGATGAATTAAGACTTACTGTCATGGGACATAATCAGGTAACACTGCGTCTTTTCGGTGCTGCCTTTGGGATAATAGGGTCCAAACACACGGCTACCGGCGGCCGCAGCCACGTGTTCAATGGCTCCCTTGAGGGAGATGTTGTGAGGAAACACCTTCCCAGGAAGCAGATTAAGCATTGTCTGGTAAAAGGGGGCCAAGGCTGCGGGGATGGCGCCCTCCTCAATCACAAAACCATCCAGGGGGTTGTCCAGACCGTGACGACAGTCGATCACGCCCGTGATGCAAGGGCCAACCGGCCGATTCGGCGGGGGATCCGGGCGACCCATACCATTGATGTACTCGTTTGTGTTGTATCTGAATTGATTATTAGCATGTGCGAAGAAGTCTTGAAGTGCGAAGTGCAAGGTGCCCTACCCGAACGCCAAAATGTCACCGTTTCCGCTCATCCCATGACCAACGTCATCGCTCATGTCGAGTCCAAACTTCTTGCTGCGAAGGAGAATCTCCGTGGTACCAAGACTGCCGGCCCCGAAGAAGACCAGCTCCTTAGCATGGACCCACATGAGGTCCTCGTGGAAGATGTCCTTGAAGTTGGCACGCTTGCCTCCATGCCAGGCAAAGTGCACGATGTATCCACCCCGTTCCTTGGGGGCCTCGGTGACGTAGCGGACCTCGCACTGGCAGAACATCTCAGCTCCCCAGTTCCAGGCGTCGCTGAGGTAGTTGACCAGGGTCGTGGATTTACTGCCGTCGTTAAGACCGGTGGTGTCTTGGCCAGAAAGGGTGGACGCGCGCATGTAAACACCGGTGCTGTTCTCTCCGTCCTCGAACCGAGTGGTCTGGGGCACGCGGTAGAACTTGTCTCCCCACCCCATGAGGTTGGCCTGCTTCTCGAGAGTCTCAAGCTTGTGAAGCTTCGGGAAGTCCTTGGGGTACCTCTCAGGCTCCAACACACCTGCGGCCCTTTCGTAATCTGTGACGGAACTTGTTAGTCTATATTTGGGAACATTGATGGTGTAACATACACTTTCTGAAGTTCTCAGCACCCCTCAGCTTATCGGGCCAGATGGGAAGGTCAAGAACTCCGTCGTCGGCTTCCAAGAAAACGTTGGCATTGAGCAAGCTTGTACCACCTAGACCGTTGCCGACGAAGGCGTTCTGCCCGTCACCGACGATGAGATGGTACAGCCCAGTCGGGTCTCTCCGTGTTCCGTACGCGCCCAAGCGGCCCAAGATACTATCTGTGGCGGCATTTGTAACGTGAAGTTCGTCCTTGGCCTGCAGGATATCCGACGGGAATTCTCCCGGCCACTTCTCCTTACCGCGCTCGAGGAGGCAGACCTTCTTGTTGCCTCTGGCCATGCGACTGGCAGCGACGGCACCGCCGTAGCCCGATCCGATGACAACGGCATCGTACGACGGGCGGATCAGCTCAACGGGGCGAGAAATGCGAGGGTAGGTGCCGGTGACGGGGTCAAAC